ACCTTGTTGGGACTGATGGTGTTCCAGCAAAGTGCTTATCTGGTCATGCCATCTTCCCACATCAGCAATGGCCACAACAGATTTCTATGGAGGAGCAAAACTCTTACACGCTAGAGCCTGTCTCAGGAGTTTAGGAAGCAGGACCAGTTTTCTTCCTCTCTCTCATTCCTTTTACAGTGCCAAGCAATATCTCCACGCTATCAAATGAATCTGCTTCATGAGTAATTCTTCTACAGGCTGCTGGGAAGGGTGAAGCACTACTTGTTTTACTGATACCCTGGTGATGTGAGAGAGTAGTCCTGGTCATCTCCAGCAGCCCAGACTTTTGTTTTGCTGTGAGATGGCCCTCAGACTTAAGAGTCCTTTGTGGACACACAAATGTATGCCCCACTGAGGAGCCCTGGGACTCAGTCCTTTCAGGTTTCCAATCTTCCTTTGGAAGAGTCTTCCACATAATAGTGTCTCTTTCCAAAGCACTTCACTAAAGCCTCAGGGAAGGACAGATCTACATTTTGTGTTTTGGCTTACTTTTAAACAATTTTCCTCTTGATATTAGCTGTTTTGTGCTTGGGTTGTGACATCATAGGAATCCTGGACTTTAGGAAATGTGGAAGGAATGTGTAGTTTTTGTGTTGGCTGACTCAACCGTGAGACTGGGCACTGGACTCTTAAAACTCTATCAGTCTTCAATAGCATTATCAAAAATAACAATGACAATTATGTGATTTACTCCGTCTCTTTTCCTTCATGGTAAACACCTTCCTGTGGGCTAATGCACAAGATCTGGAAACTTTGGTAATCACTTTTCAATTAAAGTAAATACCAACTAAAATTCTGCTGGTAAATCTTCATGTCATAACAACTTTTTATGGTCTCCAATGTCAAAGAAGTATAAGACAACTGCAGTGGTAAAATTACAGAGGAGAAAATTGGCATAGCCCTCTTATCTAACAGAACAAGGCTGCTGTATGCTGGATAGGACCAAACTTTCAGATATGTTCAGAACAGAATGAGGAGTGGGAAGAGAAGGACTGGGGCATGCTAGGAGAGGAAGGTACCCTTGGGCGGCTGCATTTCTCATTTTCCGTAGTTCTCCTGTGCTGTCTGTTCAAGCATTAACAATCTCTAACACCTTCTTCCAGATAACACACAACTTTTCCCACAACAGTGTTCACTGGAAGGCTCAGTCTGCAAAAGCACATGACATGACGGATTATGTCTCAGATCACTATGTCCTTGATAGGTGAGTACACTCACAGGAGGACACAATGTGTTTGCAGAGGAACTGTTCACCTTTTGTTTCTCTAACCCAGGTGCAAAGTCCCAGAGCAAACTCTGCAGTAAAGAAATAATTTTAGCTCAGTAAGACCACGGAGAGTCCTCAGGAGTTCCCTTTCCCCATTTCTGATGGTGCTGCAAGTGTCAGCATTCATTGTCTTGATTGCTGTGTTTGAGAAATACCATAAAGATCAGCCTATCATCTGGCATATTCTGGATATTAGGAGCCTGTCCATTGACTTCTAGGGACTTTGGTTCTAGTTCTCTCTATGTAGCTTGAAAAACAGCGTGGAATACCACCAGTTGGGTATTTTTGGTCAAGTGTGGAAAGGGAGGCAGGGGGAAACAAATCAAAGGAAGAGGAAAAGAACACATCCATGTTGTAGTAGGGCTCATTGTTCTGCTTGTGTCTTTGTTTTTAGTTGTATTTTACATGCACTTAAGAAATAGTTAGCTTAACAGGTCAGGCTGGGAAGAAAGATGCCAAGACTTCTCATAGACTGGGGGATGCTGGGACGGTGGTTGGAAATGGGGAGGGCACTGAAGGGGACAGGGGAGGAAGCCCACACATTTACATCACGATTCTGGCACATTTTCCAAGCGAAAACCAAAACCAGCTCAAACACCAAATAGAGAAAAACAAAAAGAAAAATAAGGAGGAGATGAAAGAGAAGCAAAATACAGATTTTCTTTCAAATCCTGGGGATGGGGAAAAGAAGAGGGTGCAGAAAAAAAGGAAATGCCTAAATGGGAACTTGGGAAGGGTTAAGACACCAATCTCATGGTGCTTCCCATCTCCCCTAAGTATTTCATTCTCAGTGTCTCTGAGGTGTTCAAGTTTTTCTTGAAAAATATATATATATATTACAGATGAGAAACTCCGTACCGCCAAGAAGAAATAAAATAATAACAATGGAAAACAACTATAATAAAACAAAAACACAGCCCTGAAAACATCAAAAAGAAACAGGGTGAGTCTCAAATTTCCCCTGTGGTGTTCCTCTGACTTCAGTAACAGTGCAGGATTACACCAGTCCACTTTGATACTTTTTTTTTTTTTTAAACAGCTTCTTCTTCCTTTCATGTGCGCATGTCCAGGCAGTATAGCCCATCACTCATAACAACTTCCCTCCAAGCCAGCTATTTGTCCTTAGACTCCTACCATCCAGCTGTGAGTACAAGGCATGACAATAGGGTCCATATTTATCTTTTGTGGCACTTTGTTTGTCAAAACCTTTGGTTTCTTCCTTTTTTTTTTTTTTAAATTTTCCATTTTTATGTACTTATAAAAAATATTGTGTTTGTGTTGTTGTTGTAATTTTCCTACTGCTGGCTCTGGTGAGACTTCCACCCCACTTTCACAGCCATAATCAATGGATCTGGAACATGCGCCGACATTACTAAATGGATCAACAAAACCATGGCAGAACCAGCCAAACCCAAATCATCCCCAATGCGCAGGCCTCTTAAAAATGCTGAGATGTCCATAAGGTGCATGATGAGTCCATCAGCTCAGCAATCAAACAGAAAGCAAGCAAAATTAAAAAGGAAATAACGCACACGCGCACACAGATACACACACACACACACACACGCACGCACAAAATAATAATAATTATAATCAAGAGAGAAATGTCTGGGGTTTTAAAACCAAGACGTGTCCCTAAGTTTGCTGTTTCAATATAAATCTTGTGATACTCTCCCCACAGACACATCCAGTTTTGGACTGCTGTTCTTTAAATGGGTTTAGAAAGACTTGCCTACATGTGTACCTGCTTGGCTGAACGAAACCCACTTGCTGACTGACTCCTGTTTGCACCACATCCCCCATTAGACGCACTCACGATCCGTCGCTCTGAAGAGGTTCTGGTTTGCTAGCAAGAGGCATGAATAAAACCAAAAGCACTCGTTCTGTAATCAATTTACACACCCTGTCTTTACCCTTCCTCCCTCCAGGTGCAAAGTAGATCCAGGCTGTAGCTCTGAGGATGGTGTGAGATGGATGTGGGCTGATTCTCCGTGGCATCAAGCCACTCCTCCATCTGCTAGCGAGCTCTGTTCATTTCTGGTGAGATGAATGCAGACCCAGCTCTTGCCTCCATGGTGTACAAGATGCAAGGTTCTCCAGACCCTGAGGGTCTCCCACTACACTGAACCATGGTGTTATCCAGGCTGGCAGCTGTATGAACAAAACAGCCAAATGCAGAAGAGATGCAGGAGCTCACGCCTCTTTGGCTGGCCATGAAACAGGTTGAGATGTTTTTCTGGAGGAGCTGAGCAGAGGATAGCACAGGGTAATCACCAACAATTGTCCTGTGGTGACAGTGATCTCTGAAGGGATAGGAAGTGCAAAGAGAGAGCAAATCCTTCCCAGGCAGCAACTGTGCCTTCAACATGGTCTGTTGATTCCAGAAATGGAGAAAAGACCAGGAGTTGGCACCAAAAGGCAGATTAGTTCACAGTGGTTCAGAGACCTCTAGAAGACATGCAGTTCGGCTGGGGGTATCTAGGTAGAAGAATATTTTGCAGTGTTTCATTTGGATTTCCTCCAAGATTTCCTTCCAAAATGTGTGGTGACATCTCCTCTTAGGAGTGGCTTTGAAGGAAGGTTTTACCATCAGTCCTATGTACCACCTTGCTTCATGGCAAGCCCTTCAGTATCCTGATATTCCACCATGAGAAAACAATAGTTTTGTTCCAGTTGAGGAAACAAAATGGAAAGGACTAACAGCTTGAAAAAAAAAATCCCTCTGGTTGGTTTTTGAGGACAAGCTCCTTGCCTGGAAAAAAATGAGACTTGTGGTTCTTGCTTTCCAAGCTGAGGTGGGAACAAGGGAGATGCTGTGCTGTTCGTTGCCAGAAGGAACAGAACCACCACCAACAGGATGCCACTGAGCAGAGAGAGTATTTTTGCCGCAGTGCTACAACCAACAGGACACAATGGGAAAGACGGAGGGGGACACAGGTCTTTTTTTGAAAAATAAGAATAACCATATGAAACACACGGGCAGGGGAGTGTTGGTCTCCTCCTCCCCTCTTGACCCTTCCCCTGTCCCAAGAGAGCAGCTACCCTGCTGTTTGCCCAGGCAGATAAGAGCCACAATGGTCCCACTCTGGACGGAGCTGTGGCATTTTTCGGGGAGCCTTGGGGTTCCTCTCCCAGTGGGTCACTATCAAAAGATAGAGTTGCAATGGCTCTGCAGGAGAGGATCTTGATTTACTCCTGCCCTCCAGGATCCCTGCAGGCAGGCTGCCTTCCCCTTGGGGAGACTTTTAGTAATACTGAGTTCAATTCCATGTCCGCTCCAGAGGCTCCAAGCCCTTGGAGGGCAGTTAAAGCAGCATGACAGAAGTTACCTCCCAATTTCCCATCTGCAGAGTGATGATATGATGTTGGGGGAGGGTTTGTGGGGGTTCTTTTTGTGTGTAATAGTTTTTCTCTAGGGCAAAGGCAGAAGGGAAGCTGTGAAAAGGAGAGCTCCACCTGAATGTCTTGATGTCCCCAGAGCCAAGATTCCTCTGCAGTCTTTTCTTTCAACCCCTGGGTCTTCGTCACTTTGTCCATAGATTTTGAAAGAGAAAGAAATGAGAGAGAGAGAGAGGAGTGCTGTTCAGGTGACTCTGCTTACAGCCGATCAAAACTTGCACTTGGTAAAGATGATGATCTTGAGTGAGGCACGACTTGGTTTATCCCTCCCAGGGTGTCCCTGGCAGGACAGTTCTCAGCTGTCTATGCTCATGAGGGTTATGACTTGTTCAAGTTTGTAGGCAAGTTTCTGTTTCCCAGCCTGGTCATCTTGATCAAGGGCTCCGAGAATCTGGAAAAGGAGAGAGGAAGAAGTGATAGGGATTTTACTTTTTTTTTCCCAAAAGGACTGAGTCCAGCATCTTATAGCAGCAGACAAGGGTTAGCTTTCTCTGAGGTAGGTGCCAGGCTTAGCTTAGATCATGCAAAGCAGGTCAGTCAGCCAGCAGGGAACTAGACAGGCAGTTTGGGGTTGATCTGACTAAATGCAGACCTCTAGATTGCAACCAATCAAATGGACTCTTATCTTGGACATCAGTTATTTGGTAGTTGTATTCACCACCTTGCCATGCCACTTGAGATGCCCTAAGAGGTCTCACCTGGTCTTCAACACATAGAACCATGCTGGTAACCTTAAAGCCCTGTGTCATGCTTGCTGGACAATTCTTGGGTGCTTTAGGGTATCTCAAATGGCGCTGGGCACGTATACTTAAATAACTTTTGGCCACGTGTGGTGCAGAGCTCATATAGGGATTCTCTGTAGCAAGATAAGATCTGACCATCAAATATTGCAAAACAGCTAAATCTGATTGACTAATAATAGGAGACAAAAATAACAGGGATCCAGATGGAAGAGTACTGGGGATACCAATAACCCCAGACCTTTCCTTTCCAGACCCCAGGCCTTGCTTTTCATTCCATAAATCCATCGTCCCCTGAGCCAGGATGAAGATAGGTTATCTGTGACACATGCTGGGCCCTGGGAATGGGTGGGCTGTCCCATGGTCCCGCAGAACTGCTTTTTCCCCCCCGAGGCACTTACCTCCTCGCTGTACTTGCCAACATAGGAGTATATCTCTGAGAGCGCACTCATAGTGTTGAACTCGTTCATATGCATGCGAGACTGCTCAGCCAAGTATGCATTCATGTCCTGGTCGCTGATCGCTGGCATTTTGGCGATGTCTGAATAGTACCTGAGAGAGAGAAATACAGGTCTTTCTTGAGGGGAGAGAGCAGGGAGTCAAGAGATGAAAGCCACAACAATAAGGAGGAAGAACACTCAGCACTCTCGGGCTCTTCTGGTGCATCAGTGCTATACCCGGTCATGTTCTTTTACAGCAAGGGAGATGACTTAGCCAAAGTGGAAATTACTGAAGCACTATTTCTGAATACCAGACGTGTTGTATTCACTCAACCCTATTCTGAGACTGAAGTCCCGAAGAGCATCCTGTAAACTCTCTCCATGCCATCAAAGAAGTAGGCAGTACCTCTTGATGCTGGATTCCTTTGTCAGGCCTTCAAGGGCTTTGATCCTTGCCTCTAATCCCACAGAGAAATCCCACTGATCTCGCTGTCCATTGAGAACTCAGGATTTCACTCCCATAGAAAAAAAAACCAACCTTGCATGCTTGCTTGCACCATTCACACTAGTACATCTACATCCATTGCTAACATCATCCACCTCCCCCACTGAATCCAGTCTATCCCAGCAACTCTCTGCTGCTCAGCATCTCCCTTTTGCCCCATATTTTAAGCTGGCCTGACGTCAGTTTGTGGCAACAGGCTTCAACATTCCCACCCCCACTCTGACTGGGGAAAATCTGCTTTCCGTAGGTCTCAACACCATTCCCCTTGAGCTCAAGAGGACTGGGGCTTTATCCATAGAATGTGGATCCCCCAGAACCATGCCCATCAGGCTTCATCAGCAGAGCAATGTCTCTTTAAGGAAGTTGCTATTTTCGATGTCCTTCGTCCCCCGGGTAAGGCAGGTCTTGGAGGACAAGGTTTGCGGAAGGTAATCAGTCACTGTCACTCGCAGCTGTGCTCTGCTGTCAACTGGTTAATTAGACGCCATCATTTACATTTTTAATTTCTGCAATTTGACATTTTGTGCACAAGGAAAAAAAAAAAAGAAAGAAAAAAAAGCCCATAGCTGCAGCAATCCACAATTTTATAATTAGGAGGCAGAGGGGACGGGGAGCCAAAAGAGCTGACAGGTGTCCTGTAAACAGCGTTGAGACACCTGCTGAGATGGAGGCTGTTTTCCACTGCAGAGAAATTGGACACTGAAGTGCTGTATGATAAGGATCCTTCAGACACACAAGTGGGAAAATACTCTCTATGACAGAGCAAGACAAGCAGCTGCTGAAGTTTCCTATGAAAGACAGCATGATGCAAGAGAATTGGGAGGAAACCCTTCCACACCAGAAGGCTTCAGTTTTGCTCAGTCTGGTTGTGTGCCCCACACTCCCATCCGGATTTATTGCAAAGGGTTGGTCTCAGTTGCTACCCTGGTTTTGCAGAGGTGGGTTGATGTAAACCTTGGGAGAGAAAGGCATAAGAGGCAGAGGTCCTTCTCCCAGCTCTACACCTAGTCTTCTAGCCTGACTGCTTCCAGAGCTAGACTCTGGATCATCACAAAAACTCATGCAAACCTCAATAACTTTACAGCAACTTCCAGTACACACAACATTACTCTCCCTGGAGTCCTAGCATCTTGTCTTCTGGGCTCAGGACCAGCCAAAAGTCCTAGTCTAACTCAGTCCCTTCATCTAAATATCGCCCACTCCCAGTACTCCAGTGATGGTTTGTCTGGGCTTGATTTTGCTTTACACTCTGCCTAACCCTCAATCCCTAAGTGGACCTGAACAGTCGTCTATGAGGAAAGCAGGCATCTAGAAATCCTGTGAGGACCTGTCCTGCAGAACTACCTCCAGGAGGAGATGCTGAGCAGGATGAATAAATATTTCTAGACCTTTGCCACTCCCAGAAAAACTGAAACAGATCTCAGCATCAGCAGCTGGACAAAATCAGACCTGTGCTACATGGACTTCTGACAAGAGAAAGCATCAGGAACTGGTGGCATCCATGATAGTACTATTTCAGGCTCCTCAGAGCCAAAGCACATTGCTGAGAAACAAGGAGTCTTACGGCCAAAAAGCAAGGTGTGCCTTGGCACCCAGAGAAAACTACATCCATGTGCAACCAGCACAGTTCATAGACTTGTGGGGAAAAACAGCCTGCAATGCAGTGAAATGTATTGATTTATGGTGCCTAAGAAGAGCCCATGGAGAAGAGCCCAGCTCCTCATTAATATTGCATAGGCACCCTCCTGCTGGGCGAAATGAAAAGTGAAGGGGATTGCATCACAGCAAAAATAAATGAGGCTGGCGGAGGAAAGCAGAGGCACTGTGTTGTATTTGCCAGTCTGGCTCTGACCACCACTTGAAATGCTCCTTTTCCTCTCTGGTTCAGCTAGTCATCAAATGGTGGCAGGATAGTGGGTGTAGGGATAGGGTGCTTCCAAAAAGTGAAACACAGACACACGTACCGTCTGCTTCTCCAAGTTTGCCCTGTCTCCCTCTCACCTGGTAGCAACGCTCTCCTGAGTCTGAGACTCACAAGGGTCTGAAAGCTCCCCAGTGCATTTCCAGCCCTGCAGAGATATTTTCCCAGCAGCATAACACTCCCATGACTCATCTGAACAATGAAAAGCAACAGGCAATGTTCCCTGGAGCGAAGGACAGGATGCAAGAATCTGAGTTTCAGGGCTTGGAGACCTCTCCAGCCGTGACAGACTCTCAAGCTGTGATCTCAGTGTTCTGGGTTCACAGGCCATTACCCACCACCATACCAAAGTGTCCTGGTCTCCCCCGGACCCAGTTCCCCATCCATCATCTGAGCAGACATCTCCCACTAAGACTGCAAACCAAGATATTGTGGAAGTGTTTCACAGGAAAAATAAAAGAAAAAGAAGGGGAAAAAAAGCATGTACCAATAATCAAACCTAGCTGCTGGTGCAGGGAGAAGACATATAATGTCATTCCATCAGAACTCTGCCATGGCCAAATAACTTATTTATACAGAAATGTTTCTAATGAAGCCATCATTGCGCTATCTAAAGAAATGATGAATGTGTACATTAAAGCATCCTAGCAGGGAGATGACAACATCCCTGCTGAGTCTCTACTTTCTATTTGAGCCCAGATCCTCAGAGGTACTTAGGGCCTTTTTGCCATTTGCATACCCCTAACGTCTTCAAAACCACTATGAAGCTGTCACCAAATCCCAGAGGTCCTTACGTTTTCACTGCCAGCATTTCCAAGGCTGCCTGTGCTCTGCTTCCCTTCGCCCCTGCACCTGACAGCTCTTACTTACACCATAGCTGAATGGTGAAGCAATGCAGGGGAGTAAGATACTCTTTCACCATGCTGCTCCTGTGAGCACCCCTAAACTGAGGGCCACCAGATCTCACCTGAGCCATGGACAGCTCGTTGACTCACACTTCCACAGCCCCAGAGGCTGCATTACCCAGCAGGAGGTTGGGAACACAAGACTAAACCAGATTCCCTCTGAATGAGACAGAAAAGTAGCAAAGCAGCAAATCTAGCCTAGCCTGCCTCCAAAGGTTCAGGACTGAGAGTCCAAAGCAGAAGATGGTGACTACGTGACCAGATGTGCACCGCTTGCTGACCTGGTGCTGCGGATTTGCTACCTCTTCTGTACTCCAGTTTTGGTTACCTCCAGTGGATCCTTCCTTTCCCAGCTATTTCCAGAAGATCCTTAGATGCATATCAAAAGATCCTGCCTTACCTGCTTGAGTTTCCCCTGAATCACAGGAGAAGCCTGAGTTCTCAAGCCTGTGCATTCTCTGATGTGGTGGGAAATTTGTTCATTAGACTTCAGAAACAATAAAACCCCCTAGAAATTTTCGTAAATCCACCACTCAGGCATATCAGCAGCTCAGAGGATGTGAGGATTATTAGACCATAGGATGTGACTTCAAAAGTATCATTAGCAGAGCAACTTACCCCAGCCTGGCTTGAACAGGACAGCCCACGAGACCATCCACTGCCACTGTTGTATGGGGAAAGATTTTAGATGCACCAGTACACAGGAGTGCTCCCTCTTATTCTCAAAAAATAATTGTTCTTGTTCCTTTCACATGCTCCTCTTTCCCTGGGTTGTCTTTGTTTTGTCTTGTTTTGTTTTACTAAGGAAAGCAATACAACAGTAACCTGGGAATACATCTTGCCCTCTGTTTAGCCAGGGGTAAATGCTCTTGCCTTCCGTACCAACCAGGAAAGGCTCTTTAGCGGAGTTGTTTCACAAGAATGACTGTGCCTGCTGCCACTCAGTAACTCATTAACTCATCAAAAGAGAAGAGAAAAGCTGTATTGCCAGTGCTTCCTCTCCAGTCTGAAATTTTCCAGCGCTGCCGTGGTTTAGGCAGCTTAGCATGGAGCTAATTGCCTTCCAAAAGATCTTTTTGTCATGGCTGTTGTTGTGTCGTCGCTGGGTTGGGACTGCACTCATTAATAATCATTTTAGCATATGAAAAGCTTGTAACGAATCCATGTGCTGCAGACGGCAGACGCAATTACAGCAATAACATAATTAGGGTTATGCAATAGCCGGCTGTATCCAGACCACTGAAGGAGGAAGAGATGTATGAAAGGGATATAGGGGACTGCTATAGCAGAGAAGGGCTGAAGGAAAGCTTGGGAACAACCTAGCAGCCAGCTTTTTTATGGGATGAAGAGAAGCAATGCAAGGACATGCTGTCAGTTCTTCTGTTCACGCTGCACGGCAGTTTTAGTTTCCTGGGAGGTGTCTGAGCTGCAAAGTTTGTGTTTGTGCTGATTCAGCTACAGGCAGCCGCAAGACTCTGTTAGCCCAGACTGATCCTATTTCGGAGAGAGGTTCAAGGCCAGGCTGTTGGGACACTAATTGGACTTTGGCAGTAATAGCATGACAGCTAAGCAAAAGGTACCGGCTCCAAAGTTAGCTGAAGACCGGTCAGTTCTTCCAGAGATTTGCCTTGAAGAGCTTGAGGGAATGATTCTGTCGGTGTATGCATCCCCTAGCTAGGGCAATGATTTTATTTTGCATGTGCATGGCTTTCCCTGCTGCTTTTCATCTCAGAAGAAATAATAGAGAATAGCCGGGCAGCACTGAGTCAATGGCTGAAGAGTGAATCGGTGCACAGGTAGTTTCTCTGGTAGAAGAAACCATCCAGCATCATCTCAGTGCAGAGGATGTGTGGCTCTGAGGCTGTATCCTCTACGTACAGACACATTTTCATCTTGCCTGCTGAAAATTGCACTATGTAGGAACAGCATGTTACCGCAATGAGAAAACATCAGGAGTTTTTCGGAGACTAAAAGTGAAGAAAGGCAAGCAAACAGTCTTCAGATACACCAAAAGCTGCTGCTGAGAGGCAGGGAATGAGCTGTACCCCCTGCCCCTGGGGATGCAATGAGATGGCATGGGCTTTAATTACAGCCAGGGAGATTTTGGCTGGCCATCAGGGAAAACACTCTGATGGGAAGGACAGGGAAGCGCAGGAACGGATTCCCTGAGGAGAGCAGAGGCTCTGTCGTTGGAGGCCTTTAAGAAAGGGGTAGAGACGCATCTGTCAGGAAGGCTTTAGACAGAGCTGATCCTGCCCTGAGGCAGGAGCTCGTCAGCTTGACCTCCTGAGGCTCCTTCCACCACTGGTTTTTATTATCTCTACTGACAACAACCCCTACCTTGACCCTTGGTATGCTATATCTTGAGCCTTCTTTCTGGCAGGGAAAAGAGGCACAGAAGACTGCATTTTTTAAAGTAGGCTGGGATTTGCACCTGTCATTTGATGCTCTCTTTTAAAGCCTTGGAGTCACCCCAATGTTTCTGTTTAAAACCTCAATAACTTACAATGTTAGGGTGCACACAGCTTATAATCTTGATTCTACTGAACTAGTCCAATTTCTTTCTAAAACTAGCTGCCAAGTGGCCAACAGGCATCACAAGAAGTGCACTGGAAGAGACCATCTATTGACCACAGAGTCCTGAAAACACAGGCTGCCAAGTTGTGTAGGTTAGGTCCCCAATGGGTACAGACTACCCATTTTGCATACCCCAGACACACTCTCACAGCAATTTCTAACAAGCTTAAGACCTCGACATCTAAAGGCTAAAGGCACGCAAATCACAGTTGCTTCAGGAAAAGGAAATAGATGAGATCACAGACCCAGGACCTGGGTACCAACTGCTAGGTCAGGTTTGTACCCAGGTTAACATAATAAAATGCAGATGTTACAATTCTGTATCCCACAGATCAGGTCACTTTAAACCTCTTTTAGTCCAGAACCTGGCAAGCCTATTTTGAATGGCCTTCATTGGGAGATTCTCAAGGTGTTAAGAATACTTGCAAGTCTCCACTGACCTTCAGATTTTCTTTGAGGGGTTATTTTTAATGCACAATAAACAGCCAAAAGGAGACCAAGTCCCTGCAGGGATGAGAAAAAAGCACCAGTTCTTCTCCTTGCAGCACTGCAGGTATTTGGGGCACCAGTGTGCAATGGAAAAACTCTTTGGCTTCTGATTTTTGTGCTCTGCCCCTTTTCAGTCTCCCACATCTCTGCCTCCATGCCAGGCTTCGGTAGGGAAACATCGTATTGATTGCGATGCAGGCAATTAAATGGTGTTAATGAAGTTCAAACAAGTGTTATCATAAGCTTGGCAGCATGGAGAGAAATGAAAGGTCAGCCACAGCCCTTTGTCATCTTTTCAGTGTGGTGTTGAATGCTAATGAGACAGTCCCAATTAGAACAGGCTCCCCTTTGTATTGCTTGGGGATTGCATCAAATGCTCCCAAATTCTCCAGATTTCTAGGCTCAAAGGGGACATTTGAAGTAAACTTGAAAAGATGCAGATCTGAAGCTGCTCTAATGTAAATTCAGCAAAGCCTATGGAGTTTTACTAACAGAAGTCAGATGAGAATCTGGTCTACCGTTCCCATTCTTTTCCTCTTTTTTGAATAGACTCATATAATGATAACTGAAAAGCCTCCACCTTGTCTTAGAACTACAGTCTGACTCTTCATGGCTTCAACAAAAGCCAAATAGCCTGTCCCCATTTCCTGGGTTAATTCTCCTGCCTCGGTCAGGCCTCATCAGGCTGCAGGAAACCCAAGTTGTGCCTGCACCTAGATACTTTTTAGCCATGCGTTTTCACGGTGAAAGAGCCCTGGGTGTGGAGTTTGAATGCTGAACCTGGTTTCCCAAAAGTCAGGATTTCTCAGCGGGATTGTTTCAGCAGGCAGAGTCCACCTCGGCTTCCAATAGTGTTAAAAAAGGACTGCTGAAATCAAACTCCCAGTTGACTGCTATGTGGAGGTAGACCATTGGTCAGGCCAGAATCTGTAGTTATTCCCTTCCTAATATATATTCACAAACTAAAGAGGTGGAAGACTAATCTTTGAAGGATTGGAGGAATGTACTTTGACCTATGCCTGTGTCTTATGCCAAGGTCATTACCTGCTTTGAGTTTTGTGAGTCCTAAAGGCACACTCCACACTGAGAAACCAGCAGTTGCAAAGGGATGGCTTGGAGTAACCCAGCTCAGCTACCGTTTCAACAGACCTGTTAAAAGTCAGGAGCATGTCTTGACTCCAGTGCCTTCAAGTTGGGTTACAATCTTCCACTGCTTAATTGCCCTCTTATAGTTTCTTCCTCATCAAAGAAGTTCGTCTGATTTCAGGTTCTTCTGACTTACTCAATGGCTTCTTAAACTCCCCAGCTGAAAATCTTTTTATCTTATGATTTACTCTTTGAAGAAATCTACTGGTCTTGAAGGATGCCATCTCCAGCTGATGCTGACTACAGAAATAGCTCCAACCAGTACTAGAAGCATTTGGATTTGGAATAACTCCCTCAAAGTACAGCCACAGAATGGAGAAAAGGAATTCATTAACTCAGGGTAGAATTGAAATTATATTTTATTCATTCTTGATATGTTTTTCCTTTGATCTACCACAGCATCCAGGTGCCACTGCCTTGAGTCAGTGGACTTGACACACAAAAATACAAGCAGGGCAGAAGCTCTAACCATATTCCAAAACCTGCAGCCTCCCCTTGGGCTTCAGGTGATGTTGTCAGACATCAGTGCAGATAACAACCCAGCACATGCTGGGCACAGAAATCCAGTGATGTTTACTAGCAGCAGGAGGTGTTATGTACCTCGTTTGCAAACCCAGTTGTTTGGGAAAACTTCCAGGGAAATGCAGCACCTATTGCTGAAGACCACTAGGCAACAGGATTTAGCTCCAAAAAGTTGTAAAGTGAAATCAATACTGGAAAACCAAAATGGAAACTGCCGCCTTCTGTTTATCCAGAAAAAAAAGGTGTTGCATGAGGAAATACCCTGTTCTCCTACGTACCTCAGTTTGTCACTCAAATGTACCATCTCCAAAGACGGAGACAAAAAGCATCACTAGAGTGTGACACCTTTGGGTCACTGTTGGTGCAAACTTAAATTCTAAATGAATCTCAAACACCTCTTCCCCCCTATCCAGATCAATCCAGCAATCAACCTCAATACATACTTAGAAACTTGGACACAGTACCAGAAGTAGGTCATAATTAAGCAAGGTAGCTCGTAAGAGCCTTACAGGTTGCCTAGAAACGACATTTGCAGAAGTGTTTAACCACGTCTAAAAATAATTGTCCAGACAAATCAGAGACCAACCGGTGCATTATTGTAAAAAAAGTCACCTCATGCCGACTAGGAGGCAGAGCTCTTTGATCAGCCGTGCTCTCCTTTCACAAAATGAGAGAAAACCATCCCCACCAAAGGAAGTTCAGTGGTTTACAGTGCAGTGTGCCTACAGTAGTAGAGGTCTCATATAACCTGCCTGACATGGTATCAATTTTAGACAGTACCTATGAAGTCATCCAGACAAATCATTGCTTAAAACTGGATGGCATTGCACAGAAATGATCTGTAAGATAAACCCATTTTTGTATTTACAGAGTAGTAATCATTCTCCATCTGTGCAGTTCCCAAACCTGTCAATAACACCAAACAAGCGTAGCATACTGGAAAACAAAGCACAGATCAACTTCTGCAAGGCTTGCTCTAGCAGACAGGCTCCTGCTGAATAGAGTGCAAGATGTGTTATTTGTTTGTCCTGCGGAAAATTTTACAGAAACTGAAGCCCTTACATACTGCAGAAATAGTTGTCTTGGTTGTATTCCCTGTAGAGTAGCTTTGCCAGACACTGACCTGCAGTGCAGTAGATTGAACAGTACAGCTACAGGTCTTGCAGATATGGATAAAATGCTTGGAAAGACCTCTGACCTTTCAGAAAATACCTGCAGAACTTCAGACACCAGCCTGTCAATCTTATGGCGTCTCATTCAAAGCACAGAAGAGCCTCCAAGGAAAGCTACTGGACTCGGAATAAGGGAAGATAATTGTATGACCCTTGGGATCTAGGCAGCGTGGGGAATGTCACAACGATGCTGAGAACAGCAAACCGCTTCTGGTCTGTGTGGAAAGACTTAGAAGCCCACGTACTTCACAAGGCTCAAACACATCATCTCCCCTTCCTTCCTCCCTCTATCTCTTCTCAACAGTTTCTCCTCAAGAGAAACAATGATGGCAAACACCTTCAGTTCACACCTCTAATTAAATTTCCAACTCTGCTGCAAGACACGTGGGAATAAAAGGCTAACATGGAACTTTCTACTTAGGCAACAACCAAAGAAAAAAAGCCCAGAGGCAGCAAACAAAAGCAATACTGATGATGCCTCCTACCTCCATCCATGAAGTAGGGCCTTGCATCACTTCCTTATGTCATTCCTATTTCTAGAGCTAAAACTCACCTTTCCACCCAGTTCTTGTAGCTGGGGATGTCCTTGGCGTAGAGAAGCTTGTTGGAGGGTGAGTCTTTGCCCAGACGATGCTCTGAGGTCGAACAGGAGTCCATGAAAGTCTGAGCCACTACAGAGAGGCAGGCGTCTGTGATGCTATTCTTGTGAATGTCGAAGACGAACTGCGGGTTCTTGATCATGTTAACCCAGAACCGTAACGGCAGGCTGCAAGAGGCGTGGGAGAGGTGGAAGAGGTGAGTCAGTCAGTGCATGATTCACAGCCTTTGTTGCGGGAGGTTGCAATGGTAAATGGTGGATGGGAATCAAAGATCATGGTGTGGAGATAAGGATTCTGAGATAAGCTTTGATATACAAGAAACTCCTCCCCTACACCACTCTAGGGACAGCAGTGGAGTCACCTCGAGAGTGGCTTTTATCCTTACAAGCCAGATTTTGTCAGTCTTAAAGTTAATGCCGTCTTATTGAACTTGTACATAAATTAATGGGAGTATAATTGAGGTGATGAAAATGATGCCTAACTTCTCTACGTTAGGTTGCAATGTAAAGTCGCAGCTGTTGGCTGCTTCATCAGCTGAGGATAGGCATTGCATCAGCAAAACTTATGATGAACATTTGTCATTGAAGGACTTGGCTTTTAGCCCTCATAGCAACCCCATGGGAAGAGAGATAGATATTGCTCCCAGGTTAAGACTAGGAGTGTTACTGGCGTGCACTGTGTGCTGTGGATACCGTGCACTGTCACACTCCACGTCTCAAGCTCAAGTCCGTATATGATCCCAGCACACTGGGCAAAAAGCAGTCATTACGTGACAGGGAAAACCCTGTTGCCTCAGGAGGAAAAATGGAACTGGGAAACAAGTGTTGCACCCTTTGAAATGAAAATATATCTGCCCTAACCAAGGAAATGTTATTTCAGTTGCAATCCAAAGCCCTTCTTCCCCCCACTTTTTCTCAAAAGAGCAGTTCATTTGTATGAGATGCCCTGAGGTAACTACCTCCAGCCTTTGCCTCAAGCCTTTTTGTCAGGGCAGAGCCATTCATATGGCCTAGGAGCTGAGATGTGTCACTGATCACAGAGTCAAACTCTTGTCTCTCTGCCAGGTAGACCGTTAAGTCTACCTTCAGTGTCTTCACCTTCCCAAGAGGAGGTTATTCTTCAGCTTAACAAATTCACCTGATGTTCAGGCTAAACTCCCCAGTTCCTCCCATTTGCTCATTACCCCCATGTATTCGCAGCACCAAAAAACATTCATCTCCAAATCCAATACATTCTGGGTAACAGCAGGCAGTTTAGCATGTCCTGACAGAGGGATGACACCACATTTTCCTAAACCACCGTGTGTTCTCCTGAGCCAGTAAAATCACAAAGCAAATGTAAGGAAAGACCCACACAGGTAATCCTATCAGCCAAGTTCAGGAGAAGTGGGAGATGCTGGCAAAGAGACCTGGTGGAGTGTTGTGGGGGGAAACATTTTAGGCTGGGGATGGAGGTTCATCTGTTGGGGGACGAGGCGGATGGGTGAACTATGCAGAACTTCCTCTGCAGGTGTTCAGATGGCAAACACAGGCACAGTGAGGAGGAGCCGAGAACCCGTGTATGTGTGCCTGAGTGTGTGTACGGGTGCGGGGAGGGGCTGGGGGAACGATGTCCCTAGCTGGGAATAATGAAGCCCATGATGTGACTTTGAGTTAATTTAATCTGATTGAAGAGATTTCTTCATACTGCCCCTTTTCACACATACACACACACTCTGCCTTCCCCCCTCCCCCCTTAAATAAACCTCCTGCTCATTTAGTCTGAGTGGCTGCAATCAGCCTTAGATTAGCGCTGCAGATAATGTTAATAATATGCTAATGTTTCATTAGTTGAAAGCCTCTTTGGTGCATGGGGTTTCTTTTTTTATGTCACTGCGCTGTGACGATCTGCCATCAGCATGGCTGGTAAAAGGAAAAAATGCATGAGCTGGGAGCCCCATGGCTCTCCTCTGCTGTTCCTTTTTTAGTCCCTGTATTTGCACAGGAGAAGGGGAGGGAGCGATTCCCCGGGGGACTCTTTCCAACAGGGAGACTCAGCGGAGAGAAGCCGCAGAGATCTTTTCTCTCCGCTGATTCTGTTTTTTCCTTGCTGTCCCATTACATGTACGAAGAGGGGCTGCTGCCTGGCAGCTAGAGCAGGGGGCTGATGTCAGACTTTGTCACTCACTCCGAAGGAGACTTGCATCCAGCTCCAGACCCTTTAAGTGCTTGGTACCATTTGAGATGCTCTCCAGCTGCCAGCCCAGGAGGGTGCAAGTCTCCTGTGAGTGCTGCACATCCCCTGCAGATGCCTGGGATACCTTAAAATATCTCGGATGGCACTAGAAGCCTGGGTGTGGGCAAACAAATGGAGCTCTAGCCCCCCTCTGACTAGAGTGGGAATTCAAACACCCAGTCTAGATGAAGACAGTGGTGCTGAATCCTCTCCCATGCCTCCCTAGATATTCCTATGGGCCTGGGCACTGCAGCAGTTAAACACTTCACCACTTTTCCTCCTGAGGTTCCTCAGAAACACTGCCAGCCCCATGTAATACAGGGCAAAGTGGGACCTGTTTAGCCAAAGCGCTCCATCCTAGAGAGCATCTGTTAGGTTCTGGGATCTTCTGACTTCCCCATCAGCTTGGGAAGACTGAGTCCGGTGCTCTGAACCCCACGCCAGGCTCCTCAGATCCCCCAGCAGCCAGATCCCAAATGACACGTCCCTTTACTCTCCGTCCAGGCCAGAACCTGGTGCTGGACTGTACTGGGGTGTCTCACTCACCAATTGCTCTTCCAGGTGTGCCGCACGTGGGGGTCATGGATGTTGTGCTTGTCAGCCTGCTCATCCAAGAAGTCGAACATGTATTTGATAGCTAGGGGAAGCGCGCTGCCACGGTGAGCAGTGCTGAAGATGGTCTCAAAGAGGTCGTCCACAAATTTCTGGAGGGTGCCCTGTTGGGAGAAGGAAGCAAAGAAGAATGTGAGTTACCAAGGAAGAGGACGTTGAATTTTGGTGATCCACAGAGTATGTCAGTGGATCAGGCCCATAAAGTGTGACTGAAAAGTGGGAGCCATCTAATATCTGTTAAATGCAACATGATTTGGAACTTTCAATATAGATGTCTTTAAGCAGACATGTGCATCATCACAATCTCGGCTACATCTGGTTAGCAGACAGATGTAATAAGTCAAGATGCTACCTGTCGTCTCTGCTACTAGCACTCCTTGCCAGGGACGGTGACCGAGCTGCGGTGGGATACTTCACCCCATCTCAGGTATATGGTGATGGAGAGGCCCTGATCTGTTTCCACCGAGATTCCTCTCCTCTGCCTCCTATCCTCAACTGCTTTAGTCCATGCATGAGACAAAACCTAGCCATTTTCTATGCTGGCTTTCATCCAGGGCCAATTCTTAAGCTGGGAATAGAAGTCAGATGACTGCAGAGCAGAGCAGAAGGTGTCATTGAGACAAATGGGACAAGAGTTCGTGGAGAGCGACAGCTGTTTTATGTGTGTGAGTAGTATAATAAATAACACGAACTTCATCTTATCCCCAAGAGACCTCATTTGTTACTACCCATTGGCATGGGACTGAGGCAAACCCTAGAAGCAACGCATGGATGTGTCAGGTACTGCTCTGCAGACCTCAGTAATATCCACTGCAGAGACTGCAGAGGTCTCCTTGTGCTCCTCTGGGAGGAGAATCCCAGATCCTGTGCTTGGAGAACCACCCTGGACAAGCCGGTGAGGACAGTTGACCTTAAGCAAGAAGGTGAAGAGCTGGAATATCAGAGGGTGACCAGGCTTGGAAGAAGGGACAGTTGAGGAGCTGTGATAACCAGATGAGCTGCAGGCTGGGTTTGGGGGGGAACCAGGCAAGGCACGATTTCTGTGTGGAATGGGGAGCTCTAGCCCATGTCTGAACCTCTGTTCTGCCACCAGAGCTTCATAGGCATTTATATGTGAACAACACATACAGCTGGTAAAATAACCAAAAAGCAATCAAATCTCCACCAAATGTTTTCTGACATGCAAAATTTCCTCTTCTGAAAAATAAACCCCTCCCCTTTCTCTGCAGACCCAGGAATGAAATTCTCCTTACTAGAAACGAAGCACCAGGTTCCACCGGAGTGGCTCAAGTTTACATAGCGCTAACAAATACTTAATTAGAAAGCTGGTGTCTCTTGCTGATTCACCACTTGATTTATTCTTTGGGAAACAAACAGAGGTACCTTTTGCTTGCGTGAACTCCTACAGAGTGAATAAAGGCCTGCAGCACATGTCTGACTCAGAAAGGGCCCCCGAGGGGAAATCTTGTTGGTCTGACATGGAAGAGCTGCCCTCAGGTTCAGTTTCTGGAGGGAATTAGTTGTCTACATGCTCACCCACACAAACACAAAGAAAACCTCTGAGGCTTTTAGGCAAGAGACTCTAGGTCTCAGAGGTCAGGGATTTACCAGAATAAAAATCATTGTTAGTTTAACTAAGTATTCCCTGGGATTGTATTACGAGCAATTGCTGTCTCTCCTCTTTCCCTCCCTCAAATGGTCATGATGAGAAAAGAAAATCATCCGTCCCAACAGGGGAAACAATAAACCCTCAGCCTTTCTACTCTCTCTGTTGCTGTGCAAGTTTTGCAGCTGCTTTCCTGCCATATCCACAACCCGCCCCCCTGAGTGTTGAGTTTGTGATCCGGAACAGAAAGCAAAAGCGATTCAATGGCGGGGTAGGGGACATATCCCCAGACAGTGTAAATCAGCACCGGTCCAATGCTTGCTGGTTTACACCAGCTGGGGCCCAAGCCCTGGGGAGCATAATTTTCTTTTTACGTTGTATGACCCGTAAAAGCATCTTGATGCCAGGGAGCTGGACATGTACCAGGGGCTAAAGACAAAGCCACTTTATCTCCAAATCGCACTGCAACGTAGACAGCCTGAGTGAGGCTGCAGGGAGAGTCAGACACGAGAGGCAAAATGAGTTGAGGAACAAATGTGCAGGTAAGACTGTGTGGTAGGATTTAAGCATGTGATGGAGACCTGTCTGATGGGCAAACTCTCAGATGGTGTTTGCATGAACACATGAAATTGTGTTTGTGCCTATTAACACCCTGACAAGAAATGATAATAGTCAAAGCTTCAGAGAAGGGAGGAAGATTGGGCTGTTTGATCACTGCTTGGTTTAATCCTGCTCAGAATGGGGTGAGATAACACCGTGATCGGCCACACCTGAGCCACAACTACCCTGCGGATTCCACTTCTGGGATGCACTGAGATAACTCTCACGTTAGAGAGATTCGGGCACAGAGATGCTCTGTGCTGCAAGAGGACAGCAGAACTGCCCAAGAAGCCTGTCTGATTATATTGCCTTCATCCCCACCTGCCCTAGTCCCTGCTGGGGTGCAAAAGAAGATCGTTGCAGCCTCTTCATTAATGCAGGCTTCTCCAAGGAGACCACCATCCACAGGGTGGAAAAGCAAATAAATGTAAACTCAGACAACTGCTTTTGCCCACAGTCCTGTAGAGCCTTTAGAGATGAGTTAGGTGGAGGGTAGTCTTGGTCAGAGATGGAAGAAGGTGAAAGGCCTGAGATCTTTTGTCAACCCCAGAGTGAGCTGGCTGCAGCAAGAACCGGCCATCCCCTTTGCAGGGAAGTGATGGTGAGTGACAGTGAGTTCTTTCTGTGCAGAGAGTGGCAATTAAGCCACTTTCAGTGGCTGTCCCAGAGCCAAAGTCCACTGCAGTAAGTTTTAGACCTGTCAGCTTGAGTGATCTCCATGTCTGCAAGTGTCCTCCTCATGGTGCTGCATCCCCAATTATGCAAAACACTCACAAACTGCCCTACTACATAAGTTTTGCAGGCTCTGGCAGGCACCCACATAGGAGGCTGGTTTCCAGCATTTTGGGGAATATGGATTGAGAAGATGGGATCTTACCAACTTCCCAACACAGTCTTTGCCCTCTCTGCAGACACTTCCCATGGACCAGCTGTGATGTGTGAGATGTGTCTGGAGATTCAGTTCAGGATGTCCCTGCTCTGTCCCCACCTGACTTAATCTTTATTTTCTCTTTGGAGACCCTGAGCTTTCCATGTCTCAGTAGGGATGGGCATCTAACTCTGCTTGCTCTCCTTGGAGCTGGCCACCTATTAGCTACATCCCAGTCAACTTAACCCGCTACCACATCATCAGCACAAGAGTCTTCATGGGCCCAGGGGAAAGATGGAGAAGAAGGATTTGCACCACAAAACTCAGGCTTTTGTGGCATAGGAGCCCATTTCAGACTGTGAGGCGTGACACATCGTTGGAACCTGATCTGGGCATATTTACTCCCTAGCTTTTCATTTGCTCGATTTTGGTACAAACTACAAGCCAGTATAATCGACAACCCCAGCACCTACCCCTGTGCTGGCTTTCTCCCCCAGTCTCTTGGCCCTGGGCTCTTTACTACTCATTGCTCTTCAATGTCCTTTTCTGTCTCTGCTTTCTAAATTCAAGCTCCTTCCCTACATGCTTGGAGCACTCCTCTTGCTTTATTTTCCTTCTTCTCCTCTCTCTTTATCCTCCTTTGGCATCATTTGAGCAGTCTCTCATTTCTTGTAGTCAAGAAGTTCCACTGCAGCCTTTAAAAACAAATTCTCACCCTCTTCCCCGCCCCCAGCATGTACCTTGGTGGCAAGTAGTCTTGTCAGGTAGATCTCAGAAACCATCTTGCTGCCCCGGTCACCCTCTTTTTGGTCACCATGCTCATGGTTCTTCACCAAGTGCCACATCTTGACTCCACTCTCAAGGTCAGGTGTGATCATGGGTGTGCGGGAACGGAGACTGTCCGGGCTGCCTGTGTAACGGATCATGTTTTCTGCAAAGAAAGATGCGTGTGTCTCAGCCCTAGTAGCACTTGTATTGGGATTAACATGCTAAGGACATGCCACCTAACGGAAGTTTTTCATCAGGCAGGCAAGAAGAAGACCTCTTCCGTCTGGGTTCAGTAGCAGGTACTTCTCCCATTCAGTGTATGGAGTTGATGCTCATACAGATTCTGGTATGGGGCTGAGACAATAAATCACAGCTGGTGAGTCCACCCTGGGGAGATGTTAGTTTGGGTCTCCAAAGTGGGAAGGCTGTAGCAGTACTGCAATGTCCCTGCTCTCACAAGGTCTGCATTTCCAGATTAGTATTAAATAAATTTCCATCAGCCAATCATAACATTAGGCAACACAAGTATATCTCCTTGTGGAATTACAGTGTGAGACGGAGAAGCCCCGAAAGCCCAGGACCAGGACCGGTTCAGGGGATAGTACCAGCTACTCCCGGTAACCGGTACGGCTAAGCACAACTCGTTTTACCTGTAGGGATGTTAGCCACACCATGCCATGCTGCTTGGCATTATGGCCAGAGAACAGGCCATGGCCTTTTTGCACAGTAATACTGACGTAGCTAACATGACCTCTCGTCTAGCTCCCCATCCCCGGACTCAGGAGGAGCTGTCTCCTCTCCCTCTTTTGGCATCAAATCAATCCAGTAACTCCTGCCCAGACATCCTCTTGACTCCCTGCTCCAAAATCTTGTTTTGGTAGAAAGTAAACCAGAACCCCATGTGGGCCCGCACAAATTTCCTCTCCAAGGACACCTTTAGCCTCCAAATTTTACCTCCCTTTGCCTCTGAGTGATGGCATGAGGCATTCCCCTCTCCCTGACCTTCCAGCAATGCTGCAGATAGATAGAGTCTTTTCCAACCATAATTAACAAAAGAGCATTGCACCTTTCTGTAGCAAGATCTGAATCAGCCTCATTAATGCATTACCAGTCTCTACATATTAATTATCAGATGGAATATCCTTTTTCTCTCTGGATGCTGTTTTCTTAATTGCAATTAACAATCACTTCTGACCCACCACATCTTCTCCTCCCCCTGCATTCTTCCCCACTCCCTCCTCCTGAAAAATCAAATGGCAAAAGAATTAGAGAAATCCAGCAGAAATTAACCCCCCTCAAGTCTTCCTTTTCAAAGGTCATTGTGTCTTTCAGTAATTGCAACAACATGGCAAAGAGGATGAATATTAATAAGGGCTGGTGGATTGCCTATGTCCTTGGAGAAGGAGGAAGGGGGCTCCTCTGGACATTGAGTAACTGTACTTCCTTCAAGCTAAAGGGAGTAAGAAGGATTGGGGATGTTTTCATAGATCAAAAATAATAATAAACTGATACGACAGCTGAATGCAGGTTGGCGGATGGTTTTGCAGCACTCTGGTTGCACATTAGAGACGTTTTGCTTTGCTGTCTGGCATCACCATAGTGAGACATATCCTGGTCTGCAATTCTAGCACAGGGGAGAAAGGTGTGTGATGGTGTGAGTGAGGCTCAGGAGGTCTCTGTTTGGCTCTACAGAAGAATTTCCACTGGGTCTCTATTTCACAGCTGTCTCATTCTCAGTTGTCTCATGGGTAAAGTGGGAACAACAATCCACTGCCTTCAGATATACTGATATAAGAGCTCAGTAAGGAATTTTTATTATTATTCCAGGTGCAAATTCCCTTGGGACGATAAGATAGCTGGGTGGGACACACAACACCCACACTGAGATATAACTGTAGCCAGGCTACGCCCTATGTAGATTGTGGTTGCTCATCTGTGCCACAGATTCTTCTTCACAACAGACCATGCTCCAAGGACTTTGCCCACCAGAACGACTGAGCCCATACAGTGTGCAGTGTTTCTCCCTTGCCCCTTCCTGTGCAAATTCTAAGAGTGAGATTCAGTGATCTAAAATGTAGGCAGCTAATTATATAGGCTCCTCCTTTCATTAATGAGGGAGGAGAAATACTTCCCAAGAGCAATCCAACCACTTGGATCAACAGCTTGGACCAAATGCCAAAGTTTTAGATGGCTAAATTCCTTCCTCCTGCCATCCCTCAAGCAATCTTATCAACTAGTGTCCTGGTTTTGGCTGGGATAGAGTTAATTTTCTTCCTAGTAGCTGGTACAGTGCTGTGTTTTGGATTTAGTATGAGAAGAATGTTGATAACACACTGATGTTTTCAGTTGTTGCTAAGTAGTGTTTATACTAAGTCAAGGAATTTTCAGCTTCTCATGCCCAGCCAGCGAGAAGGCTGGAGGGGCACAAGAAGCTGGGAGGGGACACAGCCAGGACAGCTGACCCAAACTGGGCAAAGGGGTATTCCATACCGTGTGGTGTCATGCCCAGTATATAAACTGGGGGAGTTGGCCTGGGGGTGGATCGCTGCTTGGGAACTATCTGGGCATCAGTCAGCGAGCGGTGAGCAATTGCATTGTTCATCACTTGTTTTGTATGTTCCAATCCTTTTACTATTATTATTGTAATTTTATTACTGTTATTATTATAATTATTATTTTCTTCCTTTCTGTTCTATTAAACTGTTCTTATCTCAACCCACAAGGTTTACTTTTTTTTTCCCAATTCTCTCCCCCATCCCACTGGGTGGGGGGAGCGAGTGAGCAGCTGCGTGGTGCCTAGCTGCTGGCTGGGGTTAAATCACGACAACTAGTCATCTGCCTATCATTCTCTGTGCTGGTTCTCAGCGTCTTGTAACCACCATGACTTTTGGGATCTCTTCTCCAGTGTTCTTTCAACCCATATCAGCACACAAATCCTTACCGTACTTGCTGGCTGACGTCCGGGAGACCGTGGAGTTGTTGACTGCATTGTAGGCAGTGACTTGCTTGGAGACTAAAGCTACCACAGATCCATCTGGCACCTGTAGAGAAAAAGGGACTTTGTCAATAAGCTTCTGAAAACTGGCTGAGGAGCATGCCAGGGACAGCAGAAATTCAAGCAGCAGAAACTGAGCCGTAAAACAGTGTCACTGTAGGCAGGGCAGTAGTTTTGGCCCAAAGCTTCAAATGCTTTCTTCAGTGGGTCTGTTAACAAAAAAGGAACAAAATCCCTTGTTACACTGCTAGAAGCCTGCACTTGCACAATAGGACAACTGATGACAAAGCAGACTCTGCTCCATTCAGGTCCTGATTCAAAGTCCAGTGATGACAATGTGAGTCCTTGCATTAACCTCAGGAAAGCTGACAGTAGGTTCTTCACAAGGAACCTCTTCTGCAGAACAGGAGCATGAGAAGAATAAAATCATCTGAGCTATTTCAAACATGAAGGATGGGATGTCCCATAAGGACCATAAAACTGATGTGAAAATTTTCTATTCCTTCCACCTCAATTGCAGGTGATATCTAGGTACCAGGCTCAGAAATGGATATCTACATTTTCCACTTTGACTGATCCTGTCAGCCTCTCCATGCAGAGTCTCCCCCTTCCACATGACAAATGCACTGCTGGACTGAAGCAATTACCGCAACTTCTTTCTCTCTGCTGTGTCAGAAGGTCTCAGACAGGGGAAAGCCGTAAGTTTGGAGTGGCTGTGCTCCAGGATGTCATGGGACAGTGTTTCCACAGACAACAGAGCTTTCTGAAACGAGCCAGACTTTCCATCTCTATAGCTAGGCGATTCATGTGGGTCCTGTATCAGAAATGTTAACAAGCCAGTAGCTCAAAGGAGCCATATCAGGAATATCTGTGATAAATAAGACATCATAAAAAGGAGATGGGTGAAAAAAAAAAACCTGCTAACGTCTAACTCTTGTCTGTGTAATAATAATAATTAGCACTTGCACAGTTTTTCATCTTCAAAGCACTGCAGAGCCTAATTAAATAGCCCCTCAGCAATCACAGAAGGCAATTATTGGCTCTTTGTAGTTTTAGCCCCACGTTACAAATGGGGAAACTGAGGCAACAAGAATATCAGTGTCTGTCCCAGCATGCTCCATGTCTGCCCTCAGGATAGCCAGGGTAAATGACATAGAGGTCAACACCCTGGCAGCTGAGACGTGTTCTGCCCCAGCTCATCCATATAGCTGGGAGCTCACTGCCTGAAGCAAACAACTGGAAAAAGCAAAAAAAGGGAAAGAAAATTATGCCTAGTTTGTTGGTGAAATAAAATAGAAAACATTCCTGCTCCACCTGAAAAAATTGTTCTGGAGTCAGCCAGCAATGCCTCAGTCAATCTGAAGTTAAAAGTTTTGTTTCCTTTTCAAATTATTTCTTGCTGCCTCCACAGGTCAGCTCTTAAAAGAAAAAAAAAAAAAAAATCTTGTTATGAAACATAGATTGCTAAAGTGTGATTGAGGAAATGACAACATTGTCAGCTTTGGATTAAACTTAATGAAGTGCTTTTTTTTTTTTTTTGGCAAGGAGGGAAAGGAGTAGGGGGAGCTTTTGACCAAAACTCCATTTTTCATAAAATTTATCACTTGTATAAGATATTTTCAGACATCTTTAGCCCTCTCTTATGGATCTCAACAGCCTGCAGAAATGGATGTCAACAGGATGGATGTACTCAACACAGGGGCTCTGTCCAGTTATTGACCACTCAACTGTTGTTTATGTCTGCATCTTAGAGAATAATAATTTGCCCTTCTCCTTTTTGCTTTCTTAGCTCATCTACCTTCGACCATCGCCTCACACTGTTACCTGATAGTGTGCCAGCGTGTTGAGTCTCTTCCAGTCATTCTCTATCTTGGTCGTGATGTCTTCATCCTGAAGGATCATCCTTGCCCCACTTGCTTGCCGCCACTCTGCAAGAAGAACAGGGACATTGAACTCTGCTGTGCAGAGCCTCTGGGACAGAGGGCTGAGCCCTGGCAATCCCCTGTCCGTAACCCACGTGGTCACACACGAGTGGGCTGCATCCATGTAGCAGCATGTCAGTCATTGCCATTACTTTTTGTCAGATGCCTACGTACAACATACAAATGCACAAATGTCCAGACTCCTCTTTCCAGAGGGAAAGAGAAGACAGATGAACCATGAAAGGTTCAGGGAGATGGTTCAGGAAAGTATGCAAAAATCATAGCCACGTGGAAAAGTTGAGAGTCAAGTCCTAGGTTATCCACACCGGTTTACCCGTGATAAAATGATTTTGCTATCACAAAAGAACTTTTACACAGGAAACACTCACCCCTTTAAAGCATGACACCATAGAGAACAGAACATAGAGCAGTTGCCTACAGAGATGAGAGGTCCAAGGCTAGGGCACAGCAGCACACAGTGGTGAGGTCTATACAGATAAATAAAGCAATGACCGGAGAGCCACGGATCCATTGGCAGAGCTGAACAGAGCAAGGTCTGGTGCTTCAGCACCCTGGTTATGCACAGTGCTTAACTCTTGGCTGACTCCCTGGCTCTGTTCTTGCTTCAACGTGGCTTTTTCCAAGACCAGCCCGTCCTTGCGTATGTTAGCCATCACCATGGGACAGGAGTAAATGAATGTGTCGGGGACAGAACTTCATCCCTGGCCCTCTTTCCTTTAGCAGCACAGACACAGCCTTTACTGATACCTGAGATATGTCTAACTGGCAAGACCCAGCCCCAGAGAGGGCTCCCCCGGGCAGAGCAGTGTCTTGCTCAGCACAGCACCAGACCCTGTGCTGGGCTCAGTTCATCTCCATTAGTGCTTGCACAATACTTCTTGCCACTCAGATCCAGAAGTGATGGAGAGCAGGAAGCCCTTAGCTTTGGGCGCTGTAGAAGCACAACAGGGAGAAGAACCAGAGATGGAACCAACACCCTGCTCCATGGTGCACATAATCTCTACCAGCCTTCAGCAGCGTGTGGCAGAAGGGCTCCAGTTTCTGACCACATCCAGCTCTCCAGCCTCCACCCCAAAATGCTCAATGCTTCTCTTCTGCAGGTCTGGAGCACCCTGTCACTGCTCAGGGTACCACCTTTTCCTCAAATCTTGAAGAATGCTCCGTGTGGAGGATTGTCACAGCTTTCCCCACAGAGAGCTCACAGACTTGGCTGAAGGCAAGGAACACAAACATGGCCAAAAGGAGAGAAATTTAGTAGCACCTGGTGACAGTAGGGAAAGCTGTGGCTTAACCCCAGACCACCTGGACCATCCAAAGCTTCCTTTTTGGTTGTCATGTCTCAGTCACAGCGACCCAGCCACATACAGTTTAGCCAGAGCCGAATCAGAAAGTCTATTCTTTTATAGGAGTTAATTAAAATCAACTCTTGGATATGGAGACATCACCTACCACCCCTGCTTATTTCTCCTAATACAAAAATGCAAGAACCATTACAGATTTCTTTTGGTTTCAGCAGTTTTCTTATCACATAATTAAAATGTATTGGGAAAGCCTCCCTTGCCTTTATTATTCATTTAAATTAGCAGGAAGAGGTCAGCTGCTGTGTTTATTGCTGGGTGTTACTTTGGCTGGAGATACTCAGAGAGTAAGCAAAGGTTATGTTGGCTAAGCACTGATCCTGAACAGCCCTTCATTTACTCCAGCTCCTTAGATCCTCACCCACATTATCCTTGTGACGTCCGAGGATGATACTCTCTGTTCATTCCCACCTGGACCGGATTCCGAGAAGCTAACTGGTCCCAGACATTGCTTGGCAGAGCACAAATGCTGAAGTTTGGGCTGGGAAATGGTGCTCTTACAAAGTGCCACACAGAGTGCCAAAAGCCCAAAGAATCTGTCTCTTCTGTGCCTTCTTCACGGTCTCTTGGGGACGGTGTCTCTTTGACCTCTCTCCTTCAGGGCTCTGGATGTTCCTATGGTCCTCCTCTCTCCTGACTCATCTTGGGCGAGAGACACACACATTCACGTAGTGTTTCTGGAGGGATGCACAAGTTCTCAGTGTTGCACTTGGCTCTGATATGAAGGGTAGGCACAGCTTCCCTCATTCTGTGCTTTATCATGTGTCACGGGCTGGACAAGGTCCTCAGAACAGCAGAAGCTTTCCGTCTGCTTCAGGGGAGCCGGGGACATCGTGAGATGTCCCCTCAAGCTCTCTGTGCTCCTGCACAGACACGGGATTGCCAAGCTCTTCCCCTTGGCCTTCCTGTAGAAAGGGGCCATGCAAGGAAGAGGAAGGACCAGCCTGACTCTGCACAAGACCCACTGAGCAAGACAAGGAGGAAAACACCCTGCAGGGCAGGTTCAGAGCATCTGGCTTCAGTTTTGCAGCCCGTTTGCCCTGACGAAATACAAATCACTTCATTGTGCATGTGAGCAATGTCAGGGAAAGGACCCCCAGCTGTGGTCCCCCAATTCTTCCTTGTCTCACAGGAGCACACTGCGCTCCTCTTCTCCGTGAGTGCCAGCTGAGGTGGTCACACACTGGTCTGAAAAGAAATGCAACGGCTGGGAGCAAGGGAATGGGAAGGGAGGATGCAAAGGAGGAAAAGGTGACCCCGGCATCCATATTCACAGCACTAAGTGAAAACTGTTAGCTTTGTCCTCACTGGCAGCACCCTGTCCCCTCTCTCATCAGATCTGCGCACTCCTCTGCGAGACGGCACAAAGGAGAGACATACTCCAATCCAATTTGTTACACTTCCACCTTCCGGAGAGAGGGAGAGAGGGGGGAGGGAGGTAAAAAATCCCATTATCTTTATCAAGCCTTCCAATCAGGAGCAGTGGTAAATGCAAACTCAGGAGACAGCTGCTGTGAAGCCTTTATATTTCATTCAGCAGATAGTGTATCTTTTTATTGCATGCAGGAATTACTTCTTCTTTTTTTTTCCTTTTTCCTTTTTTTTCTTTCTTTTTTTTTTCTTTTTTTTTAAGAAGCAACCTTTCTGTTCAGCTCAACTGGGAAAAAGGAAATTCCAGGGGCCTTTGACAAAGAGGTGCTTCTTTGAGCTGTAGCAATGCCTGGCTAGGGAATGACTCAATGGGAAGATGGGCGACTAGGAGATGTCCTCCTGCACCTCAAATCCTATAGAAAATGTTACACCTTCCTTGTGCCGTCTCTCTGATCCAGGTCACCCTGAAGATGCCCATTGAACAAGGGAGAAAATTGTAGCAGAGAGAACATTTTTCAGGGGCAATTGAAATACCCAGGTGGATGGAAGACCTGCCAGCTCACTCCAAGTGCCTTCATTTGAGCTAGTCATCATCAGTTACACCATCCTTTACAGGCACTTCTAGGTCATGATGCATCCATTTCAATCAACCGTTCATGCCATATACTGTGCTTCCCACCCTCTTCCTAAAGACCCAAAGCCTCCCATGAAGGGCTGTGAAATGGTTTGTGGCTGACTGTGCACAGCAATGGCATGTGGAACAAACGCACGTGGCTGACCCAGGCTCAATGCCTATTTCATGAACACTTGTGCTCATGAAGGATTAGTCTGAAGAGCTGGAGGGCTGATTTTAGTCTTATGAGTGTTTTTTCACTTCCCAATAATTTCCACATGAGAAACAGATCGGTGCAGGAAACAGGAGAATAAACCCTTTGCCTGTATGCTGCAGGCACCAGCCCAATCAGGTGGGTAGGAAAAAAAAAAAAGGGTAAATGTCAAGTATGTGGTGACCTCTAGGAAGAGAGGAGAAACTCAGATCTGCTTCTGGAGTGGAGAAAGGACCACCGTGGTTGAAGGAAAAAAAGTTCATATCAGAAAGTGCAGATGGAAGATGCCTGGGAAATATTTCATCCTATATATGCAAGTTGCCTGCCTTACTCGAGTTGGACCCAGTTTAAATGGCTACTAAAGGTTGAGCCCCGCATCCCAGTACTGCACCGTTGGTAAGGCAGCGAAAGCTTGCCTGATGTGGTCCACAAGGAGCCTGAGACCGCATCACTGAGTGCAAGGCGGTCAACCTAGTAGCTCCCATCACCTCAGCAGTCCCTTTCAAAAAGCAACCGAAACACAGGGAAGAGTGAATGCCTCAGCATGAAGCCAAATTCCTGTTTCGTGATCCTCACACCCTAATGCTTTCCGAAAGATGGGGCATTTTATTTATGGTGAGGGTGTTAAAAAATAATAATCACAAAAATAGCCACTGCAGAAAGAAGCCTTTACTCAGAGGGCTGCAATTGGGGTTTTGGACTAAAATGTAACCTCAGGGTGTCCAGAATAAGTGCTTTCAGCTGACAACCCCCTCCATGAGTTGTCTGGGTAACTGCAAAACATTATGACATTTGCGACACATACAAGTCACTCTGCCTGCAGCTACCCTGCATTTAACAACTCAAAATAACTCATTAGCTTGTTTGCTTTCTTCCATGTGAGCAATCCGGCCTTAGTATGGACAGAAAGCCCAGAAAATTGCAATGGTAATAGAAAATGGTGTTGCTGTTCAGAAAAACATCGATTTCAAGGCCAGATTACAGTCATCTGCTCTGACCTACTGTTTGGAATGGACTGGCGGGGCTGATACAGCTGCCTTTGCAGTTCTGAGCATTCAGCCTAGGGCAGGCTGATCCCGAGAGCTCTGTGCTGCTTCCTAATGGCCAGCAGTGCTTTCTGCTCTCCCCTTGCTGCCTTCGCTGCCACCAAAGGATGCCAGGTGCCAACAAGCATCTTTTCCTGCAAAGAGGCTGGGCTGGAGCTGTGGCTGGATGTGTGTAATCCTCTTTTCCTGCTTCACCTATGCCAGCCCTCTCCTCCCACCTTGTTAGCTGCTGTGCTAAAGGAGCCGGCAACTATATTGCTGCTGGCAAGACTCTTCTACTAGATGAGGGGGGGGGGGGGGGTTTTGTTTTGTTTTGGTTTGGTTTTTTCCCCACCTGCATCATCAATGCTATTGGCCAACAATGCTATTGCTCATTAAGCAGTCTCCTGTCAGTATGGACAAGTCTGTCCTCTGAGGGGTGCTCAGGCTCATAAATACTTTTTGGAACTCGCTGGTCCTCGGCACTGCTCAGCAGGTCAATATTTCTTAAAACAGCAGCAATCCTGGATGCAAAATTGTCAGGCTCCAGCTGGGACCACACACACACACACACACACTTCTGTATCTGTCACTTGTCAGAGCTACAGTAAAATCTGTGGACTCCAACTTGTCCCTCGTATTTGCAAGATGCAGGTAAAATTCCCACCTCCCGTTATGGATGCATCATTCATCCCCACAGCAGAACAAACTACTTTCCACTCAGACCCAGTCTGAGATGGGAACGTAATGGCTCTGTGGCCATCATCCAGCACCAGACAGGTCAAGAGATCTGGCTGGAAACCTCACTCCTCCGGTCTACCGTGCCCTGGCACCCTGCCCTACCCGCCCTCCTGCTCACCCTAGCACTCACCATTCGCCTGCTGACTCACAGCAGCTCCAGAATCACCTTGAGTCCTTTCTTGATGATGTATATGATCTGTTCTTTACTGCTGCTGGTTTTGGCACCTTGTTTCATTATTCTAACTGCTTTTCATGAGCAGGAATCTTGCTGCAATTTCTGTCAGGAATCCCCTCCTCCCCTACACGTACACACACGTATAGACGCTTTAATCCCTGACCTCTCATTCCTACCTCCATTATTGCTGTGAATTGTTTCTTGGCATCAGTCCATCCCTTCTCCTTTTGGTTCCTCTTCTACTTTGCTGGGTTTTATAGACTCCATCATTTTCCACTCAAGTCTCTTTCACTGAAGGTCACTGAGGGCAAATTCTGGCAGATACAGCCACAGTGCAGTCCCCAGCTCCCTACCAGACACCTCTACAATGCCCCGAGCAGATTTTTCTACATTCTTTCACAGTCACCTCCAGGTGTACTATCACACCTGCTCCTGGACCCCAACTTCAGACATCTCACTCCTCCCAGCATTCTTGCTCCAGATTTTTGGGCAGAAACAGATTTTGGACTCAGAGGCACCCCTGCACTGGTCTGTACAGCACCCAGTGTGCCCCAGAGCTCAACAGCACAACTGCCTAGAAATGCAGGTGAAGCTGGGGCTGCTCTTTTCACCCTCCAAGCAGAGCAATGCACAAAGGAACAAAACACTGAGGAAAAAAGCACGAATTCATAAACAGAAGGGCTAATCTTTTCTTAAGACCTCCTAGTCCTCTGCAGAAAGGAAATCTCAGAGCAGCAGCTCCCAGCCCTGCTGTCGGTGGTGGGGTGCTGGCAGGAGAGGGAAGCAGTCAGGGGTGAGATGGATGGAGCCCACTGAACATAGGATGCTTCATTCCCTTTCCTGTGCCTGCACAATGAGTAATTAATACTGCTTGGGCTGTGACTATCTCAGCAAGAAGATATATATAATTCAAACCCTCACTATTCAGAGGAGAGCTAGGAATAAATCTCTGCAACCAGAACACTGCTGACAACATCACCCTGGGCATTTGGTACTCTTTTTCCAGGGGTCTTTGGCAGGACAGAGAGAATAGCCCCCATCGTGCCTTTTCCATACCCTCGTTCAAGCTGAATTCTGTGGGCAGAAAAGCAGGATGGCTACTGGTCTTTTTAAATCCTCAAGGCCAAAGATTTCATAAGCCAGGAGCATGTGCAGCAATTTAATCAGTCTCTGCTGCCCTCTCACCACTGCAGCTGCTTGCACAAGCACCAAGGGTACACTCAGTCTGGAAAAGTGGCATCTGCCCCAGAAAACAGTGTCTGGATTGAGTTTGGCTGTCTCCAATCTCCCCTCTCCCCACTGCCCGGGGGCAATCGGGGCCCCTTGTGCACTCACATACCCAAGTCCATATCAGCAGCTTTGGGCCGGTGGGAGCAGGGCACGTTCTTGAAGATGGCATCGAGGATCTTCTCCTTGACCTGCGTGATGGTGTCACAATTCAGGATCTTCACCGGGATCTCGGGGCTGTTCACATTGTCGGGGTTGACGCAGCTCAGGACCTGAGGGAGAGGCAGTGAGACCCACCACACGTTTCACAGCAGCACGGGAACCCCGTGGCTGCCCTTCTTGCAGGTCCCTGCATCCTACAAGCCAGAGGGATCTAGGGTGCAATAAGGGGAAAAACGGGTACTGAAAGTATTCCCCCTTTCAAGAGGGCACAGAGATCTGGCTTCACACAGGGGGATTCCGTGCATCCATGTCTGTGCTGCTCTCACCCCTTACCACCGTCTGTGCCCAGTGAATTAAAGGTAACTAACTCAGCCGTTGGCTCTCAGCTAAGTGCTGTGGGCTCCCAAATGTTGCAGCCAGTGACTTACGGCTGATGTGAAGGTTCTTCTGAACTTGTGTCTCACACCACTTATCTCTGTGAGGTGAAACTACTATACCTGTGGGAACAGCCCCTTAGATTTGAGCCTTACCTCCTTGGCATCTTCACTATACTTAATAACAGAAAGCCCATGAATACCAGTTCACGTTCTGGTGCTTTCAGTAAAGATGGCATTCACTCAAATGGTACCAGAGAATGGTCATTGACACACTCTTTTCATAGAAACCATTAAAAATTCAATCAGAACTGACCCTGGTTGGAGCTGAACTGATATCCAAAGGGCTCTCCAGGGCTTTCCTTGGCCTCTGACCCATTCCATACTCCCTGGAGAGCTGGCAAGGTGACCTAATTCAGTAGTGGCCTTCTTGCATTGCCACCTGACTTAGACAATTCAGGTAAAAGTGCTCTTCAATCTCTCAGCCTTAGGTTTGTCTATCTTCTGCACAGCCTTGGGACTGACCCAGAGCCTTCTCAGAAGAATGTTCTTGATTTGAAATGCAGGGCTTCTTAAAAAACGAAACACAAAACAGCAACAACTTCTGCTTTCACATATAGAACAAGAAAATTGACCCAACTAGAGAGGCCTCTCATTTCTTAGGAGAATATAATTTTCTCCAAAGACTCTGTCCAAAACTAAATGCAAAGCATATGGGGTGGCGACGGCGGGCAGGATACCTTTTATACACACAGCATTTAACAGCAATCTGCCTGCTGACTCTTGGCCATGTCTATGTCAAGCATTCTGCTCTCTTCTGGTTACAGGAGTGTGAAGTCTATAAACTTTTACAAACTTACCACCTTTGCACTTGGAAGAAGTGTTCGGTGATGCTCCTGGCTATATACAGTCATTAAATGTTCCTGTGCCACTTTTACAAGTGCAGACATGTTAGTTTTGGTGCCTTAGACAAATTCTGCCTTGACTGTAAATTCCCTTCTGTAGTACGCAATAGGTACTGGACCCTCCATCATTTTCCATCTTAACCTACTAAGATGCAGTGGGATCTCAAAGTGCCTGGAAACTGGGTGAAATCATATCAGTATAATTATATATTGGCTCACCAGGCTCCCTTTGGTGCTGTTATGCTCAACTAAGAGGGACTTGTGAAGATATTGCTTACAAAGAGCTCTGTGATCTTTCTGGATGAAAGGGGAGATGTAAATATGAGATATTGATTAGATCATAATGCTATTATTTATATGTCACTTCCAGGAGTACTGAAGCAGCATCAATTCAGATAATAATAACAATGGCACAGATTTACAGTTCTGTGGCATCTTTCATCTCAAAGGATCACAGAACTATACATAAAAAGCACCGCTGAAATGCAACCAGTGTTGTGGTTACTAGTTGTCCCCCTCCCATTACACATAGGGAAACGTAGAAGTGATGGCAGGCTAGGACAGCCCTTTTGAGAGTGCTAGGGGGATCATATGTGATTCTGGAGACCAAGTTACTCTGCAGGTCTCAGGGATCTGAGCTCAGCTGAGGTGAAATGAGATGATGTCAGTCAGAGCAAGCTCCGTAGTGTAATTCATCTCTAATGCAAACACCTAGGGTTCAGTTCAGTTCCCCACATGAAAGCACTTAGTGCTCTTTAAAATAATCTGGGCTACCTTGCCAGGCCAACATCTGGTCCAGAAGACCCAACATCTCCTGCAGGCGTTGACTAGTGTCCACCACACCAATATCCACCATGCAGTGAGGACCATCATCCAGCTGGAAGCTGACAATGGTGATTTGCTCTTATAACTTGGTCGTCCTTGAATTTCACAGGGCGCTAACATTGGAAGGTGGCAGGAAAACTCTGCGTGAGTGAGCCACAATCATTCATGCTCTGACTACAGTAGTCCTTGCTTGCTTCTTTTCCAGCTCCTTTGAAAGAAGAAGGAGCAGGGAAGGCAGTATTTAAAAGGGCTGTGCAGAGAGAAGTTTGTTCTCAGTGGTTTCAAGCATAGACGGGGGCAGCTGGTAGTACCTGTAAACCCCTGAACTCCAGTATGTTCATTTGAATGACAGTCAAGAGGCTCCTTTCAACATTTTAGGAATTCAAGCATTGCTTACAGAAACCCCCACCTTTCCCAGAGCACAGGGGCTTTGACATATATGCCCCAGGCTGCACAACAGCTTTCAGTTGGGGTTTTCCCCACTGTTCTCTTGTGGAGGACTAAACTTTCTCCGTACAAAGACTTCAGGAATTTTGCAGGGTGCATCTGTGTATTGCACCTACTAAATAGCTGTTCTCTGGAGATTGTCACGGGCCCTGTATAAGTCATCCTTACACCACAGATTGAAAATCTTCGCTGCCCTTCCAACAGACTGAAGCTCCTAATTGTAATGAGGTGTTTGCAATGGAGACATTCCTACCACTTCTGTGGGAATCCTCCCAAGGGTTTCCTCTGTTGTCACTCTGTGCTTCTGTGGATTATCCCTGGTAGGGGATGACCAGGAGAAAAAAAAATCTAAGCATTGGCTTCATCGATTTAGCAGAGCTCAGATGTTCCAGTCTCACTGGAAGAGTAAGGTTTGCCCTGTGCTTCAACCCAGACCTGTCCTCATACAACCAAAGTAAGACAGAAAACTACTCCCATTGCTCCTGCAGTGCTGCTCAGCTACGCCAACACAATCTTTGATGTCAACTGGTGGGGAAGAGACCCCTGAGATGGCCTGTGTTGTATTCCTAGCGATCAGTCACTCTGAGGGAAGTTTTGCGATGCTGATCTCCTGAATGCATTTACTGTTACTACTCCACCACCCACCCCCTGCCGTTGAACCCTGTGGGGCTGAGCCAGCAAGGTGGATGAAGGGGAGAGGAGACTCCAGTGTCACTCAAGGAGATGCTGAATGTTTTGCCACTGAGAGGACACCAGTACTTGGCACTGCTGTTCTGTCATGCGTTGAGGTCTGTGTCAGCATAGCATAAGGAAGGTGCCAGTTGTGGGGTCAATGTGAAAAGGTATGGGACTGGGAGCAAGCGGAGCAGTCAGCTCTGAGCCCTGCTCTCCCACTGACTGTGCTGGGCATGTCATCTCACTGGATTTGTATTTATTGACTTTTTTTCTACATCCTTGGGCTTTTTTTGTCTGTTGTCTCTAAGTGTATACACATACATGCAATGCTCAGCACAGCTAAGCCCTGATCTCCGCTACAGATTACTGGCACTCAAATAATAAAGGCACAGCTTGTGATTACTCATATGGCAACCCTGGCTCTGAGTTCTCCGCAGTGTTTGAGGGCTCTGCCCTGCGACCAGGACGTGACTACAGCTTCTGTCCCAGGGACAAACATCTTTCTCTCCCTTCTAGACTGATCTAAGGAAGGTTCAAGGGGGCTAGCACACAGTGAGGCTTGGCAGTGAACAAGGAGAAGGACTCCCAGAAAAGCCAAGCATAAGAGAATCTTCTGATACCTTGGCAGTGGCTTCCTCCCTGCCACCAAAATTCCCTGAAAAGCCTTAACCAAAGGCAGCTCAAAGTATCTTTATCTATCTGGAATATGTTGTCAGAAGAGATGATCTGATTAGGCTTTCAGCCCTGGAGCCACCGAGGTGTGCGGGGACCACACAGAGCATGCCACTGCTCGAGATGTACCGGGCAGCTCCCACCTACCCCCCCAAGCACTAATTAGCCAATGCTCTTGACAGCTTCCGACACACATCGAGGTCTTTGCTCCCCTGCATTATTTGTATCAACAGAAATGAAGCTGACGCAGGAGATGGATGGTCTTTCATCTCCCAGTGACAGCGAAGCAGTGGCAGTAGGGAGTGAGGTTTTTGCATCTGGACTCTGTTTTGGTGAACGGTTAAAAAATCACGGATTCTGGCAAAGGCAGATGGCAGTCAGTAGGGATGAGATCTTCCTGTCTCACATAGATGGAATAATCTAGCTGGGTTTTTAATAACACTGCAGACCAGAGGTGATGAGCACTGACTGCTAGCGAGGACATTAACACAAGAGGGTGTTTCTCTGAGTTATACAGCTTGGGAGAAGACCTACTGTTTAGTTGCAACACATTTATTCTAGCAAATCACATCTGTAACTAGCTTAGTTTCTACTGCACTGAAAAATCCCTCTTAAGTACAGAAATTGTTAAAGACTGCAAAGACCCTAGGACATTGAGGCTGCTTCCTCGGAGAACTGTAGGACCTGGCAGACAGCAAGTCAGAGCTATTTGGTTTGGAAAGAAATCAGACTGAACTATCTAAATTTAGTGAATGAGGTGTGTATTGTAAAATCAGTAATTCCAGATGTCTGCAAGTGCTCTGTCTTCTTTTTTCTCCCTGGATAAGTCAATTTCTTTGGATCTGCTTTTCACTCAAACCATATTCGAAACCATGACTTAAAATAGTTGGTCATGATTAACGCAGGCTAAAGAATAAATGCCTTCCAAAAGAAGCCCCGGCCTTGGCTTCCTGGAATAATGACAATAAACAGCCTGTTTCAATATGCCACGCTGCTGGAATTGTGATTTAACTCAGTCAAGCAGCTATCTAGCACTCATGAAATGTGAACAACCCAAAGAATTTTAGCCACACACACTGCAAACTCACAGTGGTGACCAGGTACATTTGGTAGAAAGCAGAAAACATTGAGGGAATTCCTATATTACAAATAGTGAATCAGTTCTTGCTTTATTTCATTACTATATATTTTTAATAAAAGATGACAGACGGCTTAAGGAAGGTAGAGAAAGGACAAAATATAACAAAAATAAAGAGAAACAGAAAGGAAGAACAATCCTATTCATATTCTGCTTCTTCTTAATCTCCTTCACCGAAGCTGATCTCTGTAAATCTGCTGAGATTCCTATCAGGATATATTTGTCTGCTCTTGAGATGTAAGAGGGAGAGCTGATTAACATCAAACGACACAAAGCGAATGGAGGAGAGCTTTGTTCAGGCTGTTGTATAATTACTACCCTTTGCTGGCTGTGTTATATCAAGCCTAAAAGGATCGGAGGGATTTCCTTTGGTGAAAGTGATCACTCTGTGTCTGCAATTTTCTTCCTTTTGCTCACTCTCTCTGTGTGAGATCAGGCATCCAAATTGCTAGACAATCACACATTATAGAAAAGAATCACTACGCTGCTAATTTAATAGGAAAGTCACGTTTTTAATATGCAAAATAAAATTGTGGTCTTATTTAAGAATAAAGTCTATCCCCTCGTCAGACTGGGATTCAATCAAAGCTCAGCTCTAGACTGTAGTTACTGAAGCAGGCATTTCTAGTGTCAGCCCACCTGAGTTAAAATCTAAGACAGGTCAAGGAAGTAATTTCGACTGGACACAGCTCTTAAAGTTAGCTAAAGTCTCCCAATTGAAGGTGCAAATAAAATAAACTGCCAAGTTCAGAGCATCTTCTGACTTTCCTAAAATTTGGGCTTGGGGTTTTCTGAGAACAAAGACATGGGGAATAAAGAAATTACAAGGATCATTGAAGACTTGGAAAGTGTTCTTCATCCCACAGAGACTTAGAAGCTCAGTGGGTTTATTGTATCCAGGAAAAAGTGAAGGCCCACACACACACTAAGAAGAGATATCTAGTGCTCTTTAATTGATGCTCTTTAATCAAGTGGGAAGGGGGTGTAATCTCAGAGCAGAAGCTAAAGCTGAACATAGGCAGTGTATATCCTTCACCATGCAAACAATTACATTTTGAGTCAAATGACTCAGTGACAGGGATTAATTTTCTTTCCCTTGAAATCTTTAAATCAAGTTCATTTTTCTTTGACTTGCAGTTGTTCAAGAGGAATGGCTGCATTAGCTCTAGAGAAGACCTAATAGGTCCCTCTACTGTGTACCTCCAACATGTCCTGGTGAGGATTATTCTAGAGAACATCCCTGCAATATAGCCTCATAAAAACTTTTTGCTGTCACTCACAGAAGGCCACGGGCTTTGCACTGACCCGACACCGCAAGGTCTCCGGACGTCTCTGGGCTTGCCGTGCCCCGAGCCGGGTGTCCCTGTGATGGCAAGTGTCCCATGGCCAAGGACTCGTGCCCGACCTGCCTGAGCTCAGCGCTGGGGACACCCTGCATGGCCAAGGGCTGCCGCCCCGGGCAGGCACTGCCCAGCAAACACCAGATCTTTGCGTGCCGGGACTGGGCGCTGGGCAGCTCTGCCGCTGGTGCTGGGGACCGGGGAGAAGGGAGCGGGTGATGGGGAGACGCGGGATGAAGATACCCCCAGGTGGTCCCAAGAGTGAGAAGGAAGCAACCCCACCATGGACATCAGCTCCTCCCAGTGAATTGCTCAGGGTAGTGACAACTTGCAGTGACAACCCCACCTTTCTGCTGTAGGAAGAGCTGTTACCTTTGACTTACAACTCAGAGAGATGTTGGAAGGGTGGGCATCAGTATTGGGTCTGCATGGCAAGGTCTTGGTAGCGGGGGGGCTACAGGGGTGGCTTCTGTGAGAAGCTGCTAGAAGCTCCAAGATGGACCCGCTGCTGGCCAAGGCCGAGCCCATCAGCGATGGTGGCAGCGCCCCTGGGATAATGGATTTGGTTGTGACCCCATGGGAAGCCCCCGCTGGAGCAGTCTGTGCCTGAAGGACTGCAGCCTGTGGAAGGGAGCCACGCTGGAGCAGTTCATGAAGAACTGCAGCCCGCAGGAAGGACCCATGTTGGAGAAGTTCAAGGAGAACTGTCTCCCATGGGAGGGACCCCACACTGGAGCAGGGAACGAGTGAGGAGTCCTGCTCCTGAGGAGGAAGGAGCGGCAGAGACAACATGTGGTGAGCTGACCCCAACCCCCACTCACTGTCCCCCTGCGCCGCTGGTGGGGAGGAGGTAGAGAATTTGGGAGTGAAGTTGTGCCCGGGAAGAAGGGAGGGGTGGGAGGAAGGTGTTTTTAAGATTTGGTTTTATTCCTCATTACCCTACTCTGATTTATTGGTAATAAATGAAACTAATTTCCCCAAGTTGAGTCTGGTTTGCCCAAGACAGTAATTGCTGTTTGACCTCCCTGTCCTTATCTTGACCCACGAGCCTTTCATTATATTTTCTCTCCCCTGTCCAGCTGAGGAGGGGAGTGATAGAGCAGCTTTGGTGGGCACCTGGCATCCAGCCATGGTCAACCCACCACGGCATCACTCCAGGAACAAGGGGTAGATACTAGGAAGTATTTTGCCTAACAGAATGGAGTAAATTGCCCATATCTATTGTCTTCGCATTCGCAGGCGTATTCATGAGACAAGGTTCACGCTTGTCCTCCAATGCTCCCGGACCTCACCTAATCCAAGCAATGGTAAAGGATTGGCACTGTCAGTCTACCCTGCAATGAGTGCAGATGCTTTCAGAGAACAGGCAATGCCTTTGGGGAGCTGGAGATGCTCTGGGCATGGGGCAGGGCAGCCACCTTTGCAAAAGTGCTGTGCAAGCAGGTGCTTCAGCCATGAACCTTGCTGTGTTAGAGGATGTGACTAGTCAGTCTTCAGCAGGGTTACCCTGCTGGGTTGCTAGAATAAATTGTCTCCCAGAGGGTCAGCTTGCCCACCACTGGCTTCTATTCTCTAAATCCCCTTTTGCTAGAAGAGGCTGGACAAGCCCATTGGAAGGTGTGCTCAGAGCACTCACCAGTGTCTTGTAATCAATCTGCTGTCGAATAAGCTTGTCCTCACTCAGCGAATACCGGGCCTCCCCAGTGATCGAGTCGATGGGACCCTTTTCCATCTGCTGCTTGATGGCACAGAAAAGGGAGAACAGAGGCTCGCCAGCACACTCCTGCAGGGGTGAGAGACAACCATGAGGCGAAACAGGAGAAGCAGAGGTGAGAACCCAAACTACATAGCGTCTCAATGACTGCCACAGCTTGCCATCCCCAACCATTCGAGACAGATGCATCAGTGGGAATCAGTCTGTTCCATACAGCCCAGGAACAGCGGTTACTTTCCACTTCCACAGAGTGCAACCAGCCCTCTCGAGTGTCCTGTCACAGGACAAAGGTGCCAGTGCTCCCTGGCAACGGTGGGGCTAGCAGAGCCTTGTAGGAGCTGTTCAAGTGATTGTCACCAGGCCAGAGCTTTGCGCTGGAGCAGGTGGTGGGATGTGTCCCAGAGGACCTGGAGACAGGTCTGAAAGGGAGATGGACACTGGTGCCCCGTGCTGGGTGTCTGGGCAGACTCCACAGTGTCCCCGCGCACTCTTTTGCTGGAGGCAAATAGGGATGCTCAGACAGAAGCTGCTCCATGACCCAGGGGAGATGTACCCCTGGATCTGTACGGTCGCGTCGGTGATGTCAGATGTGTGGGGCCCAGCACAGGACAGCAACAAGCAGCCCACAGACAGGGCCAGCAAAGCACACCTCTCCCTAATTTCTCCTTCCCATCATTCGCACTCACTGCACTGCTCTTCCCACACTTCTCCTAGCCTCTCCTCCCTTGCTGCCCTCCCTCACGCACCCCTCCTCATGCGTCCCTCTATTGCCTCCCTTCCCCTTCATCTCCCCATCCTTCCTCCCCTCCTCCCCACCTTGCCCTCTCCTCTTGCAGTGTGTCCCAACTCAACGAGCGAGGTCATTTTCCTCTAGTGTAAATCCCAGCAAAAACAAGTTAATAATCTGAAGCAAAGTGGCCCCTTTCTCAGTTCCTACACCTGTCTCCCACTTAATTAGCTTATCTGCCAGCAGCATATTGCTTCTGTGTGCCTGTCTCTTGCCCTTATCAGGCCTCTGTTCAGGCTAAGGCAAGAAGACAAGCAGCTGAGTGGGGGTGAAAAAAGCCTATTATAAAAGCAGCTCTTTAGAGAGTCACCTCCTTATATCCTTTCCTTTCAGCTGAAAGCAGGAATCTGATACTGAAGTCACTGAAATTACCTTCCAGAGACCTACAAAACTTTCCTATGTGTTCATCCTTGGACTGGTTGTGCCTGAGAAAGGCTCAGGGGAATGGGATTGATTCGTAAAGCCTTGAATTGCCAGGAAGAGGGTGGCTATTCTATCCAAACAGGGCTGTAAGGTGTAAGGATATCTAGCAACCATATTGGGAGTGGAAAAGACAGTGCAGAGCCCAGCTCCTTCCAAAAATGCTGGTGCCACAGCAATTAGCATGCTTGAAGCTCAGTGTGGGTCCCCAAGAGGAAGCTGCCACCACCCAGCAGTCAGCAGCAGGTCTCAAAGGCTGAAAGTCTTTTTTTTTTTACTACACACCACCTCAAGGAGACCCTCCAGGAGGACCGAGAGGGCTCAGGGGGTGTCTCAAGTCTTTTCACTCTTTTGCTGATGAGTGTCCTGCAAAGTCGATGCTACTTCCCACTGGGATACAAAGCAGCAACAGCCTCAGCCCGTGTTGGGTTCTGGATGCAGCAATCGGATTTACATGGTGTATTGAATCCAGCCCTCTGTACTCAGAGGGTACATGGCCGTGCCCAGGGTAGGCTTGAGACAGCCTAATGGCAAGAAGAGCTTGGGCTCAGGCCTAAATTAAACTAAGCAGGGATTCGGTTGCGGTGTGCGTAAAGCAGATAAGCATGATGGAGGCACAGGGTATGATGGAGGCACTGAACTGGGGTGGGAGGAGATCTCCAGCCACTATGGACTGAATATATGGGTCGCCACATGATGGAGATCTGAGTCTGCTAGTAAAAGGAGAGCATTTTCAATATAGGTCTCCATCAGGCTCTGAAATCCTTCACGTTTCAGCACTGAACCTTAGATCTCACCTCTGTACAGGAGTAAGACCAACAGGCTGCCTCTCTAACGAAGTGTCCCTCTTTGTTCTCCCTGGATCAGAAAACAGCCCCTTTCCATTAGGCAGTGAGCTCCCTCCAGAGAAAAAAAGCCTTTTCCTTTATATCTAGGAAGTTTTTGCCCCAACTAAACCTCACCAAGAAGAAATGTATTAAAGCAGCTGTTCATCCAGGCATGCTGCTCCTCTTACCTTGAGGAACTTGTACAGAAGGAATGTGAACCAGTTGGTGAGCATTTTCTCAGCCACAGACTCTGTCCTAAAATCAGCCAGGGAGAAAAAGCAAATTGGAAATGAGTTAGTCGTGCTGTTAATATTAAAGGGCTAGTCAAAAGATTCGCGTTATCCATCTTACTGCCTAGATCTCTGAGCCCCATGGAAAGTCTGGCATGACACCATCAGGATTAAGCACATCCTAGGTTCTCTGTTTCAGCTTTGGATTTAGGAAACCTGCAGGCAGGCATATCCTTACTGCCCTGTTGATTCCTCTGTGACTAGGGATGTCTCTGTATGTCTGTTTTGCAGTTTCTCCATCAATGAAAGGGAGATGACAACATTTGAGGGAACCTTCTCAGAGGAGTTCAGGGACGATAAATCCATCAAATATGAGGAGCTCAGAGTTAGGCCATATGACAAGTAGGCTGTATAAATACTTAAGACAGACAGATCTGAATCACCAGAGAATAGTTATCTGGCACTGACTATCTCCCTGGCATTTGGGAGTGATTATACTCCTCAATATGTCGATGTAGCGCATTCACAGAGCTCATCCTTTTGCCCTTGAACACTCTGTTCTCAAACAAACAAAAACCCATCTTGAGTCCTCAGGGTGAACGTTTCCTACAGAAGAACCGACTCAGAGCTGTAAATGTGGTGTGGACACCAGGAGCACAGGATAAACCTGTGTACGTGCACTGGTGTTGCTCAAGAAGAAAGCAAGAGGCCCTGCCTGGATGAATTAAATGGGTCTTCCTTGTCCTGGCTATCACCAAAGCCACACAGGGGTTCTTGCTTAGGACAGCAGCTTGCCTTTTAGATTCCCTAGTCCTTCAGCATAAAGCTGATCTTGCTTCCTCTGGAGCATGAGACTTGCAAGGGGAAGGGTTTGCATCACTGGAGCGATATATGTGGAACCAGTCAACAATCTTGCCTGAAAGCAGTGCCTTCTTACACCAACACAGAGCAAGTCATGGTCCCTTCCCTAGCTAAATGCAGTTGATCTTTATCCTGGTTTCCATATGGATTTCTCTGTTCTTGTGGGCAAATCTCACTTATGATGGGGATGGTGGGGGGAGGAATGATAATAGAGGTGTTTTCTGTTGCTCCTCTTTTCTTGCCTGCAACCAGAGAAAGAGGTGATATGGTCCCAGTTTGCTACCAGATTAATGCTGTGTTTCCTTCATCTATAGTGATCATTGCTGTGTCTCTGCCTAGAGACTGCCTCTGTCCAAACCAGCCTGTTTGCCTTGTATTCCCCTTGGTCAAAGTCACCTAGCTGCTGTCCTCCGTTGGTCATCGTATGATATTCAATTCCAGCAATCCCCATGCTTATCATGGTCCGAGCTCCTCACAGGGAACATCACCCAGAGGAGTGCTCTTTCCGATACTCCCTAGTGTGACACCTGGGACCCATCACAAGGTGCGAACTTATCTCATGAGAAAAAGGACTGAAATCCTGCTGTGTTGTCGCTCTCTGCCCTGACAACTTTGATCTCTTTGAGCCTGTAGATGTCCTGCAGGATGAATATTGGACACAGGTGAGGTTGGAAAATCATTCCGGCCAGCTCCTTCCTCCTGTCAAATATCCCCAAAACCCAACACCGCAGAAGGGTGTTGGAAGATCCCCTTCCATCCACAGAGTCACAGGGAGGGAGGGGAAGCATCACGTTGAATCCGGCTGCTCCAAATAATTGTCTGGGGATGTCACACCAACACCTGAATCCCAAGGCACTGAGCTATTCACATGTTCATCAGTAGACTCTGTTCTGGTGCTGCTCAGTACAGGACCTCCATCTCAGAGCACAAACCACACCTCTGACTTCTTGTGTTTTCAGAGCTTGGAACGGTGGAGATGCCTTTTTTGTTTGCTGGCTCTCCTTCCAAAGGCCACACTTCATTCCCAGCAAAGATGACTAAAGTTAAAAAAGTGCTGGAGGAAGGAGAAAGAGGGAAGATGGGATGCTCAGGACAAGACAAGAGTGAACAACCAGGGAAGATGAAGAGATGGAGAAAGTGGAAGAAAAGGAGAAAATGAAGGGAGGAGACAGTTGGAAGGAGGCAGTGCCATCCAGCATCAGAGGAGAAGCACTGAGTGGAAGCCTGGGGACAGCTGGAGGGAGGTCACCAGCCAGCCTGTAGGCCTTGAATTACATCAGGGAGTCAACTGACACCAAAGCAAAGTCCAGTCTCTGCCACTGGCATTGCTGCCCTGAATGCCAGGAAGTGCCTTCTGCTCCCTTTTTTGCTGGTTCTCCATGGTGGGCTGTGTGCCAGATGAAAAGCCTCCCAGCAGGCACCACAGATCTCTTCCCTGACCAAGACATCCATCGTAATCATCTGAGGGCTCCTCAAAGTTGGCTCTGACAAGTGGCAAAGGCCATTCATCTCCAGAAGACTCCTCCTGATTTTACTTAGGGTCCTTGAATCAGAAGGGTTGGTTCAGACTGTGAAAAGGAGATGAATGTGATCCTAAAGGCAGAAGAGGCAACATTTCCCAGACAGGGAAAGCACATTAATTACAGAGCAGTAGATTTTTAATTTGAGGGTTTCCACAGAACTGTGGAGTTTAGCCCTTAGACCTGGCCAAGAAGCACCAATCCAAACTCGTGCCCTCTGTGAAACCAATTTTGTTATCCACTGGCTTCAAGAAGCTCCCAGCACCACCGCTCAGGGAGAGACAGGGATCCCACAATGCAGCCGAAGAAGACTCTCCATGTGTCCATAGTTAACTCATGAACAAGAAACAAAGCAGGGCAGTCCGCGTCCCAGGCAGGAGACAGCAGCAGCTGACTTACTCACCAGGGATATAACAGCCCGTTCTATGTGATATAGGTCCTACACAATGCAATTGAAGTTTTCAGGTTAAAAGGAAACATAAGCATAAATGAATATCTTAATCACAGAAAGATTCCAAAATAAGGCTTAGGAAGCATGGGTTCTTGCTGCCCTTATGAAGCTTTCTGGAAGATCCATGTTAAAATCCAGAGGTTTTCTGTAACTTTTAATCATTGACTACATTTTGGTTAGGGAAGAGGTGGTGCAAGATCTACAGACACACTTGCTGAAAGGGAAGGAAACGCAGAGAGGATGCTGGGAGGAAGAGGATGAGTTCTCTGAGAGAAGGCATGCTGTGTCAGGAAGTCTTAAATGAGCAGGAAACCAGAAAGGGAGAGCGATTCAGTCTTCATTCAGCCCTACTTGTCTTATTCACCCCTCTCTGCAAACAGCTTCATGCCAGCCCTATGGGGTTATATGAATTGTGGCTGTCTACCGTCCTGATTTCACACCCTGCTGCACAAACAAAAAACAAGCAAATTTGCCCATTTCCTCCAAATACAACTAGCATGCTTATGTTAGACAGTGGGACACAAGCTGCCCAGCCCAGCTCACTGCAGCCCCAGGCATCCTTACCTCCGGAGCAGCAGCTTGGGGTGGTTCTTGCTCTCCAGATTTTTGTCTATGAGGTCGGCCAAGAGCTGTTTGAGGACATCAGTGGCGTACTCCAGCTTGCTCTGCAGCACGGTCATGATCAGCGAGGCCACATTACCACGGTCCCGCATGGAGAAGCTGCGCTGGGACTCCAGCGTGCGGATGAAGGACAGCAGGAAAACCTTGTTATTGATGAGCTGGGCAAAGAGCTTCAGGCCTTTCTCCACGCGTTCTTGCCTATAGCCAGGGACCTGCACAAGAAGAAAGGGAGTTTATACCTTTTCCTCACTACCCACTGTCAGACCTCCCCAAATGGGTCACACAACCTTTGCTACCGTTCTGCCCTCAACCCTCCAGCTCCTCCAACTCTACACTTTGACATCAAACAGAAGTCAGTTCTGAGACAGGGAAAAAGGAAAAGCTGCTTCAAACAGCAGAGACAATTAAAAAAAAAAAAATCTTGCATCTAGCAGGCAGGTGAGTCGTTCCTTCTGCATCACAGTATAGTCCTGTAAAAAGGAAGAGAGTCCATACGTCATCTAATGATTTGCCACCTCCTAGCCACAGCCAGATGACTTTCCAATCTTGCATTTCCCTCTCTGAACAGTACACCAGAAAGAGATTGCTAGTGCCTAGACATGGTACCATACCATGATATATTTTTATTGTAGTCAGACCGAAGTCTCAGTCTATCTTCACCTAAAACCTTTTTGATCCCTGCAAGAAACCTGCTTACAGAGATTTGGCGTTCAGCGTTAAGAAGCTAGGAGAGGCAGCAAGGAAGTGAATGGGGAAGAGAGCCTGGGGTCAGGTTTTGAGGAGATGAAGAGATGCAGTGGCTGAGATGGTGATCATGCAGCTGGGCCTTGGTTTGAAGAGCTAGGTAGACAAAGGTGTGAGAGGACACCCTGAGTTGGGACCTGTCTTGGAGGTCCCACTGCAGGAGGACCCTTGGGCTTGGGAGACAAAATGATTTGGAGATAGAATGGTTGATAAGCCTCTAATATAATATATTTCTCAGTTGTGAGAGGCTGCTGAATTTGTTTTTACTATAGAACAATTTGGGACCTCAACACCAGACCCTGGACTCTGCAGTCTACAATGGGCTTTACCCTTTCCAGTCCTCCTGGCTCTAGATGAGAATGGAGCCTAAATAGAGAACTCCAAACTCATTCTTCCATGTTGCCGAAGCTGTTCCAGCCCTTGAAAAAGCGTCCCTGGAAGCTGGAGGGTCTCAACACAGAGAAACACATGTCACTGAGGCATGTATGTATTAATAACCCACCAGATTTGGCACTTTAATCCAAAACAAGTAGGTATGCTTTGATGACCAAGTAATGAAAGGCCCCTTAAAGAGTCATTACTTTTTCATTCTGGAAATTAGAGCTCTTAACTCTTTTTGCATACTGCAAATAAATTGCTTACTTAGTAAATAGCTTGAGACAACCAACCAACCAACCACTACCACCCACCCTACCAATAATTATTTTTAACTCACTTGCTTGAACATTTAATATTGTCTATCCCCGGGTTATTGTGGAGAATTAAAAAAAATAGCAAGAAAAGTATTTTGTACTGCATCTGGAAGCAGTTAATTAGCAAATGAACCGGAAATAAGTAAGACCTCCTCACTGCAGGATTTATGCTGGGGCTTTTTGCAATAAATAGCAACTCCTAGGTGCTACAGAGAAGGGAGCAGAATGGGAAGTGCCTTCCCTGATATGTTAGTAGCCAAAGAAGTTGACACTGAAAGAGCTGTTGAAGCTGTACAGAGGATTAAGGAAAAAAAAAAAAGATGAATGAAATGAAAGGAAGACGAGATCAAAGGTGGCAGATTGAAACATCAGCTCTGTGTCTCTCTGTATATATCTACGTATGGGAGCATCCATGCTAAAACCTCTATAGGGGTCAGATGCTATTCTGTGGTCAGCTGGCTGAGGTTAATGAATATAGGGATTGAAACGGGCTGTGGGTATAATGAAAGTGTTTGTGTGTGTGTATACATATGCGAGAGAGAGATACATCACCCCTCCTCTCTTGTGCTCATTTGCTGAGGCTGCTGAGCTACTCTTCCTGAAGGAAAGCAGCTCAAGGCCACTCTACCTGCACCCCAAAGGCAAATATATACAGTAGTCAATGTGTAACTCAGCCTCCTACCCAATCCCACAAGTCCTCCTTGCTGGCAGACCACGTTTTTTAATGCTTCTCTCCATATAGTTTGATGAATTTTGGCTCTCCTGAAGGAAAGGAGCAAAGATGAGCAGACACCTCTGATTACACAGCCAGCCAAGCATGGTGTTGCCTGCGCCAGCTCCTGCTCCTCCTTTCTGCCAACTAACCCCAGTCTTGGCCTCCAGCAATCTCACCAGCCCATGCCAGAGCCTCTCTGAAGCTCAGAGCTTGCCAAAGACTTTGCAGAGAGCTCAGCCAACGACCTCCCTGGCCTTGGCCATGGTGTATCCCCTGCTCCTCTGGCCCAGGTATCCCTCGAGCAGAGCCTGTCCATCTGCCAAAGCCTGAAGCAGTTTTGCAGCATGGGCAGACCTCACCTGGGGTCTCCTCAAACTCCTTGTCTCCGGTGAGGTAATACAGGCTGTGTGTAGACCCCAACAGTGCTGGGCAATGCCTGGCTGTCGTCCCACCGCTGTGGTCAAGAGAGTTGGGGTGGAGGAGGCAGATGTGGGCAGAGTATGGGCAGACTGATGCTGTGGGTTTCTGACCTCGCTGCAAACCACAGAGCGTGGCAAAGGTGAACCTCCTTCAGTGACTGCAGGTTATTTCTATAGGCGTTGCCACAAAAAAAGGCCTCTAGGTAGTGTAGGTGTCATGCAAAGCTGGAGTGACACAGGCAAATACGCTGCTCTGCCATGCAACTGTTTTTCCTGGCGCCTGCAGAGCAGTAACTAATAAATCCAGTCTAAAAAACAAACTCCAGCAGGATGAAGACCAAGGAGAAGATTAATAGAGTAGACCTAATGCACACAGATCTATGAGACTTTTACAAATAGATGAGTGATCAAACAGAATTTAACATCTAAGATAGAGGCAATCATCTTCCCTTTTCAACCTGGATTTTTAATGAGGTGCTGTTTCGTCCCTGGTAGGACACAGCATTGTAAGCCATCAAGTCCCTAACACTGACACAACATCTCTTGCATTCAGGACAGAATAAGAGGATGCAGAAGCAGGAGATATTGGTTTCTTACCTCCAGATCCCTCAGGACTGGATGATCTTCAATGCCAGGGAAAAGCACCCTCATGGTGTAGGTTCGGTAATCGAGGAAAGGGATCCCAGCTCCATCCAAATCGCTTGTCAGCTCGTGAATATCTGTCTGGAGCTCTGCAAAGGCTGACACAAAAAAGGCACAACTCATGTAGCAATGACAGTCCACATCAACCGTAGCATGATGGGAAAGGCCCTCAGACCCATGTGTATGAGACTAAGTCACAAGTGGAGAAGCAACATGTGGAGAGGAAGAAGGTGGTGGACAAGAGCAGTCTCACCTTTCTTATAACACAGGCTCTCTCTGGACTGTGAGTTAGCAAATGCAGTTAGGACAGGGTGGAGGAAGGCTGGACTCAGGGAAAATAGGCAAAGTCAGACTAGATCTAGGCTTGAGCATGCCCACAGGGTTCAACATTCCTTTTGCCTGTGTTATTTTGTCTCAAAGCTTTGTGGCTGGATGCCTCTCTTCTACCAACAGTGACACAGTGTCAGCCTTCCTTGCTTATCCTACCTTCTTTGCACTCCAGTGCCACCCTGGACTCCAAGTTGTCCATCTGCATCTGCAGACGCTTGAGGGTGAGGTCGCTTTCTCTGGATTTGCGCTTGTACGCAATCAACACAGCCACGATGAAGATGATGAGGAGGCCGCCGGCCACCGCAATGCTGACAATAGCTGGCAAGCTGAGAGGGCTGTCTGGAGAGATGTAGACCATCCCTGGGGAGAACTCCATCCCTCCTACACGAGCCTAGAAGGAAGGCAGGAAAGAGTTGCATTGAAACTGTCGAACAAGCAGGAGCACAGAGGAACTTCATCATTTCTGTGACTAAGGCTGAATAATGAGTTCCCTTGTCTCCCAAGCTAAACGGATCACGAAGTACTTGGAGAGAGAACAGCTTAAAAACACCTGAAATGTCATATAGAAGCACCTCTGTTGACAGAGTGACCATGAACCCAACCAACAAAGGACTTGTGGTGAGACAAATCTCACCAGTCCCAACGCCCTGACTACATATCAGTCTGGGCTTCATTCTGGGTTTTCCATTCCCTGTCCCGAGCAGTTATGTTGTGCTGGACTGCCCTGATGACACCTAGTCCCAAAATGCACACAGGACACACAGCTCATGGTTATGGTCTGATGGGTCTTAACCTTACAATAGGACAGGGGACATCTGACCCAGGCAGCTAGCACAGCAGGAGTCAGTACAGTGGGAATGAAGAAATCAGAGTCACAATTTGCTTTTGACTCTTCAACTGGAGAAAACTCTATCTGGAAGCCACTGGGATAGGAAAAAAAACCCAAAACACAGAAACCACAGAGCCTGGCCCATGCTCTTTACAGCCCCTCTTGCGGGCAGGGTGACCGCAGATGCTCACCAGTGGGACAGGGAGCTGAACGCAGCTTTCTGCTCTCCGTGCATTCCCAGAGGTTCCCAGGGCTGCTGCCAGCCTCTGGAACAAGCTGCTGTGTGAGGACTTTGCTTTTAACAGCCAGAAAGAAACCCTGCAAGCAGTACTGCTGCAAGCCCAACAAAACACTCTGCTGAAGCAAGTCTGTTTGTTGGGAGCCCATTTTTACAATACGAACACCTCTCCCAACAGTAATCCCATGGGATACTACTTGCTCAAGGCTACTGTAAGGTTGTTCAAGGCTATTTGTAGAGTAGGAGAAGTTTGAGTGGCAGGGGGGAAAACACTGCTGACTAGCCTGAGGTATAAAAAGAAGGCTTCTAGGACTGTGCTGTGGTAGGGAAACACTGGTTATAGATCAACAGAGAGCTAGGAAGATGCCATGCACAGAGCTTGAAGGATCGTGACGTGGTGATGAGCCTCATCACTTCACCCCAGCTGAGCTTTGTCATGGAGAGGAACAGCAGGCTTGGCACAAAGTGCAAAATCTTGCTGCCAGGCAGAAATGCAGTCAAGATCCCAGGGCTATGTGCTCCCCCTCCCACTGAACTGGGACCATTACAGCATGTAATTGAACCTTTTTCTTCCTCCTTTATAAGGAGCTCTCCCTCACCTTTCCAGCTCCCACAGCAGCTAGTAAAAACATCCCCCACATCCCAGCCTGGTGGCTAGCCTTCTGCTTCATCCCACTGGCTCTCAGATAATCAGTCCGTCTCCAGCTTTGCTGTATACTCATTAATCCCAGGCCTCCCATGCCTCAGCTCAGGCACCTACTCGGGTTTCCTCTCTAGGTTGCAGGAGGAAGAAACCAGCCCCAGGAGGAAGGGTTGGAGCCAGCAGAAGAGGCTGCGAAGCAGAATCATGAATTAATGGGAAGTTTTCCAGCTGCTCTCGCTCCTCACCACCATAGCTCTTGCTGGGGACATGATCCCTGTGACACCGACATCTCCTAGAAATTATTCTGGCCCAGTTACAACCTCTGAGAAGATGTCTGTTTTGCTCTAACACCAGCTGTAGGCTGTTCCTCAGTGGGTGCCCACCAAAGCCACCTAGCTGTAACCTTTACGTCTTGGACAGGACAAAAGTGAATGCTTGGAAAGATCTAAATTCCATCCACAAAGTCCTCTCATGCTATTTTGGGATGGGCTCTAGAGAGATAACAATGTCCACAATGAGAAACAAACCCAAATCTATGCTCATCTGTCCAGGTAATACACTTTCAAGGTGACCATTCCTGTAGCATGACACTGATGACTTGTAGAGCATCTTCAGTGGCCAAGGAACAACCTAGCACCCACGTAAGTTGAGGATGCAGCAGTAAGTAGTTTTCCCATCTATTTCAGGATACAAGGCCCAACTGACTTATAAAATCTGCATGGGTCAGAGGTTTGGTATTGGTATGGGGCATGTTCAACTGAGAAGACAAACTACCAAATTCACATGCTAATCTATGCACTGAAAGTTGTTGCCTTTTGCCCCAGACTACTGCCCCAAATCCTTCCAGCAAAATTTGCTCACCAGTTCTCACAATTTCCTTCCTGTTACAGCGGATCAATAAATAGATGCATTATATTTCATTTCACTGTTTCCAACAGTGGCCCTTTTCCTCCAAGCCCTGCAGTCAGATGAGTCCATTCAAGGAGTATCAGACTCGAATCAAAGAACCCCATCCCAATCCCCAGTGCAGGTCCGTCCTCAAGGCTCGCAGAACAGCCTGACTCCATGGGTGGGATTCCCCTCACCAAACACTCGATGTGCACACCTGAGTTAGACATTACAGCATGCTTTCACAGTCAATACAGAGAAGAAACACTTTTAGAATGTGATTCATGTGAGCTGCTTTTGATACCTGCTTTGATAATAGGATGAGACGTTTTATTCAGTGGAAATTCCCATTTCTCTCCATTAAATATAAGGGGATCTAGACTCCTAAAGGTAGGAGTCTAACAAAGTTAGCCCCAGTGTGTTCCTCTCTAAAGGTGGTTTCACCACTGGGAAGGTTGCACAGTCCACGAATCAAACTGCCATGATCTGAGGGAATCTGTCTCTTGAAGAAGAAAGCCTGCAAGGCTGGAGTATTATTGTGAGCATTTAAAAGAAAAACAAGCAAATATGTAGATATAGCCCTACTTTATTTCTTGGGCCACTGAGTGTTTCTGAACGAAGCTGTTTATACCTTCCAGAAGTCTGAACATGAGCCCTCCATATTACCAGACAACTGTTTGGCCACCTGTTAAGCCTATTAATCATGAATTTGTTCTAAATGGTACTATGGCAGATCCCAGTTTTCCCCAGAAAAGTCTTAGGGACCACCTGTAGCTGTTCGGGAGTTCCTGTTTTGCAAAACTTGACTGTGGTAGTGTCTTCCCTAATGCAAGTTTGCCCTGGCCAAATGTAAGTGTCTACCTCAGGATGAGATGAATTGTACCCTGAATTTCAATTGCTATATTTGACCATCTCTCCATTCACTGTACAAAAAGTCTAGTGTGACTTTCAATATGTAAGTGCCTGCATTAGATACCAGCGACCCTTCAGATATACTCCACTTCTTTACTGCAGACCTTCTCCAATATAGTTACTTGTGGATCTTCCTCATGTCTCTTTCTTTTCCTTGGAAAAGAGCTTACCTCTGAGTTTTAGTCAATCTTTTTTAACCATTGCTCAGGCCTTTTAGTTCTTCTCTATTTTTTCAAATATTCAACTCTGTCATCGTACAAAAGATAGCTGAACTAGATCAAAAACACGTTGACATCAATGTGTGTCATTGTCACTGTTCCTTCCCTTAGAAATAATCTCAGTGTTGCAGTGGTTGATTTACTCCCGTGGTCCCCTCTCAGATCTAGGCCACTTCACTTTGCAAGAAAGGGTTTGTTCAGCAACTTACTCAAGGTCACACAGTAAATTGTTGGCAGAAACAGGAAGAGAACCTGGGACAGCTACCTGTCAATTATCCTGACCATCAAAGTGACATTCATGTGAAACATGGGGATACATTTTGTACCAACCCCAGCAACAGAGATGTTGTGCCATGCTGGAGGAGGCATTTCCCAGCCCAGCTGTCCCCCTGTTAAGTTCCAGATGTAAAGTCCATCCTTGAGCACTGGCCACCATCACAGGTGACCTTCTGTATTTGGTTCCCAGCCCAGACGCTGTCAAAGCATTGCCTCAGTGTTGGCAGTTGAACAAGATATCTGTAACTTGCCCCTAATACTGAAGCTCATTAACAGGCTTCAATGCGATCATCTTCCTATGTTTCCAGCAGCATCTCTTGTTTGATCAGCGTCCTCAAAAAGGGATTATTTTTTTCTCTATGGCTTCGCTTAAGCTGTCCCAAGCTGCAGGAGCAGCGGAGTCTTCCCAATTAGTAAGACCTGACCAGATGTTCATCCTCCCTGATCCCCAGGGGTTGATTATTGCTCACCTGACTTTGAGTGTTGTCTCTCTAGGATTGGCTTTGTCCATCTCTGACTAACCATATGTTTAATTATATTCATGAAAATGACAGGGAACATATATTGCCTTGTTCAAAAGCTTTGGTATTCACATAGAGAAAATCTCTCCCTTCATTATTGCTCCTCTTGGAGTGTCTTAATGTGCTTTACAACGAATCAAGAGCCACGGTATATTTGCATGGCTGAAAAGGATTATTACCTCTATTTTCCAGATGACAAACTTTGGCACAGAGAAGTTAAATAGCCAGTAGGAGGTCTCCCTGCAGCAGTCACAAATGAGACCCAAAATGGTCACCGTAAACTCTATTTTCTAAAAGTACCCAGAAAACTCTCTTTTCAAAGAGCCATGCAGCATGTCTCCATCAACCTCTATGAGTGTCACTGCATTGAAATAAATAAATATGTGACAGATACAGCTTTGGGAGGGCAACAGAGAGGTGAAAGAAAGTTGATCACAGGGAATGAGAAACATTGGTCATCTGTATGCCTGATGTCAGTTGTTAGCTTTAGTTGTGTTTCCACCCACAGCTTGGTACAACTCAGATGAGTTTGCTGATGTGCTGTTTATCAAGCAACAGCACTGAGGAATGCAAATGACTGAGAGGAAAGTAAAGAAGGAGTGAATAAATCAATGGTGAGAGGAGGAGAAGCTCCCTCTGATGTAATCACTAGGTCCATTTTTCACAGGTTCCAGGAAGGATATGCAGGAGCATACTAAGTTGTATAGATGTCAAAACCTCAAAGTCCAGTCACACTATTGTCCATATCATATTTTTTTTCTCCTACATAAAAGCAAATTTTAGCCACCAGCATGTTAGTAATTGCTGGGGACTGTGCTGAATTTAACAAAGTATTGCATGTAGGAAACACGTTACATATATGAACTTATTGAGCATCTAGGGTTCATACAGATCATACAAAAACAGAAGAGAGGCAAACTTTCCTAAAGGGACTTGATTATGAAAGGTTTCTCACTGTCCACAAAGGTCTCCAGGTTACTCTTCTGCTCTTCTACTTCTCCAAATTACTCTTGATTGGGATATTATAACAAGAAGGGGCCCTGATGTTTATGGGATCTACAGAAGGCAAATGGGGATGCACTCCTGGGTGATCTCTGCCAGCTCTTCAGTATTGGTGTGCCCTCTCAACCCACCCAGGGAGGGAAGGCTGAGGATTAAGCACCACTTACCATCACTTTGTGCCGTCCGATGAGGTTTGGGGACTCACACAGTAGCTGCGCATCTGATACGGTCACTGCACAGGGCTTCTCACCAACCAAAACCGTATAGTTCAGCTTGGCATTCCCTCCTGCCACTGGTGGGATCAGGTTCTTGCCCTAGATAGAAAGGAATATCACCACCCCCCCCAAAAAAAACCATGTTAGGAAAGAGTTTGCCTTCCATCTCTAGTTTGCTCCTGTGACACAAGATTTAACATTGCACTTGACATTTGTGGTTCACTATTAGCTAACACAGAGAAAAGCCAATTTAGAAAGTCATGCAGAGGACAGCTTGGATGGCTACAGACTGTCATCAGTCAAAACAGTCTGTTCTGTTCCTCTCTCTCTGGAACTAAATGAGAAATGTTGCCTCTAAGTCTTGCACAAGCAGATCCTCACAAAACTTATTCAGGCCAAACATGCAAAAAGGTATTCTGCAGGCACAATCATTTCTTTGCATGTTCACCACTTAAAAGTTCTGATACGGAAATGCTCAATCATAAAATTACTTCTCTGTATTGCTGTCCAGATTACAGAAATCACAAAGGACTGGTGTCAGATTTAACCAGGGGTGAGAGGAAGCTCTTGAAAACCCAAGAAATACAGTTGGGTATTTAATTACCAGCCCTGTTGCAGTGGTAGAAAACGTTCTTCTCCGGTGAACAGCAGTGGGTACAAATTTAGGCTGCACATAGGTAGCTGCAGCAGGAGTTTATATTTTTTAGTTATGGGTATTGGCAGATGCTGAGCAGTGATTTGTGCTTGCAGATGGTGACTCTGATATGATAAGATACAGTAGGTGCAACAAGTGAAGGAAATTTCTGGGATGCAATTGGGATGCCACTGTGATTTGTGGGGTGCTGGCAGACACAAAGAGGCAATGGGTGGCAAGTGTTTGTCTGTCTTTCCTCATCCAGTCCTTGGTCCCCACCTCACCTTCAGTATGATGGGACTTCCTGGCTTCAGCTCCAGGATCCCCGAGGGATTGAAAACCTCAAAGATTGGGTTTGGGTAGTACGTGAAGTTGGTTTTGTTGAGAATCAGCAGAGACTGCACGTTGTCAAGAATGAAGCCAAACTCCTCTGGACGCTCAGCAAGCTCAGACTGGTGATTGGGGTCAACAGCCAGTGCTGGAGCCTGGCAGGTCATCTCTGTGCTGTTCTGCACCTCGCAGTTCTGGAAAAAGAAACCCAACACAAGGAGAGTTTATGGAAAATGCCCCCAGCCCTCTTGGTGGGCAGATGATACCTCCCAGTGAAATGCTAGCCTACCTACTGCCAGAGGACAGGGAAGAACAGACTTCCTTGGTCATCGTGGGACAGGCTGGTGCTCCACTGCTTCAAAACATACCCCATCCCCATCACGCAGTCAAGGCTGGGAAGGGATTAGGAAAGTTTTTCTGGGGCAGGTGTGTGGGGCAGTTTGCACTGCAATTGGGCATCCTGTGCTTCTTCCCTGAGGTGGCTCAGCCTCTGGGGTTGCCAGAATGAGCATCTTCCCCTAACCTATTTCCTTCTGGAAACAGAAATTTCTTCCTTTTTTTTTGTATGGCAGAGACTAGTCGAAGCCTCACTACCACCCTGCAATTAGCTCTCACACTCTGGGGAATCAGTCCAAAAGTGTATGTCCGGTGCATGCTCAGTTGTGCCCAGGACTCCTGTTTGACCATCAGGTTACCTGGAATGAAGCCCAGGAAGCAGGAGTGGTGAAGACAGTTGGGTAGGACTCAGGAAACCCTGAAGTTGACTTCCAGCCCTGTCAAAACGCTGCTTCTTTCGTGTATTTGAGACATGGATAATAGATTGTGAAAGGTGTTTTATCCTGACTCCCATTTTAAACAACTAGGAATTAGATATCTGGTTGTCCTTCAGGATCTGAGCCTTCATCTTTCTGTGTTGTGGTTGCTAGCACAATACATCCTGGTCTCACCAGGAACCAACAGGCTCTGTGGGGAAACAGCACCAGCTCTGTGGGATCCCGACTGTGCTTGGTATGAGAATCTTCTCCAAACTACTCCAATATCTCCAGCATTGACAGCAAACTCATTATCACAGCTAGCGTAGCTCAAGTGTTAATATTGCTTTGGCTCAAATCAATAGAGAGGTAAGTGACCTGGACCAGCCAGTTTTATATTGTAAAGTCAGATGTTCTTTGCTGTAACAGCTCTTACAAGGAAGAAAAGGCACCAGAGTACTTCCCAGCACAAAACTGATGGGCAGTTCTACACGAGCATGTTTGAGATGATGAATAGGCGTCATCATCTGTACGATGGCATGATTGTTTGAGACCATTGTGTCAGACAAGAGCTGGAGTCTGCTGGAAGAATAAGATGAAGTTATGCAGGCTTCTAATTCTGCAGGAAAGCTAGGTGAGTGTTTGGCTGTGCTGTACCAAGAAATACAACATACTACCAAACCATACCTATGAATATGCATAATCAGTCAGACCAGGGCTTTCGCAGAGTTCATGAAGGACTGGAAGATTGCCAGACAAGATCCACATCAGACCAAGAAGCTAATCTCAACAGCTATTTCCTGAATCTGGAGAGGTGACAAAATTGCTTTGGGTTTGGCTTTATGAAGGGAGCTATTAGTTCATGGCAGAGTTGGGATAAGACCAAAATTTAGGTTCCTCAATTTGAAAATTGCAGATGCAAATTAATCTACCCCATATTCCTGCATTTTCTTTTCGGATCTACCACAGCTTCACCGCTGCTCATGTGGCAGTAGATTTTTTTAATGTCCACAAAGTGTTTTGAGAACCTTGGGTGGAAAGCCCATGGATTAATCTTAAAACCTGAGAAATGCAGAGGATCTGGACTTTCTGCCCCCACCCCAATTAGTCCTTCTGTATTTTTTGCTTTTGGAGCTGCTTCTTCTGGGATGTTTTTTCACGTGTTGTCCCAAGAAGTGCCCATACACAGACAACACCTTTTCAGACGCTGTTGCATGGCCCCATCATCCAACTTACTGGAGGTACCAGCAGATGTTTCCTGCTCCTCAGTTTCCTCATTGGAGGTGCTAAACTCACACCTTTTATAGCTCTATCAGGAGCTGCTCAGCAGCTACTGGCAATTGGCTCTTTCCAAGTGAATTGTCCTCCCAGATCTTGGTAAAGTTCTGCTGGTCTCTACAGAGCTACATCTGATCCTCAGTGGTCACTGAGAGTTGAATCAGGCTGTAAATCTAGCTGGTTAAACCTGGATACACTCTTGCAGGATCCCAAATAGTCCAGGGAGTGGACACAGTAGTACCAAAGAGTATTATTTACAGTCCCTTCTGATACCAGCATGCTCAGCTAATAATCTGAATTTGGGTCTACTTATGCATGGGCATGGCTGATAAATAATGTAGGTCATACATGGGCCAAGAGAGAGGGCAGATATCCCTGAGCCAACAGAAGAAACAGGCTCAGGAGCTGAACAAACTTTTGTGATGCCTCTCTCTGGTTCCTCTTTGGTCCTGTGCTTCTTCACGGAGAGATGATGGGGTGATCTTTCTGAAAGCAAGTCATCCCCTCTTTTCTGGATGCAATAGGAGATTTCAACCTCCAGAGCTGGTAGCCAGACCCTATCACGACCTCGGACATGTACCCTCCTGTGATCCCCAGCTCAGCAGCCATACTCACGTTGACGTGTTCCTTTCCACCATGCTTTGCCCGGATCTGAGGGTTTTGGATCAGGTCTAGGTGAGTTCCCCACACTGCAATGGGTGTGTTGCCGCTAGAGAAGAAGAAATGAAAGAAGTGCATGAACCCAGCTATAGATATCAGGACCGACTGCACCAGCAATGGGTTATCTGTATTCCTAAGTGTTGATTGCAAAGTGTCTGACCACATCTCACAGTCCCATAGGAAGGGAAAACAAAACAAAAAAATTTTCCTTCATTCATAAGGTGAGAAAGAAGTAAACCCACATCCTTGCTAAAACTGTCACATCAAGCAGCATCTGGGTGTTTTTCATTGTTAAGACGCAGCAATCACAAGCTTCAGTAATGAGAAGAGTGGGAAATTTAACAGGGGCTCTTCAGAATGGCCCACAGACTGTATCTCTTATATCACTTAAAGGAAGGGAGCCCCCAAAAATCCTCATAGATACTGTCCTGTGCAATCAGCTCTTGAGGATTCAGTGCTACCTTGGTCGAGGGCTGCAGTCCTATCTTGCATATTACACCTGCTATAAAAACATCACCCTGAATAAGATGTCACCTCAGTGAACCCACTTCAGTGCTGCCAGGAACCTGGGCCTGCAGCATCTAGTAGAAACAGAGACAAAGTGTTCAGCCTTGGTGTGCACAAGCCATTTGCTCAGTTTCTATTTGGTGATCCAGGCAGACAAGCTCTGCCATGTGTGTTAGATCCAACATATGACAGAATAGAGATTTCCAGTCACAGTGCCCCTTTGCTCAGGCAAGGACTGTTTCCTGAGAAAGACGATTCATACAAGCCATGGCGCTGCATTTGGTAGATTTTCTTGCTTTTATAACGTATCTCAGCCCAGCTTAAGATGGGGAGATGTAGACAGAGGCCTTCTTATTCCCTGCAGTAAGTGTCACCAGAAGGAAACAGCTTTCCGAAACACCCTTCTTTCCTTTCCCTTGCCTCCTGCAGCTGCAGCCAGCAGCACTGTTTGTGGGACTTTGGGGAGCAGAGGGGAGGGAGGAAGGAATCTGCAAAGGAGCATTCCCAGGCTTCAGTAGGAGCTGATGCATGGCTTTGAACGTTGTGTTGAGGGGAAGGATTCACCATAGACAGCTTTGGCCATCCCAAATCAAAACAGCGTTGCTCTACCAGGGTGAGCTCTCCCTTTGCAGAACTGTGGCGGAGGCAATGGGATGCAAGGGCTGAAAGGGGAAGAGTTATCTGAGAAAGCAAAACCCTTCAGCTGTCAGGGCTCACGCAGCCAGGGCAGGATGAGGAAATGTCATCAACAGGCGGCCCCATCCCTGAGGGTTTCCCGGGGTGAGGAGTGCTCTCATCAGTTTTGGCACCTGCCTCCATAACTCGCCTTGGGAACTGTCCAGGCTACAATTTATTTCCTGGAGTGCTCTGGCTGAGAATGGGAGGCCATGTGGAAATCAGTGGGATTGGGAGAAGTTCAAAATCCCTTTCCTGCCTCCAGGTAAACCTACACATACATGAAAGGTGAAAGAAGTGCCTTATAAATGAGAAAACACCAGACGATAAACACACTGTAAGGAAGAAGCCTGTGTTGGCCAACAGATCTCCAGTTCTGACCTTTGTTTTCCATGTTCCTCATTTATCTTCCATTATTAATTAGATGGGGCAGGTAGGAATGAAGGCAAATATACATCTCTGCTCAGCAGTGTAGCTATGGGGTTTCAGTGAGTTGGCTGCGCCAGCTGGGACCGTGCTTCAGCCCCTCCAGTTACACCCACACTGATAAACCAAACAGTCAGGACACCAGCTCAACCACTGGCTGGTGGCCATGGATGCTGATAAGCTGTTAGTAGTACCCCAGGCAATGCCTGGTCATGGTTCAAGGGATAGCAAGGGCCAGGGAGCACTCCCAACAAGCAGGATAGATGAAGCTAAAATTTCTTTGAAGGAGGAAAGATCATTGGTGGTATGGATGAAGGCTATGCATGCTCACTAGCTTCAGGACCAAAGAATAGACCGGGATTAAGTACTTACTAGTTTAAACATAGCCTATGTAACCAAGAAGCCTGTAAATTTGGAGTAATGAGCCATGAGTTCTGCCAAAGAGCATTGTCACAACAATATCTTTGGGCAGGTGCTCCTGTGACACTTGTCTGAGAGGTTCCTTATGGTCTTTCATTCAAGCAATGCCTGTACAGACTGATCCACAGTCAGGACAACATTTGACCTTGAGTTTGGCAGAGTACCTCAAGATCTTGCTCTCTGAAACCATCAGCTGAGATGGGAAATTTCTAATGGGAAATTTTATGGGGTAAAACTACATTTTGCCATTTCCATAAAATCTGCTTGGATGGTTGAGTTCTCTTGAACGCACAGGGGATCTCTTCTGAAGTCATACATCCACTTACAAGAGACCTCCCCCTCGCTGCCTTATAGAAAAAATACCCTTGCCTCAAAATTCAGCTTCACTTTAAGTATTGCTGATATCACCTCGGGAGAGCTGGCTCACCAGAAACCAGAAAAGAAGGATATAAACCGAGTTGTTCTTTCTCCACTGTCCTGGTTCTTCTGGATTTTTGGCTGTGAGCCTTTATAATTTTTATTATAATTTATTATTATATTTATTATGAATCTCTCCTGATTCAAACTAGAAGGCATTTTGTATCTTTACTCAGCTGAAAGTTTTACGTGTTCCAGACATATCAAATGTGTGCGCATATGTACAGATATATGAGTCTGTGTATATATACATAAATACTTTCATTTAATCAAGCAAGTCTGTGCACACAGTTTTAAATCCATGTGTTAAAAATTCTGTATTTGGTTTGGAAACTGAGCTTGCAGGCTCAGACCGCAGTTATTAAGCACAGCCACAGCACCAGATCAGAGAGGGGCCTTTTCTCTGAAAAAAAAGCCAAAGAAGTTGTGTTTGCTAAAGACGTGAAATCACCCCCAAAGCCTCTCTGGCTTGCAAATCAAGCAAATAAAACTGTTGCTTGCCTTTGCATGAAAACCACCAGCATTGCCTTTTGCGTCTGCAGGTGAATGCCCAGTCATGGCCACTTCTCGACCAGGTCGGATCAGAGCCCAGAGACATGCTGCTGCCCAGCAAAATAACAGAGGTGCCAAGTCTACAAGCTTTCTTAATTTAATTCTTTATTGTCCCAAAAGCTCTGAGTATAATTTTCTGTCTGCAGACCCAGATAATTGCTGGACGTAACTCAAATCAAACCCAGATCAAAAGTATTAATGGAGCCTCATAAAATTCTAGTTACCTGCCAGCCCTGTATGACTCTTTTTTTTTTTGGCTATGGGAATAAATTAGCAGTAATCTTTTCTTTATTGTCTTGGAAAATGGCACTTGAGAAGGTTTTAAGCCAGGCTCAGTACATTCATTCACTAATTTTGCAAAGCTGGTTTAGTAGCAATCATCTATCCCTCAAAACAGCTTAGCCCCACAGCCAGGAGTGATGAATCAGAGAAGCACAGTGGATTTGCTGTAATGAATCATACCGCATAACAAATATACTGAGGAACAGCCTCCTCGGTCTATCTCCAGATCCACGTGTCTAGACTAACTTATTTCAGCCCAGAGTTGGCTGCGCTTTCATCCAGCTCTGTGTGGGGAGGCTTTACTCCAATGCTTGTCTCCATTATGACCTGCTGGACGGAGGTCCACAACTAATAATTAGAGTGTTTAAAACTGTCCCGGACACCCTGAACCACAGTGATAATCCTGGATATTGCATCTTCTCTCTCTGCACCCTCTTCCAAGGTTATGCACGTTTGGAGTGGTTCAAAAGTGCACAAGGAAGAGGATGAAAGCGCGTAGGTCTGGTTAAAATGAGGCACCTGTTAACGCTCAAGTGGATGCTTTCTGATTTCAGAGACGCTGAAAAGAGCAAAGGGTAGAGGTGGTACCTGAATGATGAGACAGGTAGAGTCCCAGTCATCCATCCTGGCAGCTACATCCCCTGCAAGTAAGCTGGCACCCACTAAACAAGCACCTCTTCTTAATTCCCTTTATGCTGGGAGGTGGGATGGGAGATCCAAGGCAGCAAGCAATGGGATGCAGAGTCTCTGCAACCCCAGCCTGGGCAAAGCTTTGCCGATATACCCAAAGCATCTCCTTGGCTGTTTCTTCATCTCTTGCTGGCAGCTTCAGCAGAGAAACCAAGGAGTAAATGGGCTCTGGAGAGCTTCTCCTCTCATCTCCCAGCCAGACCTGAGGCCAGGCGGAGGAAGGTCCCCGTGCTGCAACTTTCCTGGGGATAACAGGGGAATTCACTCTCCTAGGCTGTCAGTCTTGCACCTTTTAACCGGCACTGAACTCACTTTAATAAGGAAGGGAGTAAAGCGATTTCTCATTTCACTGATAACCTGAACTCTGACTGAAAATAAAACCCCCAAATGGAAAATCCAGACACTAAAGCTTCTGGCCCAATGTGCAAAGATTCAATCCGGCTAAATCGGTAAATTCCTTCACGGTAATTAAAAGCACTAATTGATTTGTGAAAACATCTTCTGGATGGGAGCTGAACCGGGGGGATTTACAAGCCCTGCTCCTAATCCCCAGATACCCCCATCAGTCCAGTTTGACAGGGAAGCAGCGAGCTGCCATGGATGAACGAGGGGAGACTAAGATTTTTTATTTTGTATCTTTTCAAGGAAATACCACTGCATTTAATGACCAATTTCTCTCTTCCCGAGGCCATTTCTGCAGGCTTCTGAGAGCATTTGGGTATCACTTTGATGCCTTCCACAACCAGGGCAAATGCTCCTCTCAGACACCTTCATGTGAACCCTCTGAATTCACCAAAGCAGCATCAATGGGATGAAGAGAAAAAGGGATGCCTAACGAGGAGGAAGGCTGTTTGATAGGGCAGGGACCAGGGCTCCCTTTGTGTTTCATCTCGGGAGACAGCCCTGGGGCTTTCAGGCATGACAGCCAAACAAGCAATGCTCAGTCCGTGAAGGCTGTGGGAAAGGTAGGAGTTGCTGCTTTCAAACCCAAAGGAGATTCACTTCGCTAAGCACAGTTATGACATCTATGCCTCTGTTTAGGAGATCAGTGACTGGTCCTGCTGCCATGCAAAGCCGTGGACCCAGCCTGATGGGGCCTGAAACACAGTCATGACCAGAAGCACTAGGAATTGCAGCTTTTAGGGATACAAACGTGTAGTTTAACCAGCCCCAGTGGTCCGTAACATTACTCAGACAGGAGCATCCTGGTGCTGGAGATAAACCCTGGGCTGCAGTAAAGAGGGAGAAAGCTTCAACACCAGGTTGGAGACTTGCTGCACCTACCTTTGTAATTAAAGCACAAAGTCTCCAAGGAAAGCTTCTGTTGAGCATTGGAAGCTGGATTTTGCTGCATTAAGCCAGGAAGCTTTGCTCTGCTAGTGAAGGAGGGGTGCAGGATCATTTAGGTTTGGACTACGCGGAATTTGTTTGGAGAAAGGATGGCTCCTGCCCATCCCTCCTGAGACTCTGTGGAAATTTTGTCCTGGGGTACACATGAGCACAGACACAGATTGAGCATCCAAGGTGTTACAAGGAATGCACAAGGCACTGCTCGCCTTTTGGTCTTCCCAGGAGGCAAGTTTACCAGCCCTCATGGTCTCAGGCTCTGGGAAGAAGCTCTGCACAAACCTATTTCTTAGTGAACACAATGCTTGGAAAGCACTTTTCTCTACCCAGGACTGATATGAACACACCAGTGCTGCATTAGAAAACCATGGGAGGTGGTAGGGGGGGTCCATGCTTACCTGAAGATGCTCCAATCAGGCTCGATCCTGAGGATGGTTGGATCCTCTACATACTCATACTGCAACTCCTGATGTATCTTGGCCTTGTCCACTCTCACAGACACCTTCACCTTCTCAAATCCTTCATCTGAGGCAGTGGTGTTACAGACAATGTGCTTGGTAGATCTCCTGTGAGCAGAAGCAAGTAGATATAAACCAGGCACTACCAGCAGCAAACCAAATGGTGCCAAAAAGAGCCCAGCTACTTACTCTTATGTCCTGTGACCTTAACCTATGCTCTGTGAAGTGGTGAAACTCACTGCTACAGGAATATGCTGTGAACAGCGTGACACATTTATGTGAGGAAGTAACATTGCCTTTTCGCTAGTTTAAATAAAACCACAAGAGTCATCATTTCTCAGGTCTCAGAGTGAAAACTAAACCCCAAGAGAAGTCCAAAACAGACCTCTCTCCAGAAGTATTTCTTTGTGATTAAATACTTGATGGATGTTTCCTTCCTGCCTGCAGACATATGCAGCAGCAGCTCATAAAAAGGGGTGTTTGCACCTCAGCTTTCCAGTCTGGGATAATAAAGTTTACTTTGCATTAGGACTGTAAGCCTTGTTTAAGTGCAGCTTGCAGTGTGCCTGGGACCTTTGCATGGGAGGTGCTAATGTAGTGGGAATCATTTTGTGATTATACTCAAAGAGTATTCTGCATAAACCTTTCCTTTTGGGCAGATCTCAAAACCAGCTCCAGGTTGGAATTTTCCAGTGGCCCTTACCTTGCAAAAAGAGGCAAAAAGCCAGGCTCCAAGCACCCTCAGCCTCATCTTATATCCCTAGAAAGGATAAAGCAGGGTGCATCCTTCCCTTGCAGCATGGCACTCGCCTTCACTGACTGCACCCTCCAAATTCCCCTGAAAGACCACGCTCAATCCCTCCTAAAACTCCCCGATCTTTTCAGTAAGCATCCTCAAGCAGCTGTGGTTCCCACTTGGCCTTTTAAATCACAAGCTGTGACTTCACCCTCCTGAATTATAGATGCTGAAACACAGCACAGTCATGACAGGCAGCTAAACAGGTTCCCCAGAGGCAGGAGAGGGAAGGGCATTGCCCCAGGACAGCGGTCCCAGGTCTCCTCTGAATGAGCCCTTCTTCTGCCAAGGACAGGCTGGGAGAAACGTGCCAACTTCATCTTCAGCCTCCACTGATACTGGCAGCGAAATGTGTTGCACTGGGTAGTTTTGAGCTGCGGGAGCCCCTGGGAACAGGATTCAGGCTCATTCTCACAGGGATCAGGGAACATTCAGCAGGTAACACTGACATTAAGCTTCTCTGAACTGCAATTGAACAGGAGCCAACCCAGAGCGAAAATGTTACAAATCATCCATTTCTTAGCACTACAGGACTACTCTGGGATAAAAGGGAGGTGTTTTAATACTTAGACCCAATGTTGTCAGATCTTCTTTGTCACCTCTGTTAAAGCAGGGACATGAAAATGAATCTTTTAAACAACGTACTCCCAGAGCAAGTAGCAAAGCATAGGACCGTGGAGAATCATAGCGAAACTTGACAAGGGGCCATGGAAAAAAGCACATCAAACACCAATCAAAACAATGAAATAAATCCTATGCTCCCACCCGAAAACACACACAGTAAGGTTGCGCATGGTGCAGAATACAAAAGTCCCATTGCTGAATAGACATGGCCACAGGCAAAAGAGGCACTTGAGGGAGCAGGTCTCTGGGCTGCAGAAGAAGTTTCTTGACTATAATTTCTCACATCTTTCAGACTCAGGCACGTACAGTAGGAAGGACTCATCTGTACCTGTAGAAGAGGCAGGGTTGTCGCCCAAAGGTCACGATGACATTGCTGCCCGCGTTGAGGTTGTTGCCCGTAATTGTCACCTGGGTGCCACCCGACACTGGTCCCCGCTTCGGCTTGAGATCAGAGAGTGTCAGAGTCTGTGAAGGCAAAGGGTTGTGTTGAAAACACAGCAGAGGAGCATAGGTACCTTCCCTCTCTCCTTTTAGTGATGGAGAGAGGTAGGCAACCCCAGGGGTTAATCATACGTTAGCTGGACTTCAGAAGATGACCATATCCTCTGGCCAACAGAGGAGCCTAGGGTGACACCAGTCCTATCACAGACACCCTGCTTGAATGTCAAGTTTGGTGGGATGAGTTCAGACCTAACCCCTAACCTCTGCAAGACAAACCAGGTCTTGAATTGGCTGATTGGAACTTAATGGGGACTCTCCACCTCCAAATTACAGAGTTCACAAGTGATGAAAATGATCGAGTCTTGAAAAGATTACTATAAACCCTATTGATCTGAGAAGGGAACAGAACCTGCTGTATAGCTCCAGAGACATGCCCAAAAACTCCCCCTGTGCTCATGGGCTTTTTCCCTGGGAAGGAGGAGAGCTGTGGTTGAGCAGAGCATCTGAGCTCATGTCTTGCCTCTTCCACATGCCCATCGCACGACCCCAAATCTTTCTCTTTTTCTTATCAGACTTGGGTGCTGAGAGAGTCTAGTACTGCAGGAGTGTCCTGCACCGATACAGCACGGCGGTGCTCATGTTGAGATGTACTCTGAAATACTACAAGAAGGAGCACTGTCCAGATGAGCACCTTTTTCTTTTTTCTGCTGATTTTCTGAGCCTCTTTTCCAAACAGAACATGGTGCTGTGTTAATATATCTAAAAGGGACACAATTCCTTTAGGGGCCACAAATCTCAAACCTCTTTTTCTTACCCTCCTGCTCTCCCTTCTTCCCAAAATCAAGATAAAATACTTGTACTCCGAAGGCACAGATCACCCTGTTACCACAATGCAGAGAGGAGACATCCATTTTCAGGGAGAAATTTGGAGTTACAGTTTATTCTTTCATTTGCATTTTAATAGAAAAACTTTCCTTTCAGTCCCAAGTGAAAAGCTACTATATGCATTTAAATGAAGATTATTTTTTTCCCCTCTTTAAGAATGATGACACAAATGCTTGAAGCTCTCCTCAGCTCCTCTGAACGAGCAGGTACATCACGCAGTCACCTTATTGAGCTTTGGAGACCATTAATCCATGTTTATAAAACTACCTGACACACATCACAGCTCCCTGTTTCACACACACAGAGCCCTCTCTGTCCCTGTCCCCCCTCTGGCTAATCATTTTGAAAAACTGCGGCAAGGTTTCCACTTTGCTTTTGTTCAAAATGCAGCTACCGCTCGGAGGAAGGGCTGAACATGAAAATCAGACATATAGCTCTGTAGCAAAATATATTGTCAGAGCTGGATGCTTCTTGTGTTTAAACTTGACTGGTTTTGGCATGATGGTTTGGAAACTGTTTTTATACTTTTTCTGGGAATATTCTCTACCAGCTGTTATTGGGATAAAAGATACAGGAAGAGTATGTGGATGCAAAAGATGCACTTCAGTGTGTAGTGCTCCTCCTTTTTTAGGGTACCACCTCAAGCTCTGATGGCAGCTCCTCTTTAATCCCTTATTGATGGCCACCACCACCAGTGCAAACTACTGCTGACCACGATGGCTGCTGCTGGGACGTGACCTCCCACCTGGGAGAAAAGGGGTTGAGAATGACCAACTCGGTGCACGCAGCCTACACGACAGCGCTGCAATAGTATCTGCTTTACAAACCACAGAGGAACATTTGAGTTAAAGACCCAGAGCCCTTGTCCCACCCGTGGGTGGGTTTCCTGCCCTCTCCACAGAGGTAAATAAACTGGCCGTGGCCTTTTGAGGATCCTTGCAGACCAGAACTACAGCAGCAACGCTCCTTGGCAAAGCGTTGCTGTGTTTCGTGCCGATCTTACAAAAGGGTTTGTGGCTAAGCTTTCAAAGTTGCGATAAACCATTAATTATTCACAGTGGCCTTCATAAATATTGCACAGCATGTTTGCAGTAAAACTCAGCCTCTAGACTATTTACTATTTCTTTGCTGGTGAAAGGTGTTGGAAAACGCAACGGGATCTAGTGGATCTGTAACAGGCTGAAGTGGACAGTGACAATGAGGGAAAGAGGACAGGAAATCTTCTGTACTTTTCTAGGAGCCTGCCTACTTTCCTCTGCTCCCCAACCCTTTACTTTCCTCCAGTACCTCCTCCACACAGGCTGTGCACAGAGAAGCTGCCATCAGAGCTGTGCCTAAACTGACCTCATGGCGCATGTCAAGACCTTGGTTCCCACTTAATTCCTCCCGGGAACAAGGGCAGAGCAAGATGTGACTCACACACAGCTTGTGTGCCTGGGTTTCCTTTCTATAGGTTCAACAGTAGCAGCAGGAGGGGAAAGATGGAAGGGAGACCTGTTGCGAATGCTCTCCTGGGACAAGGATTTTAGAGGCAGACCCAGAAGAGGTGCGATCAGAGTAGCCCACATCACCTGCACTGAGCCATAATATTCTCATCCAAAGCCAGAATAAAAGCAAAATTGCTTCAGCGTCCGAATTGAAAAGCGAAGGGAAGGGTTTTTTGATTGAAAGACCATGGCAATAATCATAGCAACAAAATGAATAACTTAAAAAAAAAAAAAATTATTTTCATTTAGATCACCATAAATTTAATTTTAGCCTACAACCAAATGCTTTGTATCCATTTTGGCTTATTGTACTCTCTAATGCAATTTGCATTTTTGATCACAGATGAGTATAAAACAAACTAACAGCATTTTGAATTTAAAAGTTCTGGTTAGAAATGTGGAGAAGAATTGTTCTAGCATCTATAAACTAAGCTACCTCTTTTTTAAAACATTGAAATTAAATACTCTGTTGAGTTCAAAATATCATGTCTTCCAATTCTTGCAGGAGTGGGGAAGGCTGAACCTATCGGCCAAATTTGGCTCTCTTTTGCTCCAAACCTTTTGAAAAGCAGTTTTCCAGAGGATTTGCTATGCGTCAGAAAGCGACATTTATCTCTCATGCGATGCCCTTCCTTAGTTTTCAAACATCTTCCTTCCCTTAAAGCTGTCACCCACCGTTGCAGGATGCCAAGGCATGTTGTGATGCCTGCAATAACATCTCTACCCTCCCGGCAGAAGGATCGGAGGAAGCCAAGCCACGCCAACAAACACAGCTCCCGCTAGGAAAGCAAGGGACACGGGAGAGGGCATATGATGGGCAGGGTGGGGAAGGTCTGTATTTTTTTTTTTGTCTAGCACAAAGGTATCGAGGTATTCAGCAGAGAAAGCCCTGTTGACTTCAGCTCATGCACGGCTGGGATAGCTGGCAGCCGGAAAGCCAGCAAGCGGAGGGAAAAGCTGTCACGGACGGACACGGATGATCAAAATCGGACAGTAATTCCAAGAGTAGCAAAGGTGACACGCTGAAGTGTAATGTCCTGGAAAGAGACCTTCTGTCTGCCTAGTGGGGGCTATCTCTCAAGGTGTTTCTCTACCCCCACCATGGTAGCACCTGAGTGACATCAGAAAATACAGAGAATAGACCAATTTCTCTAGCTCAAGGGGGAAATCTAAGATATTTGCATTTATTACCAGTTCCCTTTACCATAAAAAATGCTTGGGCATGTGAATAATTTCAGAAAAGATCTGTTCCCTTGCAGGGGTCTAGAGTTTTGATGGGAACAGAGACCCTCTCATCTCAAACCTGCACAGATCTGCACAGATCAAGGTCAGGCGATGCTTGCATGTCCCCAGCAAGGGGCCTTAGAGGAATAAGCATGTCTCTTGGACAATTAGCATCATCAGAAAGGAGCAAAAAACCAAGCTGAGTGTACAACATGTGTTTGGCTCTGCTTCCCTCTTCCATGAGGCTTTCACCACAGCAAAGTGACAGTCTCAGGCTGAACTTGCACCAGGAGTAGTGCAGAATCAGGCCCAGAGCCCCTCTGACTGCTTTGCAAACTGATGCCCCAGCAAGCCAATTTCACAGCCCCAGCAGCCTCTCTAAAAAGAGGAGAGTGGCTGCTCTCTGAGTGCCATCAGCACGCACTGAGAAGTTGTACGTGTCATCCCAGCACTCACCATCCCTAGGGACTTTTGACATCATCTCATAATTCCTTATGGCTAAGTCTTCTCTCCAAACCACTCACTGTTAAAAGCTAACTGAAGCTCAAGCTTGCTGGTGTCTATCGTTCCATCATGGAGCATCCAAAACATTTCCTAATTGCACTGAGCCCCAGTCATACTCTATAGCTCACCTGCAGCCTGGCTGGTGAACTGGTCCCTCCTGATCTACTGCTACTGGGATGCAGCACTGCTTCTCCTGGACACCCAGAAGACCACCTAACGCAAACACCCTTTGAATGTTACATCTTCCATCACTGCTATGGTGACTGCCCGTAGACCAGTCAATGGGAATTTTTGTCCTTGCTAGCAGAAGACCATGGACATTGCACTGACCCGACACCGCAAGGTCTCCGGACGTCTCTGGGCTTGCCGTGCCCCGAGCCGGGTGTCCCTGTGATGGCAAGTGTCCCATGGCCAAGGACTCGTGCCCGACCTGCCTGAGCTCAGCGCTGGGGACACCCTGCATGGCCAAGGGCTGCCGCCCCGGGCAGGCACTGCCCAGCAAACACCAGATCTTTGCGTGCCGGGACTGGGCGCTGGGCAGCTCTGCCGCTGGTGCTGGGGACCGGGGAGAAGGGAGCGGGTGATGGGGAGACGCGGGATGAAGATACCCCTGGGGGAACCCAAGAGTGAGGAGGAAGCAACCCCACCATGAACATCATAACCTTCCTGCTGAAGACCTCAGGGTGGTAATGACTAGTGGCAACCCCTATGTTTCTCCTGGAGGACACCGGTGCTTTCAACTGTAGAGCCTGGAGGGATGCCAGTAGGGTGAATATCACACCTGGGAAAAGTAAGATATTAGAGATACTAGGGAAGTTCTTTTCCATTTTCTTTTTTTTTTTTTCTTTTTCTTTTTTCTTTCCTGTATAGCATTTTTAACTATTAATGAGGATTTTCTGTACTAATTTGGACCATGGCTGTATGTAACTGTAACTGGACTAATAATTTGGACTATTATTAGATTGTTAAAACATTAATTAGGCAAGCTATTTTTGCTCGTAACAAGATTTGAAAGGAAATGGAAGGAACAACTTGGTGCACTCAGAATGGCAGTGAAGAGCTTAGAGGTTGAATATGGTCAAGGACAATGGATAGATGCAGCAAAGAGGACCAGGGACCTTCAGGGCCAAGGAGAACTTCTCCCAGGAGCTTACCATAAAGTAGTAGAGCTGTGAAGACCTCGCCATGAACTCTGGTTTGCACTCAGCCACGCAGATTTCCACGAATCCGGCATGCTGGCTGGGCTTGGCCTCCCCCATCTCACATACTATCCTGTGGAGAAAATACGAACCAAAAGCAAGGTTTGAGGGATGGTTTGGTGGTCTCGGTAAGACGGAATTGGTGTAAGCAGCCCACATTGCTGGCGAATGGACTGTAGACTTAACCTGTCCTCTTCTTTCCAATCCAGGGTCCAAACTGTGGACTAAGTTATTCTTTAAAGAGTGGTGGCTTTTGGCTGTTGGCACTTGCCGCGGCAAATGCTTAGCTGGTGTAAATCAACACAGCTTCACTTAAATAAATATACAGACAAATGCTGGGCTGAGGTCTGACCCCAGCGGGTCCCTCTGTCCTCCAGCCTTGCATGGTGGACAGCTCTGCAGCCTTGAGGCTTAATGATCACTCCTGCATGTAGTCAGCTGCTTTTTGGGACTGCTGCCCCCCAAACTGGAATTGAACACCCTTGTGCTGGCTGTTATGTGAAAAAAAGAGGATAACTTCAGGGCTTATGCCGTGAGGATTATCTAAATATGCAATCCAAATACAGTAATAAACGGATTATTTGCTCCTGAGCTGTAAGTGAGGAATGGCATGTTCCATTCCTCACTTCCAAGGTTGGGTGGAATGGACTCCTTAGAAGACCCTACAGGTAGCAATGACTGTTATTAGGTGTGCTGTGGCCCACTGTCTGCCACACACCCAACTTACTGCTCTGCTGGGATGTACCCTTCCACCAGCGGTTTGCACTCCACTCCAGCCACTTTGACGTGAGACGCAATATCTCTGAATTCCAGCCCCAGATTCTCCCCACGGATGGTCACTTTGGTCCCTCCTTCGCGAGGACCCGTCACTGGATTGATCTGGAGAAACAAGTCAAGACAAAGGAGAATAATCAAACCACCTATGTAAAGACATCAGCATCCTCTCAGGTGAAAGAAGAGGCAATATCAGGTCTCTGTGACCACTAGAGAGACTCATAATTATGAATGCTGAACAACTGAGAGAATAAGCCTACTCCACATACATCACTCAGTCCAGATCCCCTGCAAATATATATCACGCATGCCCCAACCTCAAAGTATACAAAAATCTCCCCAGATCTGCCTCAGATCTCATTTACTCTCTTTTAAGTACTTGAAAAACATCCAGAGATGAGTAGGAGATGTTTTCTAGGTAGGAGCAGGGGTTTCTGGTTGTGCAGCTGAGCTCTGCACTTTATAGACATGAACCATGGAAAGGCAGGAGAGAGGCACGGTGGAAAGAAATGGGAGAAAGAACACAAAAAGGACACAGATGGCTTCAGCCAGTCACTTTAAATCCTAAATTCCCAGCCCAAAGCACATGGAGTTTTTGATCTGTTCTGCAGGTAGGTGTTGGTCATGCACCACAAACTCAGCTGAAAATGTCCACCTGAAAAAACAGCTGAGACACAAGAGAAACAGCATGTCAGATTAGGTACGGAGTAGGTGGACGGTGATCAAGACGGCAGCAGCAGTTGCTGTGTGCCAACACGTATTTCTGAAAGAGCTCCAGCTACTCTCATGGGAGAGCCAGGGCCAGGGGAAGGGCCAGCATGGGAGCATGGACAACTAATTCGTGGGGTGGGAGGACAACAAATTTGTGGGGTGGGAGGCCCCTGAGCCCCAGCATGAGATGAGCGGCTATCCCAACCAATCTGGTGGCTGGCGACATCAAGTTTGCATCCCAGTCTGGACCTTCACCAGACCCTAGCAGGGGTAGGATCGCTGTGTCTTGCTCAGCAGTGGCTGTGTTGGGCAGCAGAGCCCAAGCACCACCCAAACTCCAAAGCTCACCTCTCCCTCCCATTGCAGAGCCTCACCCTACACCCAGAGCTTTCTATCTCTGTGCAATATTTCTGGCCCATGCAAAGGGGTTGCGTACATGGGAAAGCATTCCGCATCACATCCATCACCTTTCTTCAGAGCCAGGTGGAAATTAGCATTGGAGTTGTCTCCTCAACATTGAAACAACACAGAAATCATGGGGCTGGCCCTTAATTATCTCAGTTCTGCCCTTCCAATCATTCACCGTGCCCAAATGTTTTGCCATACAACCGGCTAGTTGAAATGGGCTTCAAACGTTGCTTTCAAAGGGTATTCCCGGCTGCCCGTTCAGGATGCCATGGCTGCCATCTGCCAGCGTTGGCAAGGCTCTCTCTGCAGTGAGAAAGGGGGAATTCCCTGTCCGAGGTCTGTACCCGCCGGCCGATGGCTCTGCCAACTGGGAATCTAGGGCTGGCAGATAGACCCTCGCGTAGCAGTCAGACTGGCAGGGAAAGTCGAGGCACTGGCACGAGCAGGGCTGCTCTTGACTGCTTCCCAGCGCTGAGCCTGGCACCAGGGCTAGCCTAATTTCCACCCAGAGGCCAGTTTTTAGAAGGTCCATCTTTAATAAAAGGCGAGAGAGCCTGGCACTTTTAGGGGGTATTTTATTTTAGGATATTTAATTTTAGGTGCTGTGAACCACCTCCTGAATGAGTGTGTCTTTGCTCTCACTATACAGGGAACCAACAGTGGTTAATAAATTAATAGCGCAGATGATCACAGACAACTGCTTGGACCTGTAGGGTCATATAACATAGACACAATCTCTGCAGCACAAGATCCCTGCAGTGGCCCGGTCTCAGTTCCCAAAAACCAACAAATACCACTTGAGCCAACAAAATCAGAACCATGGCACGCTTATTACTGCTCCAAAAGTCAACAAGATACCTAAGTCCTAAAAAGAAAATAGCACAACATTCATAAATCTGACAGGTGAAATGGTTATTTGGGTTGGCTGGAGATTTGACCTTTGGATTGTCTGTGGTGATGAGATTGATAGACAAGTAGAAAATGGATAAAAAGAGAAAGAAGGAGACAGGCATTTGTGGTTATTTTCCAGGATATGAGGAAAGTATCTTAAAAAATGAGAACAAAAATGAAATTTTGATTCCAGGAGAAAACAATACCGATTGTCTCAGTTGGGGACTCAACATTGAAAACTTGAATTATTTTCTAAAAATGGCAATTCCAAAACATTTTTATTCTGAATCATTAATAAATATCTATTCAAGCAAAGTCTGCTGTTTGAAATACTTATTTTGCTGAGGTCAGTTAATCCTCTCCTGATAAAACACTATATGAATGATGCTGGAAGGCTAGAATATATCACTATACCAAATGCAATCTAACACATACTCAAAATGAAAAAAGAAAGATAAACTAAAATTCCTGTATTTTATTTTATTTCCTTATGTATTAGACACATTTTTTAAGAGAACTGAGTTCTGTTTTGTGGTATTAAACTTGCCGTCAAATGGTTTTTACTTGTACAAGTTGGGTGTCTAGCAAGATAGGTCTGTGGTCAATTAGGGCTCACCTATGCTTGAAAGAGCTTGCTGGCATGGGCAGTACATCTCATAGCAGGTCAAAAGAGGACTTTTTTCCTCATATGACTAATGCCATTACCCTGAATAAATGAAGGCGCAGTGGTGAAAAGAAACATCTTGCTAGAAAATTCCTTTTCTTTAGAACTAGGGGTGAGTTTGAGACAAAAGTTTCACTGCAGAAGTCACAAAAAACTCTGTGGAAACATTATCAACTTCCTCCATCTAAAGCATAAGATTTTTTAAATTTCTTGCTCTGGCTCAAAAAGTGTCAACAGGAGACTTCCCGGTGTGAAGCCAGCACAGCACCTCCAAACCCCTCCCTGTGCAATTTTTAATTTGTAAAGGCCGGCTTCAAAACCCACTTATTTCCTTAAAATGGGAGGACCTGGGATTCTCCCAGGAGCATGTGGGAGATTTTTTAACCCCAACTCATCACACTCCCACAGCTACGTACAAGAAAAAGGTGTTACCACGCTGGTTTCACAGTGAGAGAGAAGGACCCTGTTTCTATCACAGGTGCAAAAATGTGGAACGAGACCTGTCAGTCTGGGAGAGGAAAATACAGGCAGGGAAACAAAAGCTGCCAGGAAGCCTCAGCTTTCTCTCGGAGACCCAGAGCTGCGACACCGCATCGCAATTTACGCCCTCCGCTAGTATCAGCCTAATGCTGCAGCTTGTCACTCTTAAAGGAGGTTTTGTGGCTCAGCGAGTCTGTAAATCCTTGAATTTCACTGAGTGGCAATATAAATGCAAGAGCTAATAAATAAGCACAGGTTATGGGAAGCTCTGTGCTGGGTGCGTGTGGGTGCCTGTGCAAGGGTGAGTACACGTGTTGTTTCTCCTCCTTTGCCTGCACAGATACTGCCCTGGCTCCTCGCCCGAATGTGCGTGCTCTTACCAACCGCTCCAGCCCTACCCTTAGCTGCAATATATATCCAGCCACTTGAGATTACTTCCATGCTAGTGGCTTAGAAAAAGACTTTCCAAGAGCTGCTTATGATTGCACCGGGTAGTTGGAATATTTCATGAATGAATATTGCAATGATCTGTTCGAGCTTTGGGAGCTGTTGGTGGAAATGCCAGCAGAATTAGCAGTACATCCCTTCTGGAGCTGTAGGGTGGAGAGTGAGTGCTTTGCACTTCATAAAGAGACTGTAGGTGCAGGGCTGGGGTCAAAGAATGGCAGAGAAATGCAGATGGACCTTCAGAACATCATACTACCACATGGTCAGGTCCCTGTGGTTTGGACGTGTGCTTTAGTTGGTCATCCATCACTCTCCCAATACCAAATTCTATGAATCTGTGCAAAATTTCTGAATCTTTCCCAAGGTTTGAGAATCTGAAAAGATTAAAAAAAGGTTTCATCCAGTCCTCTATAAACTTCAAGGCCTCAAAGCTGGACTTTCAGAAGTAGCTGCTCATTCTAGTTGTCTCTGGGTTTGGTTTCACAGCTGCAGGTGGTTCAGGTGGACTCAAAATTACCAGCCCCAGATAAATCCACGTGTGGTGGAGGCCCCCACCTTGGAAACATCAGGATGGGTCTGGCACTCCAGCAGTCCAACTGAGTCAGTACTTCAGGGACTGAAGGATGGCAGGAAGATGGATTGAAACACAGTAAGAAGGGCTCCTTTCAATGGCACCTGGGAAAACCAGATTCTATCCAGCCTTTGCTTTCACAAAACTTTCACAAATGGACATTGGTTTAGGGCTCATCCATAGCAGCCACATTTTTTGATTCTTAACTGAATACAATTGAAAAAGCCTTTCTTGCTTTCTAGGAAAATAATCGACCCGATGTTTCATATTAAACCGCAACTGTGGAAGCTGGATTTTCCTCCTTTGCATTTCCCTTTCTCTTCCCTGTCTCACTTTCCTCCATACTTTTCTCATTTGCAGAATAAGGCCCTAGCCACCCTGTAAGGGAACTCATGTTAACAAAGGCATGGTGACTGAGAAACGCTGAAGGCAGGAGGCAGTTGGTAAGGATGTAGCCCTGATCATCAAGGCTCAGATTTGTCCTGCTGCCTGCCCTGTGATCCTGAATATGGTGCCCATCATTATGGCAAATGTGTCCTAAGGCAGCAGACAAAAATCACTTTAGACTGGAGGCCTGATTTCCCTCCCTTGCCTTCTTTCCCTTTCTCTGCTGCCTCTCTCTGTGGTTTTCCTATTTTCTTCTCTCCCCTTTGTACCTTTGCCCCAGCTCTTCCTTTGGCCCAGTCAACACATTCCACAGGAAACCTTCTAAAGAACACCGTTATGATGCAGACCCTTCCCCCAGCCTTGCCCTCATTCTCTCTTTATCACTTAATAGGGCAGTTCCAAGCTTCATTTAGTCCAGGCTTGATCCTGCCTCCTCCTTGAGCCTTCAAAGAGGGAAAGCTGACACCTGTACAGGGCTTTGTTTGCTCTACGGGGACTTTTTTCACCATGCAAAGTCAGCCCGGCAAACAGAAGGGAGTTACTCTGCTGGAGTCAGTGGAGTCTTGTTTTTTTCTGGACATTGACTTTGTCCACGTCATGCTGCCGGGAAGCATGAAGTACAACCTGGCCTCTTCCTTGACCTTCTGTCAGAAAAGCTCAAAACACTCTGGGATCACTCAACATCTCCTTCTCAGCCAGGCTGGCCAGAAAGGCTGTTTCAAGAGACAGTTGGGCTCATTTGATTACCTTCACACCATCCATTTGAGAAGCCCCAGAGCATCTTGTCTCACCTTCAGCTGCTCCTAAAGGCTTCACATCACACCTGACAGCTCTGCGCGGGCAGGTCAGATGCTCCGCTGTTCCTCGGATTGCACTAGCAGACTGTGTTCGTGTAATGGATTCACATCCACACTGACCGTGGTGGGAACTCTGACACCCTGCTCACCCCTGTGTTGTAGACACGTGAAGCTGTGTGCCTACCTTTGAAGGCCACCATGGCCTCTCCTCCCCAAGGTTGCCTGGGGCTTTGCCTGACCCAGCAGAACTCAGTCCTGACCTTCCCCTCACCAACCCAAAGACAAATCAGGAAAATAAACCAAGGAAAGGGTACGAGAGGGAATACCCCAGCTTCTTGCAGATCCATGACTTACATCCGTGATCTTGGGGTTTGTACATTTGCCCTTGGTGCTGGACAACTCCAGCCACTGGCTGTCCTGGGCTGGGCAGTGCTGCTTCAGCGTGCACTGGTTCTGCCCCTCGCACCAGCCACATTCGAAGTCCGGGTCGGCTTTCAGGCAGAGTCCGCAGCTGTCCCGCATGGCCCCGCATTTGTACAGGTGAACTGCAGGGACAGGAAAAAAAGAGAGGAGCTGAGAGATGCAGACAGCACGGGAGAGCGGTGGGATATCAGAGGGCGAGAGACGGGAAGGTGTTCTGGGCTACTCGTCCCAGAGGCAGGATGGGACTTCTCCAGGGGGGGAAAATAATGGGGGGAAAAAATGTTTACATCCTTCTTGACATAGACTGCACTTGTCAGAGTTCATCCCCCATGAAAGATATTTTTGGAAGCTGAGAGCAGAACGAAGGATGCTGCCCTCAGTAGGGTGAGGGGCTACAAGCAGCAGGTTGGGGGGAAAGGTGCTCAGGCAGTGACTTGGCCTCGGTCCCTACCTTTTCCAGAGACTGAACGTCATACAGTGCCACCTATAACCAGTCTCAGCCTCAGCGTTTCATCCTAAAACAATTTCCTAGAGCTGGTCCACCCACAGTTTAAACTTGGGGATTTGTCTGGTGTGAAACTACCCAGAACTGTGTGCTAAGGTGATGCCACTCAGGTTTCCCCCTTAACAGAAATCCTAATAGTAAATCCACAATGGTTCACTATAAGGCTAAATTTAGGGATTCACAACCAGCCTTTCCCCCTTCTTCTGCTCCAGAAATTCAGTCTGCTTTACACTTCGAAGTACTAAACTGATCCTCCTCCAATACAGTCAGCAATGATTAATGCTTAGCTCCATCTTGGGCTGCTAAGTGATTAGCAGCAGTCAAAGCTTTTTTCCAGATAAAGCTTAAAACCATTGCAGTCCCCCTACAAAATAAGATCATGTTATTTATCCTTGTTTTACAGATGTGTAAACTGAGGCCTGGGTTGCACAGGGAGCTGATAGCAAAAGTCTCCTCCCTGAAGACAAAGACTTGCTTTTTTTCTGTATTTGTGGGTGTGTGGGTGGTTTTCTTTATAAGATGGGGGATTTTCCCTTTGTGCTTCTGTTTTGCTGTGTCAGTAGGTGACTAAAGTCTTGTCCGTGGTTATTACTATACACAATCCCAAAGGTCAAAGGCTTTGGATATTTGTGCTGAAAAGCTCTGGCTGTCTCTTCATATCTGCACCCCAGAAGTCAGCAAGTATTGCCCAATGCAAGTAAATGTTCAGAAACTTTTTATTTCTCCAGGTAGGGTGCAAGAGAAGTTTGCAAATCAGCTGTCTATCACAGTGTGCTACGGGCCTCCTGGGATACAGCCCTTTCCTTAATTTTCTGTTAGACGTCCTCAAATTCGCTGAGTTGCTCTGCTTGCAATGCTATCAGTGAGTATCTCTGTAGGTACTTCAGTAGGTTTGGTTCAGTTTAGCCTTTCAGCCTACCAGCCCAGCCCATGTGATGCTGGCTATGAAAGTAGTGGCATCTCAGTTGCTTGAAGGCAGCGTACCCCAGTGCAACTGCACTTAGAAAGGCACTGGGTTTAATCCTGCCTCTGTCTCTCCCTCTCAGTTTTCCAGAGAAGAAGGTCTGCTTGTTTGCAGCACTGTCCAAAGCCCTGCCAGGCTTTTGTGTTTGCTTGTAGCCACTACATTTACGCCACTAAATAAAACTCTCTGTGTCCTCGAGAGCATGTGGTACAGCTCCATATGGTATATCCATGTGCACATGCCTAAGCTCTCCTCCTGACCCCAGACATGATGGTATCATCCAAACTACTCATTTGGGATAGCTACCAGCCAGTGCCACTTCCCAAATTTTTCCTAGTCATTACTGATAACTTTTTGGGTTTGAATAACCCAAAAACTTGTAAGGGACTGCACTAAACACTAAGCACCAGAGATGTTTCTTGAGTTCATCCCTGGTCTGGTTTACATTACCAGCACAGGCATGCCTAAAGACATCACAATTATGAGACTGATTTTACTCCTACATCACCTAGAACAGCTCAGTACTGCCCAAAAAAGGGTTCACTCTCTTGGTGTGGACCATGTTGCATCAGGAACGCTCAGGGCTATAATGGTAGCAGAAAACTAAGTGGGACTGGGACAAAACCAGCCAGCTCAAACCCTGATCTTCAACCCACACTGTTAAAGGCTAGCACAGACCACGGCACGGTTTGGGCCCAAGGAAATTAGCACTGTCCTGGCAATGCCTTGGCACAGTTTGGAAAGAAGGAGAGAGGGCAGACAGCTTCAGCATGGAGAGAAGTTGGCAGTGTGAAGGTGGGCTGTGCCACGATGCTGGACACCAGGGCTAGACAAGGGTTTCCAGCCTATTGTGTTTACTGAGTGGATTTAACCTTGAAGAGCCAGTTTTGGGGACGACAGTGCAGGACCTTTTGCATTCAGACCGGCTATTTGAACCCACGGACTATTCGAGCCGGCAGAGAAAGACATCACAGAGGTGGGTGCAGGGGGAGAAGGACAGGAAGGGGTCAAGGGAGAAGAGCTGCCTTCTGTATTGCTCTCCAGCTTCAATGTGGTGTTGGTGGAAACCTCACTCACCACCCCTCAGCATCAGGGTGATGGTGAGAGGAGCATGGTAGTACCTGATGGGAAGAGATGGAGTGGGAGAACATGTGGAAGGTGTCCAAGAAAAGAGACAGTAAAGCGAGGGAGGGAGAAACTTCTGAGAGGTGATGTGAGAAGGAGAGAGTCTGCAGGTCTGAGCTGTAAATGCACAGCAGGCGAGAGGAGAGGCTGCCGGAGGGAAAGGCCTCAGGGTGGCTGAGGGTAATCAACAAAAAGGAAGAAAATGTGAATGGACCGTCCATCTCCAGCAAAAATGCCTGCCTCAGGGTTGTGGCTGGATGTGCAATATCCCTCTGTGAGGGGCACATCAATCCTGGGCCATCGGTGGTAGTTAAACAGAGCCAGGCTCTGGGCAGGAGGTGGTTTTCTGTCCTTTGCCATTATCATTTTATTTTGTTCAGACTTTTCCCACGGTGAGCTGCAGCCTTTCTCCTCCCCCTCTCCCTTCCCCTGTTCATTACTACATTGCCTCTGAGCAGAGAGCACAAAATCTCCTGGCATGTTAACTTGAAGAGCATCACTGCAGGAGAAATAAAGAGGGGGAGAAAGCTGGAGAAGGAGGGGCATAAAAACAAGACACAAAAATGTGGGGAGAAGCAGGAGGCAAAGATGATGAAGGAAGAGGGAAAGCAACACAAGTGGGAGGGAGAGTCGTATTTCGCAGGTGCAAAGAGAGAAGTGGCGGGGGGGGACACAAAGCACACACACAAAAAATTGGTAATTTGCAGAGTGCAGAGAACAAGTACGCACCAGACAGCACGGGGAGATGGTGGCGGCTTTGTTAAGTGTAGGGAGCAATGCGGCCCGTTGCTAAGGTTACCGCTTCCAAGGACAAGTTGAAATAACTCTTTACCTTTGTTCTGTGCTGGGTTGTCAATGTTGAAATTCCCGTTCCACACGACCGTCAGCTCCACCGGCAGGCTGTTAATCTCCATCCCTTCGTACGAATACTAGAAGTGGGAGAGGAAAAACAAAAAAAACCCTCAAACCCGGACTTACATGGTGCCCAGAGGTGGTGAGGGGATGGGATGAAGCAAGAGGTGGTGCTGCAAATTATCAACAAGAGAAATGGAGCTGTCAGCTACCTCCTTAATCACCAGTACCTGCCAAAAAGCCACGGGATCCTCTCAAAGTTGTTATTCTCGACAGAACAAGCCATGCCCCTCTCGATAGCCTCCTTAGCCCTTAGGTGACTATTCTGTGATTTAAGTGATGGGGCTTATCTTGGAAATCTACCTTCTAGGTGTTGAGCATAACTCTGAAGAATATTTTGCCAACTCTTGGGTGCACCTCTAAGGTGTCCGTTATGCATTGTGGATCTACCATCCGAATATACCTCTGCTATGTATTCCGTAGATTCTGACTGTGTATGTAAGGTTATCTTCACTAGTGATATTTTGAAGAACTCTTGGAAGTTGAGTGAGGTCTCAGAAAGCAGGGAACAGGCATATCATGGAAATACTTTTAAAAGGGGGAAAATGGAGGTTCTGTGTAATTATAGACCTGTCAGCTTAACTTGGCTTCCCAGAAAGAAAGTACATCAAATTATTAAACAATCAATTTATAAGCACCTGCAAGATGATAAGGTGATAAAAATCAGCCAGCATAGATTTGTCAAGAACAAATTGTGTCAACCCAATCTAATTTCCTTTTTTGACAGGTTTAATGTCTTTGTGGTTAAAGGGGAGGCAGCAGATGTGATTTATCTTGATTTCAGTAGAGTATTTGCTACTGTCCTACAGGAGATTCCCATAAACAAACTAGGGAAATATGATCTAAAAGAAGCCGCCATAAGGTATATGCAAAAGCTGCCAAAAAAAAAAAAAAAAAAGTCAAATAATTCAATGTCAGGCTGGGAGGATGTTTCAAATGGAGTATTGTCCTGGGTCTGGTGTTGTTCAGTATTTTCACTGCTGACTTGGATGACAGACTACAAATTTCATGAATGACACTGTTCTGGGAGAGAGTGCAAGAACATCCAAAAGCAGGGTCAAGAATTCAAAACAAACTTGACAAATTGTAGAACTGGGCCAAAATCAACAAAGTGAAATTCAATACAGGCAAGTACCGACTATTCTTCAATAGGAGAAATCAATGCAAACAAATGTGAAATTGGAATGACTGGCCAGCGCTGCAGGAAAGGGTCTGGGGACTACTGAAGATCACAAACAGATTGCGAATCAACAATGCCATACTGCTGCCAAAAACCCAAGCAAATCTCATTTGGGGATGTACTAGATAGAGTTTGTTACATATGTAAGCCCCAGGAGGCAATTATTTTTCCCTACTCAGAACCAGAAAGGCTTCAGCTGGAGTAGGGAGTATCCAGTTTCCAGCAAATATGTATTAAGAAAGCTATAGAAATCTTCTGAGAGAGTTGGACAGACTTAAACAAACACTTGTCAGGCACAGTCAAGGTACACAGATCTGGCCTTAATGAAGGAAATGGAAGCTGATCTCTGGAGGCCCTCTCCACTGGGAAAGCTCTCTGACACATGGTGCTTAGTGTATTTTTTCAGCTAGATTTTGGTTTATCATAAGCCAGTTCACACAGGGTTCACCCAGTTGCCCGTCAGATCCCACTGCCCACCTCCATCAACAGCTTCCATCCAACACTTCACCAAAAGGCAAAAAGCTTCATAATGGGAGAGGAGGTGGTTGCTTAAAGGACAGAATGAGAACAAGGCAAGAAGGGCAGAGACATTTCATAAGGATTTACCCTCCTGAGATCAGGAATCTGCCACTGCACTGGGATATATAGCGGGAGAAACTCCCACTTCTAAAGAAAAACACGTTTTCCCCACTACGAGGTTAAATATAATTCAGTAAGCTGTCTGGTTTGGCTGGGTATGTCTTAGAGACCACTAAAGGGTTCCCCATCACTTAAAGTCGCAGTGTGGTTTTCCACAGAGATACCAAAGCTCTGAGCCTTTAGAGGTAGGTTTTTCTGTATCTGTTAATTGCCATATAATTGTGGAGGAAATCATGTATGGTGATTTCTCTCCATTACGGCAGAGTGAGTGCTAGCTGCATGGCAATTTCTCTTTGGACAAACTAAACACAATTAGCCACTAATCTGCAAGACCCTGTGATTATGATCTAGTTGTAGGGTATTTATGGGCATAAGCTTTGTGGTTACCATGGAAGTAAACAGCAGCCAGGTTAGCAGAGTCCTCTGCAATAGGACTGTACCAGCCAGTCTCATTCAGTATTAGCATTTTTATGACACTTCTCCGTGTCACTGCCAGCAAGATGCAAGATGATGCAGAGCCGCTTGGACTCACAACACTGGCTTTTCACAGCTTTTTGGAGCTAGGAGCAAGGATGGGGAGACAGGAGTGGGAAGGAGAGCTCCTGCAAAGTAGAGAATAATTAATCTTCTGCCACTCAGGAGCTTTGCAAACGCCTGCTTTGCACAGCACTTTGCAAATGCTGATTGGGAATGGGAAAAAGCATTTATACAGAACCACTGGTCACCCTTAAGTCAGATAGTTGAGTCTGTAGGTGCCTAAGAAAAGCGCTACTTTCTGCCTCAGCAGAGCCCTGTGTGTGCGTTGGGATTTAGCTGTTAGCGGAGCCAAGGGACAGGCAGCTGGAGTCCCCCAGAGCCTTTCATCCCGCTGAGGCTCCCAGCGCCAGCAGCAGGAGCCCAGCTGGGATTTTAGATCTTATCTGTCTGTGGCACCAGGGGCAAACACATATTAAACTTGTTAACTCAGCAGACTTGATCCAGAACTGGAAACGGATGCGAGGGGATAAACAATGGGATCCCCATGGAAGAGCTCCAAGGATGAAGGCAGCTGGGGGCTGGAACGAGGATGCTCCCGCTGCCGTGCCCGGCCTGCTCAGACAGCTCGGGGGCTGCACGGCAGCAAAACAGAGCGTTTTGCAAAGTAGCAGCAAGCAAATGCTCCGTCCTCTTCAGACCACAGGAGCTGCTAACTCATTGTGACCCCTGTTCAAAGCCCACTGAACTCAATAGGAGGCTTTGAAAAAGATTCGCTCAGCTGTAACAATAAGATGGAAATATGTTTCAGAGAAGAAAAAAGGGACGGTGTATCAATCTCCAGGACAGCAGAGCTTCCCGGATACTCCTGCTAAGAGCACTCATACCATTAGGGCTTGCATGTTTACATTGCCCTGCACTACTTTCTCCAGTACAGGCAAAAGCACTCAAAAGATGTAAATCTGACCCCTAAGTCTGCCAAACCTGGATTCCCACCATGCAAATCAAATCAAAGCAGAAAATTATGGGCAATTTAGAGACTCAAACTGAGAAAGAGAGGCTGCCCTTCCAGAAAAGCAGACTGGTTCTCATCAGGAAATGGCAAAAAGCTGCTAGAAGGAGCTGTTGTAATTCACAGGAACAGCACAGTGTGTTTTGAACTCCCAGGTACCAGCTCTTTGTCTCTTAAAATCTTTGCTAGTATCAGATACTCCTGCAACACGGGCTGAGCCCGTCACATCACTTGGCCATTTTGCCATGTCATTAGCGGTTTAACATATCGTACCCAAGCTACTGTAAACACATTGACTGTTTGTCTCATGGAAGTTGGACTAAGAGGATGGCTGCAAAATCACAGCTATCAGTTCTACAACAGCTATGCAAACATTAGCTGCCCTCATGGAAAGATACTTTGCATTTCAAAAGTCTGTGAATTCCTGGCTCTTTTGGGCATCCTGTTACTACAGGCACCCTGCATTAGAGGAACTTATCTTCACAGAACTCTCAGCCACACAGTTTGTGCAAATCCATAGCCACGCTTGACCTCTTGCTGTATCCTGCTGGGATGTTGTATCACCGGGTAAAGCCCTTTGGTAGTTTGGCTTGGGCACATTTAGGATGATAAACCAAGAGCGGTTACATTTCCTCTTTGTACCTCAAGCGTGTCCAATAGTGGGGAAACATCTACAGACAAACAGCATTTTAACAGTATTTTAGCGTTAGTCTCTTTTCCCTGACACCACTTTTGTGATTACAGCTCGGGCCTGAGGACTGATTCCTGTACCTGGCTCTGCTACCAACTCTTTGTGTAATCCTGTACAAGTCATTTAATCCCTCTTTGCATCAATTTTCCAGCCATAAACTGTAGGCAGAAAACTTCTTGCCCACAGTCATCCCATCTCTTTGGACTCTCTGCTTCCCAGAGCTGGGACTGAATTTTTATGTCTGGGTATCACCCACAACAACAGAGCCCACATCGTGTTTGGAGTTTCTCTGTGATATTTGAATGCAGATAAGTAATAATAATGCATCATAATAATTGAGAAGTGGATGTATAACTCACAGCCCCATGCTTCTCTTCCTTTGGCCACCCATAAGTGTGTTTTCCCACGATTTCTGTGAATAGCTCCTCATTTTTTCCCAGCTCTGTTTTTTGTTTGGGGTTTGGTTTTTTTTTGTCATCACTCCCTCCACTGTGTGAGCCACACCACAGAGTCAAACGCCGCTGAGCTCTTTTGCTCAAGTGCAATGATGTGACAAATATAACATATTTGCTTTTCCTATCCCTAAGTTACACAGCTCTTTTGGCTGTACAATCTCGGGTCTCACGCCACACAGACCTGTGAAGGACTTGAGGCAAATTATCAGCAGGGTTTTTACTGCTAGAAATCAGTGTGTGCTGCCTCTGTGTGCAAGGCCAGGCAATGGGCAGGCTCACACCATGCAAGAAGGTGGGCTTAGTCACTGAAGCAGGTAATGGCAATGATCATGGCACGGTCAGGTGGGTCATCTCTCACCCATCTCCCTGTTCCTCATGCCGAAGGCTGCTAATATCGGGCTGATTGCAAGTGCTGGGGCTCCCACTGTTTCCCACTGGGGAGATTGCTCTCTGCCCTAATAGATCTAGCAATTTCAGCCATTCCTGCTGATGTTTTTACTTACTTATTTATATGCCTCCTTAGCTCTCCTCCTTTTCATTTCCTCCCATCACTCTGTGTCCAGACTGTCGGCAGAGCTATCATAAGTGCAATAAGGAATGGCAGGCAGGGTCTCTCTGAGTGATAATTGCATGCCTTGGGTGGTGTGATAGAGGACAAAGCCCAGAGCTGAGAGTCTCAAACCACTTGACAAGAACAATAATTGTCCCAAAGCATGCTGCCTGCAGTGACTTATTGCTGTTATCAAATGAAATATCTCCAGGAAAGACAGGGGGAGAGACAGAGCTGGCTACTGACTGGACCAAGCACCGAGGCGGCCTCAGAGCTGGATGTGACATTACTGACACACCATCAGATAGGGTGGTCCCACCTGGGTCTCCTTATAGCATCCTTTAACCAAAGTTGGAACCATTTAGTAAAGCACTTGTTTAAGATGGTTCTGATCCCTGGTGTAAATCTTGAGGGACCAGGCACTGGAGAGCCAGAATTAAGGCTTTTTCCTGATCCTATCCCATATGAAAGCAGGAAAAATCCCGCATTTTGCTGAATTTATTCTGCAAGAGCTGAATTTGAGCTCATCGGTGCCTAGCGCACGATGGGAGGGGGTAGATCTTGAGGCTTATGAAGGAAAACAAGCCAAGAATGATTGCTTAGTCTAGCATGCATCACCAACAGAAAGATCTGCTGGCAGGATAGCATCCCTTCAGGGACACACCATCACAACACATCCTCCCACCCTCCTTTGGACCTTCTCCAAGCCTGCAATGCAGGTGCTACATTCAGTGTCTCATCCAGCGACTCTGCTGAGTAAAAAGCTCTGTCAAAGGGGGCTGATTCAATTTGCAAACAAGCTCATACGGCTGTTTCTAAAGCCAGGTGACCCTTGGAGCAGAGGCTCATTGTATCGCAGTGGCTCCAGACTGAATGCTAATTCTGGCAGGGAAGGAAATAATCATGATGGAGACATATCTACAGCACTCCTTCCCTATTGTCTGTGTCCTCTGCCACCTGCTCTAACAGAGCCGGGGCTTCTCTATTCCCTTTTTGTATCTGTGTGAATGTTTCTTTCTTTTGTCTGGCTCTCCCTTCCACATCTCTTTCTCTCAGTGTCTGGCAAATTCAGAGCAACAATGAAATAACATTTCTCAGGAAAAAAAAAGAACTCAAATCACAGCGTCAAAGTACCTTTGGAAGAAAAGGGAAGAAAAGAAAAGGAAAGAGAGGGAGAGGGAGAGGGAAGGGGAGAGAAAGAGGGAAAGGGAGAGAGGAGGCAGAAAACAGGATAGAAAAGAGTTGAGTTTATTCCAAAATAAGCCTCTCTCCCTGGAGAAGAGAGAGGTCCACCTGAGCCACCACGAAACATGGGATAGGCATCCTACAGACACCACACAGCAGCAAGGTCGCCAAGTGCCTTTGCATTAGCCTGAGAGTCAGCCCTGCCTCCCTGTGCGGCTCAGGAGTAGCCTTGAGTGTTCTGCCATGAAAACAATCAGTAAAATCAACATGGTGCTGCCGCAGCACTCGGGCATCCCTTGAGCAAATGCATCTCGGGATTCATCGAAGCCCGCTTGTCTGGTCCTAGGCACTAGCAACTTCTTGAAGCATGCAGGTAGTATGGGAATAGTAACCATTACCTCCCAAACCCAGGCTCACTTATTGGATACCACAAACTCAGATGCTGAGAGGGACCCTCCAGGACTACTGAGGCAGTCACTCCCCTGCTCAGCCCAATTATGCTTAAAATCATCCTGAGATAATCCATGCTGATGCCGATGGGGGCCAGAGAATTCATGACTCTAAAGGATGGCTGCTCTCTTCCCTGCTAAGACTCTTTGGACAGATATGTAGACTCTGCCCAGTCCATATAATACCCCTTTAGCCACAGGCTTTCACATTGTAAAACAAAATATTTTTTTTAAAAAGTGTAATGCCACCTTAATTTCTCAAGCCATCCATTTCTGTGAAACCTCAAACCTGGATGCTCACAGGCCACTAACCACTAATGAAAATCAGGGGGAGGGAGGGGGACAAACAAATAAACACAAGAGTGTCATTGGGAAGTTGCTTGTTTGCAACAGATCATAAAATGTGTGAACTGCCTATAATCTTCAGCACGCTACTTAATGCGGCAGGATACGTTGTGATGGATTTTAACAAGCGCTGCCCGGCATGGAGTGGCAGAGCTGCAGTGAAGTGGCTAAAGCCTGTAATTAGCTCTTTGACTAATAAATCATCTCGTAGTACCAGCAATGATAATGACTCAAATACACATCTTGGAGACGTGAATCTCATGGAGAAACCTCCAGAGAAGCAGAGACCACCGTTGCACATATGCACAGCTCCTGGCAGATGACAGCGTTTGCCCCCCAAACTGGCACTGCTGCGGTGACAGCACCGTTGTGACTCGCACAGGCTCCCTGGGAGGGGGGTTACTGGTCCTGCACTGCAGATGGGGAGGCGGAGGTGGGCAGAGGCGAAGAGACTCACCAAAGGTCAGGCAGTGAGTCAGTGGCTGGAGGAGGGTTTGACTCAAGCCTTCAGCACCTTACCCTTCTTTTGACCCATTACATGCTGGCGTTCGTCAGATTGTTTATACAGGGTTTCATATGTCCCGTCACCAAAACCCCACGTAATAACCTTAACTCTCAGGGTTGATATGAACACATGTCCCTTTGGAAACCCTTCTGAACGGACACAAGGATGTGACACTGCGAGGATATGGGCAGGTGAAGCTGATAATAATGCCTGTGGGTCATGGCTAAGGTGCCTCAGCACGGCCAAATGCCGCAATCCAAGGGCAGAAGCAACTACTGTGTGGTGACACCAGCTAGCCTAAAGAGCAAAAAGGGCAGTTTGCAAGCTACCATACCAGCCTTTCTTTGACTGTGGCTGGAATTGGACAGGCAATAAGGTAAAAAGGGCTGCCACACAACCCCACATCCCATTAGGACGGTGCTGTAGGCACTTCTGGTCCTCCCTGGCCCCTGCATCTCTCCCGAGTACGCAGGGCTTGCTCACCGAAGTGTTCTGGCACTGCACGCTGGAGCTGTTGAACCTCAGAGCGGGCACCCGCTGCTCATTGCCCTGGATGTTCAAGATGCATTCGTAGCCTCGCTGGCCCGACTGCGGCTGGGGCAGGTTCTTGGCCTTCAGCGTGATCGGCTTGATCACTTCCACAGGCACCAGGATCTTCTCTGCCTGTAGCAGCTGGGGACAGTCCTAGGGAGAGAGAAGACAAGGCGCCAAGTCAGCACACGGGTTTCCCAGCCCCAGCTGGAGTCCTCTGCTGCTTCCCAACCTTCCCACTTCACACTTCGCTTCAACCGATTACAAAGCCTTTGCATCTCCCTGGGCCTCAGCTTATTACAAGGGTATTCAAGGCGCATTGCCCGGAAGGCTCAGACAAACAGGTGAGGAAGGATTTCTCTTACAGACCATCCTTTCCTATCTCCCTTATTCACAGGACAGACTTTCAACCCTCAGGACCCTAGGAAGCTACCTCTGGTGCTTTTTAATACCTGCTCCATTAATCAGGTAGTGGGAATGCAATCGTATTCCCTCCGGGGACTTAGCCCAGTCACAGTGCCATGACATGAGAAGTGAATAAAGCAAAAACCTGAGCATAATTCCTTGCCTCCCCAACAGCCAGCGCACCTTTGTACAAAAGGCACAGCTCTAGCTAGCTCCAGCAAGACACGTTGTAAGCTACACAGTCTGGGCTGTTAAAAAGAGAGTTTGTTTTGGCTTAGAAGCGGACAGAATATTTATTACAGATGGATCCAGCTCCCAAGAAACAACTGTTACACAATGTGTGGAGGTCCCTTGGAAAGACTTGCCACCATTTCACAAAAGGAGCAGTGCTAAATGGATGCTGCTAATCCAGCACCTCTTGGTGAGTCCCTTGCACAGGTAGAGGTCTGGGCACCCAAAGCTGCCATGTAGAAGGCTGTACTCAAAGTCTCATTAAGTTGCACAGCTTTAGTTAGAGTAGCAATGAACTGCTTCTTCATAGTACAATCAGACAACTGCAAGCTGTCAAATTCATGTATTCTAGGAAGCTCTCAACTCTTTAGGAAATTACTGCAGCATTCGCCCGGCTAATCCAAGGCAGTTTGATATTAAATGGGATCCCTTAAAAAAATGCTACAACAGGCTACAAAACATAAGCATGCCATATGCACAGACTACGCTGTCTTGATCACTTGTGAGTGCCTGGCTGTCCCCTCTTTTAAGTCTTTTGAACTCCTACCTGCCAAGAGGAAGCCTGTCCCCTCTTTTTCTTCTCGGCACTGTTATTGGCACACCGCCTGCTCTCCCTAGAGCACCACGGGAGAGCAGCCACCCTGTCCAGTGCAGAGAGCAACACCATTTCAGCCTGTCTCGCCCAACGTTAAAGTCAGGTCCAGTTGGTGCAAGCAGAGACAAGGAACTTACATAAAGAGGTGCAAGCTTAATCTGTAGGTGTGGGCAAGGCATGGCAGGAGGCTGGACTGATCCAGGGCTGGAAAGTAGGGAAAGGGACTGAAGGGCTCAAAAGTGGAATTTACGGCTTACGAGAGTCTGGGAGCTTGTTAGAGCAGATGGTAGAAGCATCTTACTGAAGCAAATAGCTTAGGAAGATAAAGAAATGGATTAGACGTGTAACATCTGCAGTTACACCAACCAGAAATAGAATTACAAGAGCCATCAATCATCACACTGTGGGTATGAGCCGATCCATGGCCGGGGGCAGAAAGAAAATCCAGTAACCACCCAGCACATCACTGCAGTGAAGTCCGAAAGCCTTCCTCAGTCCCCAAAGAGGGTCTGTCTGTCCTAGTGGGGATGCCAGACTGAAGAGCCCTTCAGGGCAAACTGATTTCTCATCTGCACTTATAGGGTGATGCTAACGGTGTAAATACTTGACAGCTGCTGATGAACTTCAATTGGCTTTGCCCAGGTTAACACCAGAACCAGGACAGCCAAGCACACAGTCACTGGAGCTGGACGGAGGTAAACCATCTTGGGTCCGGTGGCCACTTGTCTGGGCTAATCTGGAACAAGACCTAGCTTAATAAATGCTACCAAGGACTGAGGCTTAAAAGGCAATCGCGTTAACCCGGCTGGATGGTGTAAAGCTTGGAGGTGGCAAGCTCATGTGGTACTGCATTGCAGTGATGAGATTTACCACTGCGATTCTCTGCTGTTTTGGGGATCCTGGTGCTGAGCGGCACTTCAACAAGCAGACTTGTGTGAGGAGGCTCCAGGAGTATATGAGCAGTGGAAGTTGCCTTACATGTCATCATGCACAAGGCACAGCCAGTGTGGAAAGAGCCTGTGTCTGACCCCCAGGAGTGCTTCAGGAGCTACACACTGTTCCAACACTCCCCGCTCTTGCTGTTGTCCTGTCCCATGTTGAAATGTTCCCAGGGAACTACTAATGCTGAAACACAATGGTTAAAGTGTCACAGAAGTGTTTGCCTTGACAAAAGGGCAAGGCTTGGCAGTCTAGAAAGTCTTTCCAACCTTGAGTCCAATGATCCTACATTATCAAGGCACACCAGCGTTAAGGCTAGCTGCAGGGTTAAGTAGCTACTCAGCATGAGAAATTGAGGCATAATCTAACCCTGGGTGACTTAGACCTATAAAAACCCAGAGGGCAGGGGAAGGAGGTGACCTGGGCTATATTAAAACAAGACTGAGAATCTCCAGTTCTGATCACGCCAGCAGATACCATGTATAAGTACCAGTTGGGACTGTGTGGTTTCAACACCCCCTGACCCTTCCCCTTCCCCTGCCCTACATGTCCTGGGGCCTCTGAATCAACTCCTTTTCTTTCTCCTGGCATAAGAAAAGACCTTGGCAACATCATCTCAATTTTTTTTCTCCCCAGCTATAGGAGTTCAGAGAGAGATGCATTGGCAGAGCGAATCAGTGGGATAGGAGGATGGGAAAGCCCTATCTGCTACTGAGCAGCCATTTCCCAAGAGTGGGCATTTTGCTTGATGTCTGTCAAATAGAAAAGCCTCTGAAGGGGGCTGGAGGATGGGGGTTGGAGATAGTCCACTAAGTTACCTGCAGGCCAATCCCAGCTCTTCAGGCTGGTCTTTCTTGTCTAGCTTTATCCCGTCCCCCTCCACCACTGGTGCTGTAACCTTTCCGATAACACTTGTTTCAAGTTCATTAACAAGCAGTGATTGCGGCAGCCCCAAAACAGGATTCGTTTGCATATAAAAAGCTTTGCAGTACTGTGAGGAAGTTCATTATAGATAATTGAAGAGGCGAGCGCCATAAAGAGGAAATCCTCCCAATGTGGCTTTATCTGATTGACCTAATGTTCTTTCTAATTGAAACGGGGGGGGGGGGGGGGGCAAAAAAAGGCAATTTCATTGGGTGATGTACTGCATAAAACCTCAGAGCTTGGACTGCTCTCGGTTCGAATTCAAATGTAGTACTCATTTTACAGCCTGTGTCAAGCTTTGGGTGCCTGGGCAGGTTTGTATTTTTGAGGGTAAAACTTCAACCTGCTCAGAGCAGACCCTGCAATCAGGACCCAAGCAGAAGGGTCCTTAAAAAAGAGTTATCTTGGGCATTTTCCAGCAGAAGCAGTTTCTCTTCACCTTTCCTCTGCAATGGACATCACCTAGGTTGGAAAAGCACGGTTTTCACATGATGTAGGGGAAATAAAAACATCCACTGCCAACAACTGTACCAAGGAAGGGCACAATCCCATCCCTTCTGCCTTTGGTATATAATAAATTAAGCCTTTCCCCCAACTCTAAGGGCAGCTGGTTCAGATTCCAGAGGAGCTAAAATCCAGTTTAATCTGTACCAGGGCAACACATTTGAAAGCGGACTCTTGATTCATTTTGTGTGTGCAGCTTCATTCTATTCCTTAAATGATTTCGAATGAGTCAGTCTCTTTAAAATAATATCCTCCACCCTTGCCAATTGCTCGTATCAGCAGCGATGCACACCTCAAATCACCAAATTTTGCCAGTTATCAAGTCAGAGAGCTTTTGCAGTGAAAACACTGCATGAAATGGGCTGTACTCATTGGGTCAATGGTAGTTTAATTTTCTTTATTTATAACTCCTCATAGAATGCCTGCAAATGTGTTTTCCTGTAGCTTGCAGAAATAATGAAGTCTCAAAAATATGAGAACCCTTTCTCTCCTTTTCTCTCACACATGTGTTATGGCCCTCATCACAGCTATACCTGAGTGAGTCCCCAGTGAGACCCATCATGAGAATTCTGCTAAAGAGGGCAACGAAACCTCTCTGAGGCTATGTGGTCTTAGCCCTGAACTAATTAGTTTGGGTCCTTTATGGTGCTTCATACATATATAGTTATGATTTCATGGAGATTTCACCATGCTGTTTTCCAGTATAAGCTGGACACTGACCAGATACTCTGAGTTATCATCTTCTCCTAGGGACTGAAGCATGTAGGGATCTTTCATAGTCTTCTGACATTGCATGGGTTTTTCTTCTAGCCTTGTTTTGTACAGTTTCACTCCCTGTTACTGTTTGTGACCAGGATCATGAGCCCAAGTCTCATCAAAGTATTTTCCAAAAGAAAATGAGTCTGATCTACTTTGACTGGCAGGCAACCTACATGGGAACAGGTAAAACATCTGTGAATTTGCAATGACCCATCCACCTATCAACAGTCTCCACCTTATATTGGTATCCCAGTTCACTTTTCTTCCCCTGTGCATCTCTTGTCATGCAGAGCATTCAGGTGAGTGAACCTTTTCTACTTTTCCTTCATACTGCTCCCTCACGATCGCTGGTAGCATTGACTGGATCTCCACTTTCTACAGAAGGAAACTAGAGCTCACCTATTGCTGACTGCATTGTAGGCATCTTTGGCAAGATAAACTCAACTCTTGGCAATGAATTTTCACCCTTTCTTTCCCAGAAGGGTAGGACTCATCTCCATTCAGGACCAGACATAGCCACCACCTCCACTACTCATCTCAAAGCATCCAGTTCCCCTTTTCTCCTCCCATCAAAATCCATTTTTTCACCCTCAGCTTCAGGGGTTTTTTTTGAGACTTTCTTTTCAGTATCCCTCATTCAGCAACCATCTTTTTGCCTTACCCAAGCCATCTTGCCTGGAAGGAACATGACCACAAAGTGAATCTAAGTAAGTGGGGGCCATAACTTACTCACTCAACCCTTTCGGGACCCCACAAGAAATGATGCTCAGATTGTTATTTACTCACATATTACATA